TATAGCAGCCCTTGGAAAATGATCTCCACCTTCTTCAGTTCAGCGCGCAACTGGCTCCTAGCGGACGAGTCATTGCTGGGCTCAGAGTAGCCCGTCGGAAACGGGAGGTCCCGTTGTAGGAGCTCGGAGAGCACATGATAGTATTCGGACCACACCTGCCGCCTAGGCACAGAGCCCCGAAACCCATAACCTCCAGCCAACGGTTGCCCCTTGGCGCTCGCCCAGTACTTGGACCACGTTCGAAAGCTGGCAAGACAGTTGGGGTCGGAAAGGAGCTCGTCGTTCTCGCGAATCGCTTGGCTTGCCAGCATGCAGTATTCGGTTAGGAAGAGTTCGGCCCAGTATCGTAGCTGATGGCGGGCCGTTTTGGTGGTCCACACGCTGCTGAGGGATGGCAGAGCTGCTTCAAATGCAGCCATGGCCATGTCTCGCTGCCCATCACGAGCCAGGCAGTTCGCTCTAAGATAGGTCGATTTTAAGGCGCAGACCTTGGTCCATTCAGAGAGGGTGTCCAAGTTGTCGCATTGGGGATACTCGAGATCAAAGTTCTTGGGGAGTCGAACCAAGGCGATGGGGTAGTCCTTCATGACCCAATGTAGCCACCCTAGGCAGACCTTGGCCTGGAAACTTTCTTCGGGATGCTGAGTTTCGTTCTCGATGGCCGTGATAAGGTTCGGTATGTGGCTTGCCACCTCGATGCCCACGGCAGGCCCTCCTGCAGTACTTGGCCGATCGGTGTCCTGCGGCGCGGCCTTCTGACAAGCTCTGGTGATGGCCAGCTCGATTTCGGCCGTCAAGGTGAGACCTGATGAGGGCGAGAGTCAGTCTCCAAGCCCAGTAACAACATTGTAGCCGAGGAAGATGGTAAAAGGCTTACATATCCGGTCAGGCGCATGCTTCCGCACCTTGCGGACCAGCTCGGGGACAGCATCCCAGTTCTCTTCGCAACGAGCATCGTCGAGCTGTTGGATATAGTGCGCCGCTTTTACCGCGTCGGGCTAGAATTACATACGGGAAATCAGTACGCTGTCTGTGCATACGAAGCCGTAAAGGCGGAGCGGGAACTGGGTCGAAAGGAAGAGGCGGAAGACAAGGCAAAGGCGGACTGTGGAGCAAGGGACACTTACCATGTTGCCTGGTCTACAAAAGAGCTCGTACTACGAAGACCTATCGAGACGAGGCATGTGATATGAGTATCCTCAGCAGACTATATGGAATGTCCGTGGTTTCGTTGTGTGGTTGCTATGTCGGGTTCCTGGTTTAGAGAAAAGGAGGGGAGGGGATGGATGGGCCTTGTAGGTTGATGTCAGGTACCCGGATGGACGTCCTGGCCACGGGCAAGCTGGACGAGGGACCTGATGTGAACGTGGCGGCGTCATGGGCCCGGCGTAGGTAGGTACCTTAGAGATACCTAGCGGACACGGCAGGAGCCGCCAAGGTTGCGTTTACCGCCTGGAAAGCAGAGCTCCCGGCCTCTATAAAGGGGTTTCTTTCAGGACTCAGGTACTGCCCCTCTGGACCCCGGACCCTACAACCTAACTGCTCATTTAGCGGGTGGGTCAGGGGCATCGTTACGTAGTGGTAACTTTGCTGTGTAATTACCTGTACAGTCCCTCGGTAAAACAGTTCAGTTCAGTTGCTGTGACGACTCGAACTGACCATGCGATAAGACTAGATTTGCCTGCCGGGGCTAAAAGTAAAGGAAAAAAAAAAGTTTCGATATGGGAATGGCAACGGACTGCAAACTGCCAACTTTCTCCCATAAAGACTGAACGTCATAAGTTTTCCTCTAGAAAATCAACGGATTTGAAGTCCAAGCCATTGATACATGAAATTGACGTTATAGATTGTCCCAAAACCCGAGCACGTTGTTGGGAACCTGGGTTCCAAAACCGGCCGCACGTGTGAATCCTCAAAATCTCTACTAAGAAAACAACAAAAAAAAAAAAAAAAAAAAAAAAAAAAAAAAAAAAAAAAAAAACTTGGGTCGTCTTCATCCTCAGCAACACAACCACCCTCATCTTCAACATCAACACTTAGCTTACATATCCGTTGAGTGTAATTTACAAAATGGCAATCCCGCCACCGGACCTGCGTGTTCTCTGTCGCAGACTCGCATCGACACCAGTTGACGACCTTCCTCACATCTGTCCCCTCCTCGTGAGCCATGTGCTTCGTTGCGGAGAGGTCCTGTCCGCTGTGCCAGAGACAAAGGCCAAGGACAAGTCTTCGGAAACCGCTACGCTTGTTCACAGATTGAGAACTCACATCACTACACTTCTTGCCGGCAAGAGTGCGTCCGGTCGTTTTGCTGCTGTCTTCCTGGTCAAGGCCGTCGTTGATGTTGGGGGATGGGAGAGCTTGAGGGCTTCAGACGTATGGATTAGGGGCTTGATCGGCATTTTGGGGGTGAGAATCTCGGAGTAGACACCGGCGAACCTCGGAATCTCATGCTAATAAGCTCATAGAAACCTGATCCTCTGGTGTCCAAGGAGCTATGTGTCATCACCCTGACCAAGATCTACTCTCTCCTCCAGAGTTACCAGACACTGGTCAGAGAGATGGCCACGCCCACTCTCCCAAGCTTCGTCACTGCCATGTTAAACCTCGTCAAGCCGCCTGCCTCGAGCAAGGCACCCAAGGTTCCCACGTCTTTTGTCGATACTGTTGCCAGCTCTCTCTCCAAGATCGTGTCCTTGTATCCTACTACCACGAGACCCTTCAACGCCCAGATTCGAGCCGCCTTCAAGGCTTACATCGCTCCTACCATGTCTGACGCCGTCACCGTCCCCCAAAGCCTAAGAGAAAGCGCCCGCTCGCTGCTTATTGTGCTTCACTATACGGCGCCCAAGAACGGTAGCAGCGACGAGTGGGTTAAGGGCATTAAATCCTATACCAAGGAGGCCCATGCTACGGCCGATCAAGTTTTCCGTTCCGTTCGGGAGTCCTGGGAATCCACCGCCGGCTATAGAGTGGACACAATCCGTACTGATGGTGAGCCATCCGGGGGAGGTGACGAGGCCGATGAACTCCCTGCATGGACCGGCGTCACTGCCGGCGCCGAGAGACTTACCGGCCTCATCGGTCAACTTATCGAGTACCTCAAGGTTCCCACCAAAGCCCCTATCACCATTCCCGTCGGGGAGCTCCTCGACCTCGCGTCCCGCATCACTCTCATCACCCTTCCCAAGCCCACCACCGGCGAAGACAGCGTCGAGACGAACCCAGCCATCAGCAGAGACGAAAAAGCCGAGCTCTGGAGCGTTCTCCCCGAAGTCCACACGGCCATCCTTAACCTGCACACCGTCCTCCTTCGTCGCCTGGCTGCCAACACCCTGCCCTTGGCCACCGACATCCTCGACCAGATGGTCCGCGTCTTCACCTCTGGCCGGCACATTGCCGCCATCCGCGAGACCGTCTACGTCCTCGCCAAGGAGCTTCTTGAGATCTCCGGCCCGGGCCTCCTCAAACTCAGCGTCGACTCCATGGCTCCCGTCATCCAGGCCACGTGCCAGGACATCCTCCGCGCCACGGGCCACTACGACTCCCCCGCCGGCGGCAAGCAGGACAGTAGCAGCACCAACCCCAACCCCAACCCCAAGAAACCCACGGCCGGTAGAAACGGCGCCGGCATCCTGAACGCCCAGAAAGTCCAGTCCTCGGGCAATGCGGACGTCTACCTAACCACCACTTCCACCACCCATTCTTCTTCTTTTTCGGATCCCCTCTTCGCCGCCGCCCTTTCCCTCCTCCCCCTCTTCCTCTCCCGCCTCCCGCAGCGCCACCTCAGTCCCGAAGCGCGCGGCCTGGTCGACCGCACCGCCATCCTAGCCAACAGCAAGCAAGCGATGCTCGCCAGCGTGCTGAACCCGTACAAGGACACACGCGGTAGATACTACCCTACCATTTTGCCGTTCTTGGTCAGGCAGTTCCCTGCCGATCAGGAGGTAGAGGTGTTGAGGACGAATCTGATGAGAGTTGGTGCTGGTGTGAGCCAGACCGTGGCTACAAGTTGGGATCCGGCGGAGGGGTTGGATGAGGTGGTTGGTGCTGCCGCGAATACTGGTGGTAAGGAAGGGGAGGATGAGGATGAGGATGAGGATGAAGATATGGTTGACGCTGAGGCGGATGCGGATAATGAGGCGGGTGCCCAACTCGCTGCTGAGGATCAAAATCAGAAGAGCAAGGCTGCTGCTGCCGCCGCCGCCGCCGCCGCCGGAGTTTGGGGTGCTACCGCGGAAAAGAGTGCTGCTGAAGATGTCGCCACCAGCAAACCGAACCCGTTCACCATCGTCCCTATCGACAGTCCCGAATCGAGAGCTGAGCGCGCTTCGATGAAGAAGCGTAAAATTGGAGAGGAGGCCGCGAATCCTCCTAAGAGAGTCACCAGAAGTTCGAGGAGAAAGACTGTTGAGGCTGAAGAGGATACGTCTGCCACTACTACCACCGCTGAGGTCGTGGAGGAGGTCTCTACGCCCGCTCCGGCCCCGGTGTCCGCGAAACCAGTTGTGGCTGTGATGGAACAGAAAGAGGGTGAAGATGATGGTGAGGACAGCGATAGTGGGGAGAGCGTCCAGATCGATATGTCGCTTGAGGATAGTGAGGATGAGGAGGAGGAGGATGAGGAGTAGATTTGATACCTTTGGAAATTTGGATGTCCAAGTACTATTGTAAATACATATTGGCTCAGGAAGGTGATCTGCTTGGCCCTAATTACTTTCGGGTTCCATACAAACCCACTTACCTCTATCTGAAGGACTCTGTTATACGACCTGTCCACTTCATCCAACCAAAATCAAATTATCCAGCTCAAAGGTTACCCCGAATGTCTTGTGCATCGAAAGCCAAAATAACAAGCGTGGTCAACGTCGAAGACCCCCCGGGTATAGAATGAAATGTATGCCTCGAAGCTGATTTTCCACGGGCCTGATTCTACGTCTAGAAGCAAAACCAGAAAAAACGGCAAGCCTACCACACTTGACCGATGCTGGGAGGGTGGCTCAATCACGCAGCCAAGCCCTCCTCTTTTCCTCCTTCTTTGCCCTTCTCTTTTCCTTGAAAGCCTTCAACTCGGCCCTACTTGGCTTCTTGCCCGACCTTTCCGCTTTGAGACTTCGGCCATCGTGCATATTCGCCGCCGCGTCCACGTCGAAGTAAGCGTTGAGCTGCCTTTTGCTCTTGGCCTCGTCCGAGTGACGCTCTACGTTCTGGTCCGGCGCTTGCCACTGACCCGTGGCCCGGTTGAAGTAGCCGGCGCTGGCTAAGTCGGCCCCGGCAATGGTGGGGTCCAAGCCAGCGAGCGGGTTGGTGGCGGCAGCGGCGGCCTCGGCAGCAGCGCGAGCGTTGACGGCATACCACGCATTCTCGTCGTAGTCGCCGTGAATGGCGGGATTGTAGCCACCGGCGACGGAAATGGGGTTGCTGATGGCTGTGGGTTCTACATCAAGAGGAACGACCACAGGCGCCACCACCGCTGCTGCTGCTGCTGCTGCCGCTGCTGTCGCGGTTGGAATTCGTGGGTTTTCCTTCTGCCATACGCCGCTGAAGCGGTTATAGAACCAGTAAGAAGAGTCGTTAGGGTTCCAATGGTACTCCCAACCGTCGTCTTCCGGTTCGGGCGCCGGCTCGGCCGGTAGAGGAGGAGCAGATGACGATGATTCGCCGTTGAATGTGTGGTCTGGAAGAGGCTCGTCAGGAAGGGGAGGGGCGGCGCTTTTGTCGATTTCGCCGGGCTCGGCGCTCTCAGCCCTATTTGATGGCGATTGTGAAGGCGACTCGTAGTCACCTTGCGACGAATCTTGGCCGTCTGGGGACTCGGATTTCGGCTGTTGCGTGGGACTGCCCTCGCGCTCTTGATCTCTTCGGCCTTCTTTAACCGAATGAGACTTCGGTTCCTCTACCGTTTCATTGCTATCAAGCACTTCTTCGGTGGCGGCGGGGGGCTCTGTTGTTTCGGCCTCCTCATGTGCCCCATCGGTAGCCTCTGTGGCCCTTGTTCCATCTTCTTGACGCTCCTCCTGCACCACTTCTTGGGCGGTAGCGGAATCAGGTGGAGGTGGCGTGGACATGGCGGGTTATGATTTGTCTTTGGTGATTGAACTGCAGAGCTAGATCTTGTCAATGAAACGCCGACCAGTCTGAGTGTAGTAGAATGAAGGCGAGCATATGCATTTCCTGACGGTTTATTCAGTTGCCTTACTGTGCCGGGAAGAAGATTACTGCAAACGGAGGAAGAGTTGAAGGGCGCAGTGTTGTACCAAGTAAGAGTGCAAAGGCGATTGAGGCTGATTGCGGTTAACAATGGAAGGTGAGCTTGATATGCTGCAGTCCGGTGATTCACGTCTTCCGCTGAGCCTACGTGATGTTGAGTTGGAGATGATGTTTATGGAAGGGGAGGAATAGTCCAGAGAGGGCGCCATTGCACCGGCCCAGAGCTGAATGCCGGCGGCAATCCTAGCCACCTCACAGCTGTCCCAACTGTGTCCCAACAGTTGGCCAGCAGCTGTCAGAAGGACATCGGCGTCCTGGTGGGTCATTATGTCTTGGATCCATCCTGTGGATCGGGGACCCATTGATGCTCGTTAAGCTTAAACAATCACTGCCACCCTTCCATCCATCGGACTTCTCTCTTCACATCTTCTACGAGTTTCCAAATTGTTGACGCTGGCCAGTAGAACTTTTTTTTTGCAACATCTTACATGCGATTGGAGATGTGATGTCGACTCGATCGACTTCCAAGGACCAACTACCTACTCAGCAGTCAGCACTGGACCTGACTCGACTCCCTCAAAGTGTCACTGTCAGCTCCCCTTCTCGTTCCCCCCCTTGCAGCAGATCAGTGCGAGCGCAGCCTCCAATCGGAATGTCGAGATTTCCGCCACGAACGTCTCTCATGCCTCTCATCTCAGCTACACTACTCCAACCCATGTGACATAAGGCCCGGTACCAAAGATCCCATCCCGCTGTTCAAACCAGTGCGGAGTATCAAATAAGTGCTCATGCTGATGTTGACAGTGAGGAAATGGTGGACGTTGCGATAGTGTCGTCGCATCGAAGTCGGTGCGGTAACGTACAAGCCCCTTCCTTCGCATCCTGCCGTGGTTGCAAGTTAATAAGCTTAACCTGATCTTGGAGCCAGGAAGTGGCTCCTCGTGTTGGGGCTCGGCGGTGCAAGCGTCGTGAGTTTATATTGTCTTCCGAACTGGTCTACCTCCCCACTTCTATCACGGACTGGCTGTACCGTCTTTGCGTCTTTAACCGGAAAGTGAATCCTATCAACTGCACACATGTGGTATTTTGGCAAAATGCTGATCCAGGCATCCTGAACCTTGAAAAAGAGGTTCAATCAGTCATTGTCCGCAGCTTGCTCAGCCCACTCACCTTCTGTTTGTTCTTGTTAATGACTGAAAGGCCCAGGCAAACATGGCTAGGGAGAGTGGTTATGGTACCAAGAAAGACGGTCATCTTGACTCTATTCTGTGGGTCAACGTCAAAAAAAAAGGCATATGCACATCTGCCTTTCCAAACATCACCACTTCCCCCGACTGCTATCTTTGCGAGGTCTCTGTGGTCGACCAGCACTAACATTGGCCAATTGACCCGAAGACGGAGATGCCTCGACTTGGGACTTGGTACCACCAAAGCACAGCATCTGGAAACTATAAACAGCAAGACATCTCTTCATCCTCGATTCGGCGGCCTCCTGTGTTTGACTTACCTGACGATTCTGCTCAGGAAATACTTCAAGAGTTCTCGCTCGAAAGTTGATTGAACTATTTGCATTACTCAACTTATTGCATCTTGTATGCTCTTCTGCTGCTTTATACACAGCATCCACATAGGGACTGATTGGGCCCCTTGTTACAATCAGCTCTCCGTATGTCATTGCATCCAGGTACACTCCTCAAATCTTGTTTCCGTGAAAATCATCAAACTTTGTGGTTGAATCTCGCTTTGCACGTGGCTACCCCTTGACTCAGATCTCGATTTTGACTGATCGATATTCGGTACTGGCCACTCACCTTTACCTTTCCACACTCAAGATTGTTGGTGGCAGGGCTGAGCTTGATTTGAGCCATGATGGAGGCACATCAACAGAGAGGAAGAACTCACACAAGTTTACCCTCACTCATCACCCTCATCGCCATCGTTTCCCCTCTAGCATCAGCGGTACCCTCTCTCACCAACGATTCAAAATGCGAGTGTTACCTGACAAACGGTACACAAGCTTCCTTCTTCGCCACCCACAAATTTCTAGACTTCCGAAACCTAGCTGAACACGCCGGCGTCCCACCCACCATCACCAAACCCAACGACAGCGGAAGTGCACCCGTCACTAGCGAATACTTCACCTCCAAAGAATGGACCGAGGCATTCTGGGTCCTAAGTTGGAACAACAGCCACCAAATCCGCGAGGACGCCACAGTGCTGATGGTCAACTCGCCCAATAACGTTTACATTGAAGCCAACGGCGACCGCAACCCGTCCTCGCAAACCTGGCTCACCCTGCGCACCCAACGTCTCAAAGACTTCCAAACCGCCTCCGAGATTGAGTCCGTCGCGCCCGGCTTTCAGTACCTCTCCGTCCGCATGCTCGCCCGCACCGTCGGCTCCCCGGGCGCCATCACTGCCTTATTCACCTACCGCGACGCCGACCGGCTCGCGGACGTGCAGGAGTCTGATCTCGAAGTACGCACCATGGACCCGCGCAACACGATCCAGTACACCAACCAGCCGTCCTATACGGAAGAGGGCGAAGAGATCGATCACGCTACCAAGAACATCACGCTTCCCCCAGGCCACCCGGATTGGACCCACTGGGCTGTGCACCGGCTTGACTGGACACCCAAGGAAACTGTCTGGTACGTGGATGGGACCGAGGTTGCGACTATCTCGTTCCAGACACCTAGAGATCCTAGTAAGGTTATACTGAACGCGTGGAGCGATGGGGGCGAGTGGAGCGGGAACATGACGGTTGATGACGCGGCGTATCTACAGATTCAATGGTTGGAGATTGTGTATAACGCCACGGATGAAAATCCCGCAAAGAGGAAGAGAGATGGTGGTGGGGTAGCAGCTGTGATGCTGAGGGAGAGGGATAAGGATGGGGAGGGTGGCTGTGATGTGGTGTGCAGTATAGATGAGACTCCGGAACCGGGAAAGCCGGTGATGTTATGGAATAACGGGGCAATGAGAATGGTCGGTGGAGGGTTGGTTGCTTGGATACCTTCACTAGTGACCTTTGGTATGCTCGCTTTGATTTCTGGGGGGTTGTGGTAGAGAGAAGCAGGTTGTAAGGGGACGTTGTCACATAAAATGGCGTTAGGAGGGTGTACATAAACATGTTCAGGCAGGTTTTCAGTGGATCAAGTGATGAGTGTGCCCGGAGGATTGATCATAAAAAAAAGCGATAGTTGCAACATCCTCCGTCGAGTAAACAACTTACATATACATAGAAACCATCTCACCGGGTTCATGACGGGTGTCAATGATCAATTAGCCAACCTTACTTTTCCCGATCAGCCATGCCCATCTTTCCACCATCTTTATTTTACGAGCGCCTATCCACTTGATCGCCGCTTGAGGCACATGTTTTCATAGCTTCATCAAGAAATTCCAAGGTACGAAACCGTAAACACCTCAATAGTCCCTTCCAACCTTATACATTAACCTACTTAGCGAAACGGCGAACATGGCGAAAGGGTGTTTAGCATTGTCTATCATAAAAACCGGCAAGCACTACACGTATTCAGTTGAAGGACTTGTAAAAAAGACATCTTTCCGTAATTGTACGAGAGCCGAGTGAGGAAACCCATGTTAAGGTTGACCATAATGATGGGAAAAAAAAAAAAAAAAAAAAAAAAAAAAAAAAAAAAAAAAAAAGCCTTGCCAATGTCTTAAGCATACAGACAGCCCTGGACATATACCGCGAAACTCAGTTACACATTAAGTCAAATTTACAACAAAGATGGGTTCGATGGACGCCGTCATTTCGCATGGTACTTATGATTGGCTTTAGGTAAAGAGCCGTTGATGTTTTGTAGTTGGACCTGCGGAGCTTGCTGCATGCCTGCCTCTTCCAAGCAATCTTTCAGGCATTTCGCAGACAAGTACCGCACAGTTAGAGCCGGCATATGATGAATAAGTTTCAAATTGCCGGCCTTGATATTGCTTTGGCAGCCATACTTGTGATGAGAACTACGGCGAGGTGAAGCCACTGCAGTGAATCATGAACTCGAAGCTTCGCCAGCCTACTCTTTGAGTACCAGTACGCACCGGCAGTTCCCTGCTTGGACTGGACGCCTACAGGCATCATCATATATACCATCTAATGCCTCACTCTAAGCATACCTAACAGCCAGGCAAAGCTAGAAAGCCACCGCCTCTCTGGGTGATACCATCAATTGAGTCTGAGTTTGGCCTCCGACTACTATCAGCTGTGTGTGGTCCGCGTATGCTCCATGTACCACGTCAAGTCAGGCATATCATATCAAAGTGTGAACATGATCTGATTGGAGCATTCAAGGTTCCGATAGGCGGACAAACGATGAAACAACCTATGTCAAGAAGGGAGGTAATCAAGATGAGGCAGACATCTTGAACTGGTAGGGTCCTAAGCCATATGTAAAACAAGCCACCATTTACTATACAACCACTACCGTCACGAAGATGTATGTCTAGAGGTAGCCTCTTGACCGCCCGGTGTTGGGTTGGGTGTCCAAAGAAAACGCTTGGCGAGGCATTGGTGGTTTCACAACCGCGAGAGTGAGGGGAAATATTTTGTGCTTGAACACTGATAATGGCAGCGTCGTCTCCTGTCATGCGTTTGGCTGATAGCATCTCCAGGTCGTCAGCTTAGAGATTTTAACTGAGTAAGCAAAGCTCTTAATGGCTGGTTGGCTGGCCTGGCCTTGACATTCGAGAATATGGGAGTTGTTGGCGGGGAGTATCTATATATGGGCCATTAGCTTCCTGACTGGCTGTTGTCGTCACCTCATGGTTGCGCAGTGAGATGATGTCGGTAAAGGCGAGGCTGTCACCCTAGTCCTCTTGTTTCTCAGTTATACTCCGACTGCTCGGACTGAAATGCTGCTGGCGAAGCATGAGGCGTAACGGGATGGCTCAAGATCCGCCAAGCTGGGTAAATGCTTGTTGCTTGTTCACGGATCCGAAGATGGTACTAGGATTTGGGTACAGGTCCCCAAACCGAACCACCGCTCGGAGACAAGGTATGCAGTGCATTGTTGCGCAACATGACCATTCGATCATACATGAGGCAATAACCTTGTGAGTTATATAGCAGAGTGCTGTATGTCAAGGGTTCAATTCTTATGGGCAGAGAGAAGCAATAGGACAGGATAACAAGACCTGACCCACGTACTTGCCCCGCCGTTCCTCGTATTCTGACGGAGCTTGTGAATCATTGGGAGGGAAAAGACCCTCATTTTGTAGAGAAGACGATAACTGGCCGCTTGGTACGTGTATAACCACGAGTGCCGTGAGAGCGTGAGTGCTGTGGGGGGCCGGCCGACGACAGCCGACTCCGTAGGTGAAAAAAAAGAAAAAAATAAATAAATAAAAAAATAGCAAAAAAGAAAAAACGTGGACGTCACCGTTATTCGCTGTATTACCAGATTCAACAGTCCACTACTCCAGGCCGCCCGGCAGCATCAGAAACCGCAAAGTCTACGACCTGAAGCGTCACAACTTTGACCGGAGGATTCCAGTGATCCAGTGATCCAGTGGTGAGCTGGTAGCTTATGTTGATCGGGCAGAGCTTGGCGAGCTTCAACAGTCCAGATTGGCGATGGACATGTTTGCCTTCCGATCCGGGTGAAAAGGCACTTGCATTCAGACGGATGAGAGCATGAAGGGACATGATACGGCGGGTGGGATTGGCTCGACTCGACAGCCTTCCGCTGCTGTATCTCTGCATTGCACAGGAGGACGAAGCATGTCGTCGCCGGATGAACAGGAGAGAAGGACTGGAACTGATCAGGAGCCAGCTTGCCAGCCACCGGCTACCAGCTACATCTACGTGTGTAGTTGTAGTAGACTTGCCACTGATGGTCCATGCATTGGTATGTTCGGATTATGCTGCTGGAGGGCGATGACGACGATGAACATGCGGTAGAACTCGAATGCCTAGTCCATGTCGAATATGGCACGGTTATGGTTCTCACCTCCAGTTCCTCCTGTGTTCCGAGCACACAAAGTCGAGGCTTTTGAGTTTGACTTGACTGGTTGCCTTGAACCTTTCAGAACTCCACGTCCAATATTTCCGTCGAACCGGTGGATTGGTAAAATTCTCCGTTATCTTCCGAACATGGGCCCGCTGGGAACTGTGCAAGGACGAGAAGGAAATGGGGAGGCGATCAGGGGAAGATCATGATGACGAGACGAGAATAGATGTCCGATCGTGAACAGAGTCGGCTTTTGTTTCTTCTTTTCGATAGGTGCTAGAATAACGAACCCCTCCTGTCAGGGATCCATGTCTAAAGCGGGAGGTTTGCTCTTGGATCTTTGGAAATGGGGATGGAGGCAGAAAGAGCCCGCATCATGGCGTAATTGCATAACGTGATTAACAAGTGGATCCCACGTTTGCAGCAACCTTACGAGCTTGTCTCAAAGCTTGTCACACTTGCCCAAGAAAAGCTTCAACTTGATGGAAGCCTGCCACTGCCTGCCAACACCTACCCGCACCAGCCCGCACTTTATATAAGTACACAACGGAATTGCTCCACGCCAGGCTCAGATACCTACCTACCATTGGACTCGGTGTTGACTTTAACTGTGGAAGCAGTATCTGCCAACACAGTCAGAAACTCCCACGTTCACCGTCCGGCTGTTCTGATCTCAACAGGCTGTCACAACATGAAAGAAACTGCGTATGATGAAAGGGGGTGAAGAGAGTCGCCATATCGGGTCATCATTCCACATGAGTCGAAGATTTCGGAAGATTTCCAGAACTCACTTACGTTTTGCTAGTTGTTATCCCTGAGATGTCTCGATATCCAGCTATTCTCTTCGTTGATTATACCTGAATGGCCGCCCTGTGCCCCTCAGTCAAATCAGTCGGCATCATGACTCCTGTTGTCTCAATTGGACCCTCGCGTTCCTGAGCCTGTCCCTGGGCGTCCCCCAAGTGAGACAACACGTAAGGGGGATACAGCTTCCAAGACCAAAGAGGCTAGGCCGATCTAGGTAAGTATGTAGGTAGGTCTCTGAGTGGTCAAGCACGGAAAGATAGCATGGGTAAAACCTTGAATCGCAACCACTACACTACATATTAATAAACGTTATTTCATCTGGCCACCGACCGACGATGGATGAATTGACATTACTTGTTGAGATGACACGGTGGATGTCGTATGGACTAATGTTACAGATCTGCGTATATAACATTATCTGCCAAAGCAAGCGGAGTCGGCAGAGCCGTTGATCGAGCTGCCGCTGGCGTTGCGAAATGCGGCGAATGTGAATGTGATTGCATTGTCCACGCTGGCGGGGTTGAATGTCGAGACGTTGAGTTCGACTTTGGCCCGGAACCATGCAGATGGTACACTACCTACTTGGAGCCGTGACTGTACTTACAGTACAGTAACTTACTGTACTCCATGTACTGCAGTCCGTAACGGAAAGGCAGTCACCCTCCCGCACCTGCCCATTCCTACCTAGGTCTACGGCACTGCGCGGTCCTGTCCTGCGGTCGTATGTAATGCATCTATATGTAGACTGATCCCTACCTTATGTTTAAGTTGCTTGTAGGCAGATGGAGTTGTGGCCGATTCCGAAACAGCAAGAGCCTTTTGACTTTGCGCATTGATAATACGGTATTGGCTGGTATAAACATCGGAATGTTGCCCCCCATGATTAGATCAAGTATAGTACACTACCAGTCTGGAACATTGTTCCCGATTAAGCCGCGGCAGTGCCTGGTGACCCGTTCGGCCTCGTCCCTGATGATCACGACATTCCTGTCGCACAAAGAAAAGTCGACGAGCCGAACTCCAGATCTGGCCGACCGATCAAGTATTCCGGATGGAGATGAAGACGAGACAGAAGTCGTTGAGATGTGGTACACCAAGAGGTGGTCGGGCCGCAGAGGGGTCACATACTATTGCGCGCTCACTCAGGATACCACCACAGCACCACCCACCCACTTCTTGGCAGCCGATACGATATCCTCCATATGTACTGGCGCCTCATTCATCTTTTCACAGCGCCATAAACGGCATGGTTGATCTTGCAGCAGAAAGGCGCAGAATTGTTGTTGACTGGTGGACTGGCCGTTGCCTTCAATGTCGCAAGCGCCTTGACGCGCGTTGGCAACGACTCTTGCATACTCCGCTCGCGCGATCCCACGATACCCGGAGGTTGAAGGCTCGATGCGACTTAATCGGCCCTCATATCGCGCTGGCCTGGTCTCAATGACAGGGCAGCCACTGTGCAAGAGTGCTTGGGGAAACAACACGGGGGTCACCACCGCAGACTCACGCGCAACGGCGAGAAATCGAAGTCGGAATCCGCCCGGGACTCCAGGTTTGGGGACCCCTTGCTCGTTCCACACGTTTTTTTCCTTTCTTTCCTCACGGTATTTTATTCCTCCGCCACGTTCCTCGGACTTGATTGACCACGTTATTGCCGATAATACATTTGCTATCGGCTGACCCAACAGATATAGCAAAGCCCAAGCTGATCACCACCAGATCATGGCAGCAAAGAGGTCCATGAATGAACAAAGGAAGGATGATATTTATGCCTATCCACCACCACTGCAGCACACCACATTGCGGACACCACCGCAGGCTGGGCAGCTCAGCAACATGTTGGCTGTAGCAACGGACCTGGTTAGCGCGACCTTGGGGAGCGCTGATGGGCCCGGCCAATCGCACAATTTCGGCTCGCATGCCCCCGTTAGAATAGGTATGTATGGAATCGTGAAGACACCCGAGACCGCGAGCGAAAGGACTTTTTCTGGGGTTCAGGCCAGTTATAGGGTACCTCAACCCTGCATGTCCTCTTTTTGATGATGACGACGCAGTCGATGGCGGCGCGTTGCGGCAATATCAAGCGGCTGTTAAGTGCCAATGAAGGCCCATGTTAAGATGAGATGGTGGTAGCGAAGACCTTGACTTCTGCAACTTCTCCCTACTGAGAGGGGAGCAAGCGAGAACACGAGGAAAGAGCAACGAAGGGAAAGCAGATGATCAGTCAAGTTCTTGCATGGGTTTCCAAGGGTTTGATAGCTGTCTGTCTCCCTTTCTTGACACTGGTTAGTTCTGTCCTTGTCTTTCACTAAGCATCCGTTCCTTTCGCTTTCTCATCCGCCTCTTCCAAGCACCTTGGTGTATTGTTATGTCTGGTCATCTCGAACCAACGACGACGAATTTGCACCACAAACTTGCAGCAAGCTAGAATCTGGACGGGCTCGTTGCGATTCACATTGCAGTAGCAGCGCTCATCATGTAACAACATGTGCGCATCCTTCCCCCTCCCAGTCGCTAGATGGAAATTTTCTGATATGCCCGTGTATACACGGCATCGTCCCGATTTTGCCTCCAACGGCCGACCGATCCATCGATCGGACACATGAGTCTGGAGTCCCTGGCGACGGGAGCAACATGCAAAGGTGAGGCAAGACAGAAATCGGTTGCAATTTTTTCCCTTCCTTTTTGGGGTGCGGTAAAGGGACGGATCAGGAAGACATCGTGCCAGAACGTGAATTAGAAATCTACGTCGTAGTGGCCTAAGAGGAAGAGATTACGGAAATAATATATGAAGCTGAAGGCGCTTCCACTCCCTTGATATTCACCAGTGCCTTTCCAGATAAGCGTCTTTGTGCTTCGGGTGGGTCATGTCCGGTTGCTAAAATTGCGTGTAATTGAAGATGGAAGCGCAGTGGTGTTCTTGGTCCCGGTTGTTTGGACTTTGCCGTGGACGCTACCAAAGTCATTGCCAAGTTAAAAGGCGGTGCCCTGCTATGCCTGCAGTGCGTGTCTCAAAAGTATTGCGCCGGAGCATCTGAACAAATGAAACCGAAAGAAAAAGAACCTACCTTCCTTAAGAGGTGTCCATTTACATCGATCATAGATCTTGAGGTTGCCAGTGTCCTTGAACGCCTTCCGGATTATGCTAGAACACCGTGACAGTGTCTTGGTCTCCTACAGAGTCAACCTGGATGGATACCTATGGAAGGGACAGTAGAGGTATGTAAACACCGGAGCGAAGGGCCATCAGGTTGGCGTCTACTACCTTGGTAGACTTGATATGGAAGATGGACTGGCGTAACAATGAATTGCTGCTGTTGCGAACGGTATTGTTACTGTACCATGCGTTGCAACACCAGGAAGCTCCGCTATTTCCCATACACATCCTAGTGCAGATGACAGGGGGCATCGGGTCCACCTCTGAATGCCCGTTTCCCGAGAAAGTCGAGAGGAGAAAACGGCCCATCAGTCCAGGGCATCCACCAGGGCATCCACTCTCCTGTCCATCATTAGCCATTGAGGTTCTGTTCCGTTGACACTGGCCTGCACGCTCCATCCCTCTCCCAAGTCCCAACTCTCCGTTGTTGCCCGTCCGCTGTGCCCTCTCGCGCATCCACGCTCCCACTGCTCGCTCCTCCACAGACATTTTGCAGTGAGTGGTGCAGTTGTCACCCGTCAAAACCTCCATTTTCTCATCTCCATCCCATCCGCCCCCCCAATCGTCATCTGTCTCTCGTTCTTGCGCCGCTTCCCTCGATCTCCCCTGCGGTTTTGTTTGGGTCTGGACTTGTTGAGTCGACATACGTTTTGTTTACTTCCCCGGGTTTTTCTTTTATTTTTCTCGCGCTGAGGTTGGGGCTGCCCTGCCCTGACCTGACACAGAGTTGAGTTTGGTTAACTCTCTCCGTCGGGCCCTTCTGTCCTGCACAAGAGGTTCCTGTGCTTCCCTGCATGCCTTTACATATCTGGAGTGCCTACCTTACCTTTCAACAGCAGCACGCTTGACACAGGCACAAGCATAAGCACCAGTCACCACTACCGGGCCTCTACCGCGCAACGAAACGGCCTCAGTTCAGCCAACCTCAACTTCCATCTCAAGTCCCTCGCCCTTCGTTTGGGCAAGGCCCCTTCTTTCTCGAATTTCCGCCCTCCACTTCCCTCCTCCCGGTCGTGGACCTCTTGCCTTCTCCGACTCTTCCGTCCAATCTGCTATCTTGTCGCCTTTTTTTGTCGTCTACTACTTCTTCGCAACGACTCTTGGTGTTCGTGTTCCTGCTCTCGAGCTTCACAAAAGGAATAAAGGAAGAGCAAAAAAAAAAAAAAAAGGGACTTGGCCGACGACACTTCGCAACAACCGCGGAAATCTAAGATTCGACTGCCTGAGAGACTCTTCGAGAGCTCCACCGAATCGCTTCTCTCCTCCACTATCTGCGTCGACCGTTCTAGTAACCCGGACATCTGATCATCCCCCATGCTTTCGCTCCAACAACCGACCATCTTCCGGTGTCAATCGTGACATTGCCTGCGCCCAACCTCCGTCGCACTTATCGCTGTGGGCGGGTCGTGACAGACTCGACTTTGTACAGAAGGGCAAGACGTCCACGGTGATAGTGGACTTCTTCCCTGCCACATCAACAACCCATCTTCTTCCCCCCTCCCTTGGCCGCAGGCGTCCCTCGCTTTATAGTAACAATTGTTCTCCCAATCATTCCCCCCCAAAAGTCCCTATCCCCTCAAACAGGTCTGCTTCGTTCGAGGTCGAAAACACATCCTCTCGCCTCTTTCAGCGGCGGAAAAAGGTAGGTGCCAGTACCCAAACAAAACATCACCACTTTACCCTTAGCACTGCCGCCAATGTCAAGGAGTCCCGTCAATCACAACAAGAGCCTGACGCCGCATCTCCCAACACAACCTACCAATTCGCCAATTTGTCAGACAGCCTTGCGACAACAACTCAAACCCCTATGCCATTTCGCTTTTCCTAGTTCTTCTTGTCAAACCTGACTTCGTTTCGCGGAAGATGCTAATGCCTGCCGTACCCAGATTTCCTCGTTAGCGAAAGGCTCCACTGTTACTTTCCTTGAAATCACACCATCTCCTTGGTTCAGTTACAAGTACCGTTCAACGTCCTGATTCACCTCACGGCGGCGGGACGACAGATCGCTCAGGTTTGACAATGGCTGCTTTGGTGCAAGGCTATCCCCGGCAATCTGGGACTGCTACCATGCTTCAGACAAGACCGGCCTCCTCCACCGGCATCATCCAGCCTGCCCAGTCGCAGTCAAATCCACAATATGGTCACAACATGTCCCAGAGAAACAGTATACACGGGATGTCTGGTGTGGTCGGCGCACCAGTGGTGTACCGTCAAGCTTCTGGCTCTGTGCAACAATACGCTTTTACCAACGCGCCAGCTCTCAACCACGCAACACATCACCACCAATTCAGGCAACACCGTACCTCGTCAACACCATCCGTTCCCCAAGTACAGAACTTGGATCAGTCTGGAGCGCATACCCGATACCAATCCAGCAACTCCATGACAAATCTTCCCAGCCCTGCAACTACCAGTGGGCAATCAGCCGGCGGTTCGAGAGACGATTCGGTCATTTCAGTGGGCAGTAGCAGGAGAGTCGCTCCTTTACCTCGGCCTCATTCGGCGCATCTGGGCGAAACCTTCTCGGTACCTCTGATCGCTTCCGCGGGCCCGCCCAAAGTGTCGCCAGAGAGGTATCGCCGGCCAGCGCAACGGGCGAATGAAACAGCACCAACCATGTCAAACACATCGGAGCACAAGAGCGTTATGCTGCGCGGTCCAAACGGAGCGCTCCCACACCGGCCAAATAGCTTCGCAGGTGCAATGGGGGGCTCAGCGGTCGATGACATGCTTCTCCCTCATGGTCAAGTCCGAGAGGATGTCAAGCGAGCCAGGAGACGCAGCATGCCTGCATTGGATTCCGCCGGTCTTGCGATGCCCCTAGCCCCCCTCTACGCTGCTCAGCCCACCGATGTGTCCTCAAAGTCACGAAAGACTGGCGAAAAGGAAGCCAAATCTTCCGGACGAACGGTTAACAACTTGAGTGTTGGTCGCGTTGCTGCCCATACACGTACCAGCAGTACTGATAGCCGTTCGTCGAGCCGCAGCACTGCTAGCAGTGGAACCCGCCCAGCATCTGTAAGTTACTTCTGGATACTTATCCATATTCCCCCCATGTAAACATTGTCCAATCATATATGCAGCCGTCCAGTAGGATTCGCTAACTCAGGGTTTCTTTTTCCCAGTCTGCCAACCTCAGCGCCAATGTGGCCAACCCCACCGGAAACCCCGCTCACTCTTCTATCCCAGAACAACACCACAGCAACGGCCAAGATCACGCTCGACTGGTCAACATCCCGCCAAGAGGATCTTCTTCCGATGCTACCAACACGAAGCGTCTTACTAACCTCTCTCCTCTCTCTAAACCCGTGGCTATGGACACTGACGCCGGACGCAACGCGACCGCTGGTGTCACCGCTGGTCGCTCGGCATCGCCGGTGAAGACGCCCTCCCCGCCGCAGGCTCATAGCCCGGCTGCGAAGCAACTAGCTGCTCTCAGCCATAACGACAGCAAGCCCAAGAGCAAGACGTCACGTCTTCGTCGGGCATTCTCATTCAGCAGTGCGTCTGAGTTCAGGAAAGCGGTCCATCATCAGGACGCCGAGAATGGCCCATCTAAACTGCATAAGGATCAGAACTCCAATGAGCCGTTGGACGCTGAGCAGGCCCGTATCGCACAGCAGCAAGAGGCAGCTGGTATTGGAAGCAACATATATGGCCCCAGGATATTCGGGGGCTCGACCGACAATCTCTCCATCTCCTCAACCGCCTCCTCAGCTTCGGTTATGATTCGCAAGATGGGACGCGGTATGAAGAAGAGCACCAGGTCACTTGCTGGACTATTCAGACCTAAGTCCGTCATTGGTGTCCCTGCTGCCGACGCAAAGGCACCAGACGCTTCGCAAGCTACAGTGTCCATGATCAATGTCGAGGCTGAAAGGGAAAGGGTGAATGTCAATGCCGACGTTCGTTCCCAAAGCGGAGGCGGTACCGGATTTCCTCGGCTTGAAAGGAACTCACTTGATGCCAGCAGAGCGCCAGGTCTTGGGATGGAGCGTGCGGGAAGCCTGGGTAGTGATGGATCAGCTGCAAGGAAGAGCATTATCGGCGGTGAACGAGAAAGGGCCGAAGTGCTTGCTGCAGTCCGCAAGGGAATCTTGAAACGTAAGGATCTTCTTTGGATTACGCCTGTTAGCTACTGCTGACTTGACCACCGATACAGACACCAACAGCAACTCGCCGAGCCCATCTCCCCGACCTGCGGAGGGCCGAGGACTTGATGCCCCAAGTGCCATCACTGACTCTCCCAACTCCAGCGCACCCAGCACGCCAAACAATGATGATCGAGCTGGCCAAGTTCCGATCGGTAGCGAGGATTATTTTGTAACAGCACTCCGCCTTCGGCAGGACACCAAAAGCGCACCTGGGACACCTCAGGGATCCATGAAGCGATGCGCCACATTCAGCCCACGGATTGCCTTCTATGAGACGTGGCCCAGCCAGGAGTATGATCGCCGCGGTGAAATCGCCACTTGCAATCGCTTGACACCTGTGCTGGCCCAACAAATCAAAGAAGAACTCAACAGCTTCAAGATGGTAAGTTGCAACAACCGTTGTTCATATTCGCCTTGGTCATATGCTTACCTTTGCTCTCTCACTAGGAAATGGAAGTTCACGAGAACTCTAAAATCTACACGCACTTCTTCTGACGAGTCCAACGTTACAGCGGTTCAACGTGCAGCGCACCCATAATTCTCGTTTCCGAGGCATTTCCTATTTCTCTCAGCAAAGAGCATTGTTTGGTGTTTATGGCGTTATTCGGATTTTGTCGCTTCCAGCAAGGCTTTATTGCCTCGTAGACTCGCTCAAGAGTATCCTAATCTTTCCTTTTGAAAACGGGGCGACAGCTGGCTGCATGGTAGTGTATATGGTCGACGGGGTGTTTGTCGCTGTCGCGAGTGACTCTCTGGCGCGCGTGTGGGTGCAGGGTTCTCCAATGGCATCAACCACTCCTTTCTTGGGCTACACGCGCTGGACCGATGGCGACAACGATATACAGGGGATCCCACGGGGCGTCGACTGGACAGAAAGTTAAGACGTTGGATTACCCGAAGTGCAACAGAGGAGGTGGGGTGCAGTTGTTTGTTCGATATGTTGGAGGTCAAGCAAAAAGGAAAGAAATGTTCAAAGGACGGAGCAAGCGTCTCTTCTTGGTCATCTTGGAGCTATCTGGACGGAATTGGTGTTGTAGTCTGGGCCCAATTTAGCCCAATGGGAGGGGGGATATGGAAACCAGCAAATAAGAGCATCAACAGCTTCGCAAAAAATTTCTTTTAGTGAGTGGGTATGGCATTCTGTTTTTCAGTTTCCTTAATTATTTTGGAAGAGGAGCGAGAGTCAAAACGTACGTCATAGCAAACCTACAACCGGGTCGTTTTAAAAGCCAGCGCAGCAAGTTGAATTTGACAGGGAGCGTTACAGCCGTTCGATATCGTTGTGGCATCTTCGTTGTTTGTTGGACGTCCAGCCTAATGCGCCCGGCGTAGTAGGCCTATTTGGTTTTTTTTTTTTTTTCTCGAGCTTTTTTTGTGTTTTTGGTTCCCAATTGAGTCAGCAAGGCAAAGGCAACACGTGAAATCTTTTACAGTTTACTATCTTCAATTGGTTTTGTTCAAGTGGTCGACGACTCCTGCATTCGTTTATATGCCATGACTTCGATCGCTTCTCGTCGATGTCAGTACCAGTGTGGCATGGGGCTTATAGCAGTTAGTTGGAGAAGCACTGGAAGCCTTTAAATGTATACTTAACGTCCTGAATCATTCGCAGACGCACTACCTGTGTTGATCAGGTGGTGTTTATATGTAGACGCAGAGCGCCCGCACCAACAGGTATGAATACTGAGAGGCCGCATTCCTAAATTGATACTCACTTGGACAGTTTTTACATACTGTAAACCCGTCACCCGTACCTGATACTACTGCACTCTCTTTAGCGAAACCCCATGTACCAGTGTGCTAGCATGCCAAGAGAAAGCTTGTTGAGGCTCATCAGATCAAACAGGTACTCAAAGACATGAGAATCTTTCTGGTTACCAACTGCTGCGACGGGAAACAGACAGTGGATGGGTCGAGTTCTATAGGGTTATGAAACCTCAAAAGCTTGTGGACCGGTCATGGACAATCCATCATGTTCTGTTTCTGGCAGTCGTTTGAAATCATCCTCATTTCCATGTGTCAAGCCCACTCATTACATGTTTGTCAGTGGAAGGGGACCTTGGAGATGCATCTAGGTATTCTACGGGAGTCGAAGGAGAGTAAAAAGACAAATTCTGAAATAGCTGGTAACACGTGCAAATGACACGATAAGAACAAGCGAGGAAGCCGATATCTTTTATCATTGGAACGTTCAGCAGATATCCAGACCGCGTAACAAAGACACGAAGGAGTGACAGCGTTGCGCAAAACGGGTTAGGAATGTGATGATTCGAACAACGGCCGAGGCTAGGATTGGAAGTTCTTGGCCCACCAGCGCTTCCCGAGGATTGGTCAGAAGCTGGGCAAATGCAATGCTGCTCAAACCCCCCAGAAACCCCCACGCCTAATGCAGGGTCAACCCCTGCTGGATGTTGCACTCGCCTGTTCGTAGAAATTTGCGGGGGCAGCCAATCATCATCCGTGGTCACTCGACCCCGAACATGACAAGCCGTCAGCCTTGCGGAGAAGGCCCAAATTTTAATGCAGTTGCCCTGTAAACAAAAGTCAACTTTTGAAGAACGGACAGAGGCGTTGCTGCTCAAGAAAGTAAGTACACACACAACCTGCCACCACCGTGGCTCCGTTTTCGATACTCGCTAGGAGGTCTCTCCTCCACCTTCGTCTACCGTTTAGGTCCTTTGTCACGATGGCTTCCCATTCTGCGACAACAGCTTCTTCGCTCACCTCTGCGGCTGCCAACCTGGGCGCAACCGAGGCCAATGCGACCACGACACCCCGAGCGCCCAAGAGAACGAAGCTTCATGGCAGGGCCTTCTACGAGAGCATCGGTAGTCCAAAGTACATCGTTGCTCCCATGGTGGATCAGTCTGAGTTTGTGAGTTTGCGCCCTTGTGGACAATATGTAGTGGCAACAACGTAAATAAGACAGAACAGCACAACTAACTGATTGCTTTCATGACAGGCCTGGCGCATGCTGACCCGATCGTTTCTCCCCGCCGATGAGCAACATAAGCTCCTTTGTTACACTCCCATGTTCCACGCCCGCCTGTTTACCGAAGCGCCAAAATACCGTGACTCCCATTTCCAACCGATCCGCGGCCCTCTGACAGCCGACAGCCCGCGCCCAGACTCGCCCGATTACGTTCCCTTCCTTGACGGCAACCCTGAGTTCGACCGTTCGCTATTCGTCCAATTTTGCGCTAACGACCCCGCCTACCTGCTCTCCGCCGCGAAGCTCGTGGCCCCTTACTGCGATGCCGTAGACCTCAACCTCGGCTGCCCGCAGGGCATCGCCAAGCGCGGCCAATACGGATCCTTTCTGCAAGAGAACCAGGAGCTCATTTTCGAGCTGATCAACACGCTGCATAAGGAACTTGACATCCCGGTGACGGCCAAGATCCGCATTCTCGACACCAAGGAGGCGACCCTCAAATACGCTCAGAACGTGCTGCGCGCCGGCGCCAGCATTCTCACGGTACATGGCCGGCGGCGCGAGCAAAAGGGGCATCAGACGGGGCTCGCCGACTGGGAGTACATCCGCTACCTGCGCGAGAACCTGCCCAAGGAGACGGTCATCTTCGCCAACGGCAACATATTGCAGCACGCGGACCTGGAGAAGTGCTTAGCGGCCACGGGCGCTGACGGCGTTATGAGCGCCGAGGGCAACCTCAGCGACCCAGGCCTCTTCGCCAGGCCGCCGGCCGTCGGCGAAGAAGGGAGGGAGTACTGGCGTAGCAAGGATGGCAGCCGCGGCGGCTGGCGCGTCGACGCTGTGCTGAGGAGATACCTGGATATCATCTACAAGTACGTGTTGGAGCAGAAGCCGCCAGTGAGGAGACCGCTGTTCATGCCGGGTGATGATGTTGCATGGCTTGAAGAGGCTTCCTCCACCTCCTTCGAAACAACACAAGCCAACGACGACAGTGAAGGACCAGCACGAAAGAAGCACAAGTCCGCCAACGGCAGCGCTTCTACCACCACCACCACCACCACCACCACCACCGCCGCCTCCTCCTCCTCCTCCTCCTCTCTAAACACCACCAACAACAGCAACAACCCCCACCTAGACAAAAAAGCTCTCCAAACCTCCCCCAACCTCGTCTCCATGCAACCCCACTGCTTCCACCTCCTGCGGCACTTCGTGACCCACCACACCGACGTCCGCGACCTCCTCGCCCGTGCGCGGAACGGTTCTGAAATCGGCAAATACGAAGCCATCCTGTCTCAAGTCGAGCGTAAGGTTGCCCAGGGACTTCTCGAGTACGAGCGCACCGGCGGCTCGTCATTCGACGTCGACGTCCTGGAAACCTTGTACCAGGAAACAGAAGACTCCAAAGATGACCCGGAAAGCTCGGCACAGGCGAGGAGGGAGAACAAGAGGCCTTGGTGGGTGGTCCAGCCAATTATCCGGCCGTTGCCCAAGGAGGCGTTGGCGAAGGGGGCGTTGCAGCTGAGTAAGAAGGAACTGAAAGCGCAGGCGGCAAAGAAGGCTGCTGGTGGTGGTGGTGATGCGGAGGCTACGGTTGCTTCCGTTTTTGGGTCGAAGGAGAAGGAGGTGAAGAAAACAGCGTCTGAAGAGGCGCTGGTTCCTGTTCAGGGACAGAATGGCGGGGAGACAGCGGTGGAGTCGTTGGAGACTACGACGAATTATCCCAAGAGTGAGCTGGTTAGTGGGTGAATCTCTCTTCCCTCACCGGTCTGGCCATGTATACATTAACCGGGTACTCTTGAAGGTGGTTGGGTTTGTATAGAGATGTTGGCATATTGTGATGGAGCTCTGGTTTATAGATGTTAGAAGCAGCATTGTTAGAGTATCATACCCCTTATTTGAGCGCAAATACGGTCTCTTCCGGTCAACGTACCGCTCCAATCACTGTGATGTCATCGCATTATCAGAAAGCACCCATCAGCCCCGAGTCCAACGGAATAAATCTCGATTCGGTTTTTAATTTAAGTCTCGCCCTGGTACAACGAGACTTGCCTGTCATTCTTTGTCCTTCTTTTCTTTTCAGAACCAATGCTTCTGGTATCAATATACATTTCGTAGCCTCTTCTGAATTCCAAGTCAACATCTGTCACCCTCTTCTCTTCCTTTCCGTTGATCCGTTAATAATGGTAAAAGGGCTTCTAATCAACTCTTCCCCGCTTAGCAACTGGTGACCTGGACCTGTACCTGGACCTCGAACTCGATCTAGATCTTGACCTTGAGCTGCTATACGATCTCCTCCGCTTGTTGTTCCCAACCACCGGGCTTGGCGACCTGCTGACAACTCTCCTAGACCCTGTGGCGGCATCCGCTAGCGGTGGAGGTGACCGGGTTCGCGATCTCGAGTATGAGCGATCCCGCCGTCCTCCACGAGCGGGAGCCGGGCCAGCTCGGCCTGTATCTCTACCCGCCGGCCCGTTGCCTCTAATAGGTATCGGAGACCTTGATCGTGACCGACTGTAGCTCCCTCGGCGAAGACGCTGTTGGGGAGGGGGATGTGGCGAGCGACTTGCCGAGTAGGAACCTTCTCTACGACGCTTGCCGGAAGCGGCGGCGGCTCTATTGTTGTTGCTAACGGGTGCTCGACCACGGGTGGGATAACCACGAGCAGGCGGGGGGGATGGCGAGCGCGAGTATGATCTGCTACGGCTAGGGGTTCCCGAGCGACCGCGGCGGATGGGCGCCGCCGACGGGGAGCGGGTACGAGAGCGCGAGCGTGAGGGTGAGCGGGAGTACCGGTCGTAGCTACGCCCACGGCCGCGGGGTGGCGGGCTGGGAGACCGAGACTCCACCGCTCTTCGCCTTGGAGGAGACCGCGAAACGGATTTCGAGACGGAGCGGCTGTAGCTACGGCTACGACTCCTGCTCCGGCTTGGTGTCCGGCTGTAGGATCTGCCTCTGCCACGACGAGGAGGGGTGCGCGAGAGCGAACGTCCGCGGGTGTCCTTCCGAGGCGTCAGGGAACGAGAGCGAGAACGGGATGAGTAAGAAGAATAGGAAGAGTAGCTGGACACGGACTCGGAATCAGAATCAGCTGGAGGTGCTGGCAGGGCAGGTTTTGGCATGTTTGCTAGGAAGGTACGCATCTCGTCGGTAAGATAACCCATCTTGATGGATGTGAAGTAGTTGATAGAGAAGCGAATGTTACGCGGCTCATCATGAGGGAAGATGCCTTGCAGACTGGGCTGGAGAGTCTCTTCACTCATGCGAGCCTTCAACTTCGCAGAGCCAATGTTCTCCTGGAGATCTTCAAACAGGATCTTGATAAAGATACGGCTGGCGGAGGTCGTTTCTTCCTCGTTTAGGTGGATAACCGAGAAAACGTGCCAGCCAATGGCATCGGTAGCCAAAAGATGCCCAAAGAACCTAGCAATGTTGCGAAGCTTGTTGGTCTCGTATCGGTGAATCGTGGAGTAGTACTTGGCGAATGACTCCTCGAACAAGTCCATCCACATCCTGTTAAGACGGGCAAACCGCTCTCCTAGCAAGCCCATAAACTTCAAGTAGACCTTCTCCTGGGCGCATGACTCAACAATCATCGACACCAACTCGGCCTCCTGGCCGGCAGGGAGCCGCAGCTTCATAAGCTTGTGCGCCGCTTCTTCGGGATCGGCACTCGACTGGATGCTGAGATAGATAGTCCTCCTGAGGTTGACGAGGTCCGCATTACTCTGGTCCTTGATCTCCAACGCCTTCTGTTCCTCGTCCTCCGATTCCGATCCGCTCTCCGACTCGTCGTCGTCATCGACATCTTCGTCGTCGTCGCTAGCCTCACCCAAGATCTCCGCCTTCAACTTCTTGTATTCCTCCTCGTTCTCCTCCCAGTTGGGATCCATCTTGAACACATTGAGCCCATCTTGCGGGTCAATTTCGTCGTCAAGCCCAATCCGGTGTGTGATTTGATCCTCTTCTTCGACGAGATCCAATTCCTCCTTGATAACCGGGTTGTCCTTGTACTTGTCCTTGCGCACCTGGAAAAGCACCTCGATCATGTACTGCGTACGACGGTCGATATCGGCCTCGTGAAGAATGTTGCGGAACTGGTCGAAAACGGCATGGGCGATGGCCGGGGACATCTCCTCCAAAAACAAGCCGACTTCCCTCATGAGACCGACAGCGATTTCGACGCTGTCATCCGTGGGCTTGGCGAGCAGCAGCAGCAGAATCTGGGCGGCAATCATCTCGTGGACAACCTGGTTGTTGACGAGATGGGCTATGAACATGGTCGACGAGAGGCAAACCGCCTTGTCGTTTCTCTTGAACGCCTTGCGGAAACGCAGGATGAGCCTCTTGACAAGTAGTTCGCCCACCTGGGGCAGCTTGGTGTTGCAAATCGCAGCCAAGCAAGCATAAATGGGGGTGAAGGGCAAACTGGCATGTTGGGCCTTCAGCAGACTCTGGCAAAACAGACCGCGGCCACGGATGAGGTTCTCGCCAAAGAGTTCGGGGACCACAAATTTGATGTTGGCAGTGTTGACCTTGTTGACCAGACCGTTGATAGACTTCTTCAGTGCCTCCCAAGCCATACGCTGGTATTCCCTGGTCTTCTTGTCGGTGATAGCAGCCTGGAGGGCACGTAGCCTGTGCGGGGGTAGGTACACACCCTGACTGCGTAGGTTCAAGAGCTTCTGGTACTCTGCTCTGGCGTCGGCAAGCTTTTCCTCCTCGGTCTTGACGGCCACAGGGGGTGGCGTCGGGGTGCGCTCCTTCCTTAGCGGTCTATAGTCGCCACCGGCATCGCGATGGCGCGGAGGAGGGGGTTGTCCTCTCAGCGGAGGAGAACGGGAATGACGGCGTGGTGGCGGCGAGCGTGCCCGAGGGGAAGATGAGCGATCATCACGGCGCGCTGGTGAGCCCTCTCTCGGAGATGGCGAGCGGACAGAGCGTCCGGAAGGCGATTGGCTGCGAGGTGTAGGCGAACGAGATCGTGGGTGTGAGTGCGGCTGATCTCTTGGTGAGAGAGAGCGATCCCGGCGAGGAGATGGCGAAGGTGTGCGTTCGCCTGGTGATCGATACGGCGACGGGTCGCGGGGAGGAGGTGAGGGTGTACGTTCACCAGGGGACCGAGAGCCGTCTTCGTCCCGGGGCGAAGGTGACTGGGTCCTCGGGGAAGGGGATCGGGTCGCGTCGTGAGGATGGCTACGCGACGGAGACATGTCTGCCGAAGCCATCGTGAAGAATTATCCTTGTCTCTGTTTTCTTTTGTCCAAAACAAGTATTCGGTGTGCTGAGAATTGACTGTGTCGTCTCGAGGTCTCGTCAAGGAAGTGATTCAAGATGTAAGAAAAAAGAAGAAATCACCAACTGCTGGCCACTACTGGTGCCTCGCGCAAGTTGCTTACGACAAGGCAAGGCAAGGCAAGGCAACTGCCGGGACCGTGAGAGGTGACGGGAGTGGCAGCAACCAAAACTTCCTTGAAGGCTGGTGTGGAGTTTACAGAAGTACGTCTAGCAAGTGGAGCTGTTCCCTTCCTTCTGAAAAGCAAAGCCATCGACACGGTCCACTAACGTCAGCGAGCCGCTTGTGCTCAACGCGCCACCCCTGAAACAGTGACGCTACGGTTCGCAAATGGCAGCTGGACTCCGCTTTCCGTAAGTGGCCAGGTCGCTATTAGTGCTGGTGTTCGGTGTTCTCAGTCCCCGTCAAAGGTGCCGGCCACCTGCAGCAACGGCAACATCAGCATCAACTCACCACCACGCGGGAGCGATACCTCTACTTTACTTTTTTTTCTTCTTCTCTCGTTCAAACAACGAAACCACCTTCACCAACTACCACGTCACTCATTTAACCAACCTTTTCGATCAACTCGACAATGGTGTGTTTCCACTCGCTAGCTGCCCGAACCCCGAAGCCGCCATCATGACAAGACGGAAACCGAAGGATTGAACACTCGGCTAACCCCTAATCCCTAAATCACCCACAGCTCGACAAACTCGTAGGCCTCGCCATGCTCGTGGCCGCCACCTTCGTCTTCCTCTATTATACCATCTGGACTCTGTTGATGGTGCGTTCAAACACCCCCCCCCGAAAGCCCCCCCAAAACCCCAGGATGCCCCAGGATCCAGCCATCTTCCTATTCCTTCTTGAAAGAAAAAAACTAACAAACCACCAATCTCCAGCCCTTCGTCGACTCCGACCACCCCTTGCAAAACGTTTTCCCCCCTCGCGAATGGGCCATTCGCATCCCCGTGATCCTCATCCTGCTTGGCGCATCCGTTGTCGGCTCCTTTTTGAGCATGGTGATGATCAAGAGCAACAGGAAGAAGGCAGCCAAGGCTAAGGCCGCGGCGGCCAAAAAGAAGGCGTAAAACCTAGGCTCTTCTTGCCCGGCCTCTATGACAGGCGCATCGCGGTTGGCATTGGGGCTGGAGACATCGAGGACGATCAGTTGGTTTAGGTGCAAAGATATGTATATACTAGCGAGACTAGGTGAATACAGAAATCTGAAAAGGGGAAGATTTGAACGGCACCGAGATCGGTCAGCGTGTGGGATCAGGGTACTATCTCCGGCGACTTGGGTGTTTATTGGATTTTCTCCGTATACATAAGTACCACGGGAATTTGATAAGTCCGTAAACTCTCCTTCCGCGCAAATTTAGAATAGGTTGCTAGGAGGAGCAGTCTCGGATCATCAATATTGCGCACTATCACATGCTCTCATCGGGGATCGAACATATTTGCAAAGTTGTTCGTCTATTATTTGCTTGTCTCGCTTTACTGGTTTCCGTATATGCTAATTACTCAAGTAGCAACCCAATATTTGCCCAGTGTCCCCTATCAAAGTTGCATGCTCACAGCACAACCATCTCCAACAAAGCTGGTACCCAAACTCCATCCTAGCTCCAGCAAGAGGTGGACTCAAAAGCAGAGCCACTAATGGCAAATGCGAATAAGCCATGGTTGATCATTATAATCCAAAGTTTTTGCTTTAATTTGTTTGTGTTTGTAGATCTCACCACCGTCAAAACAGCCATGCAGATCCTTAAACAAAGTCAAACAAGCAAGCACACACTGCGCCGGTGGGGGAAAAAAAAAAAGGACGGCTGTTCCTGGCTTTGCTCAAACTCGCTGGTCGGCAAAATCGAGCACCTCACAATCATCCTCAAAGAACCCATCATAATCCTGGGCGGTCAAGCGGGAAACTCCACGCTTCCGACGAGTTGTGACAACAACCTGGTCAGTGTCCCCGTTCCGTTCAAGGACTCGTTCCATCGCAGAAGGAGGAAGAGCCCTCAGGTCGTCGTTGAACAGGAAATCGTCATCTCCCAGCTGATGCAGCCCCAAATCCAGCTTTCTTCCTTGGATATTGCCGCCAAAAGCCCATGCCTGAGAGGCTCCTGGCTTTAAATTGTCATATTCGCGCGGTGAGGATCGCGGGTCCTTCTGCTTTCTCTGACTGGGTTCAATCACCGAGTCGTCAAGGGACGCCGCACCCATGCGCTCTGAAAGCTGTGCTGCGTCCGACCCGTCTTCAACCTCGAATAGGGCAACACGCCGGTCAGTGTGAAAAGGTTGATACGGCGCGCTAGACTCTATCTCCGCCTGTGGAATTGATGACCGGATGGCAAGGTTGGTCATCTTTGCTTTAGCTCGATATCGATCGAGGACCAACGTCTCATTGCCCGTATCGAGGCCCCTCTCCGTGAACTCGTAGTACTCTTCCTGGTCGACGAAAGCCTTCGCGCGGGCTGCCAACGAGAGGTCCGGCATCAAAGGAACCTTCACATCCTTATATCTTGAAAGTCGTGGAGCTCGTCGCTCGCCTCCGGATGTTCTTCGGTTCGTAACCACAAACGAGCGAACGAGACCATTGCCCAGAACATAGAGCAAGTGGCCCCTCTTACCCGTCACCCACGTCACGCATGACGTCCCTGGAGCGGAGTTGCTGTTCGGTAGAGATACTCGGTTTTCGCCTGTGTGCCTCAGCTGGCTAATGGCATGTCCAGTTTTGCCGAGAGAATGACTGATGCTCGCAGCGATAACCTTTCCACCGTGTGTTGCATAATCGCCAATTCCAGACCCTACAAGCTGTCCGTTGCTACTAGTCCTGCGTGGTCGGCTGATGAGTGGCCGGGCGACTTCACGGACCGAGCTCAGGGCGTTGGAAGCAATCGCAACCGCAGAAGTTCCCTCCGAGGCCGAGTTTGTTGCCTCACTCGGCCTGATCCGGCGACGTGGAGGAGGCCACGAGAAGGCGCTTACCGGTAGATCCAGGATATGAACGGTTCCACGCTCCGTGACCATGGCTATGCGCTCACCATTCGGCTTAGTCCAGGCCACATCAACAATGCGGGTCACTGTCATACGGGAGAACTGGGCGACCTGACGCACTCTCGGGCCTCCCGTGACAGACAAGCCGGCACCCTGCAAGGGCGACGATTTGGTGTACTGTAAACGCATCAAATCCCAAACGGTCTGGACATCTCCCTTGCAGCTGGCAGTGAAGAGAGATAGGCCAGACGGAGAGAAAGACAAGAAACTGCAACCTTGGGGAATGTGGAAGCTGGTAACAGGATGGATAGTGGCCGATGAGGACAAGGTCTCTGAATCCACAATCGAAATCATGTTCGGATCCTTCGCAATTGGCGGAGTGATGGCACCATGTGTCGGAGGAAACTGGGAAGGGTCTGGCTGGGCAGAACCTCCCCAGCTTTGAGGAGCGAGAACAGGAGACCGGCTGGTCGGGTTTGCTTGCGGATTCCAGTAGCTGTTCCAAGCCTGCCAACCTTGTTTGCCAACCCATTTGGCACCTTGGATAAGCTCCTGGGTCGCATCTCGCACAATCTTGTTCACAACACTGTCACCCAACGGAAGATCGATTTCAGAAGAAACGGGTGGCAGCTGACCAGGCGTCAACGAAGACAGATTCGGAGCCCGACCGTAGATTGGAACCGGGACAGTCGCTCGAAGACTTATCTGCGAAGACGGCGTAGCCGGGCAGTAAGCGATCCATTTGCCTCTGACGCTCAGAATTGGAATCTGAGGCCGTGGGCGAGGCGGCACTGGAGTGTAATTCCGGTCCATGTCCTGTGATCCATCGCTGCCTCTCGGAGTCTGCTGGAGTGTTGTCCAAAGTTTTCCATGACAAACGAAACGCGGAGCCAATTCATCCGTTACCACCTGCTGATACACCCAGCATTCGCCGGTGATTCCAGATGATACGACAACACTTCCGCCATCTGCGTGAATGTGGAAAGCACCCGACGGAAGGGGCGCTTGGAAGATCGGGCTGAGGACTGAAGTCTTCAATGGGATCTTCGGTGCCTCAAGTAGAATGTCGACTAGCTTGTTGGTCTTGAGCGAATAGACCTCGACGGTCGTCTGGTAACACTCTATGAAACCAGGTACCGCCCTATCACCGGGCGTATCCTTAGGAGCGTCAAGTGGGACGTTAGCCATGGCCTCGGACCTTTCCTCAGACACGGCATCATAGTCGCCTTCGGTTTTGGGAGCCGAGGTAGAAGCCGACTGGATAGGGGGAATATCTGGACCATGGACAACAACTGCGATCAGCGGGAATACGTCCGCTTGCGCAGCCGTCCAAGGAAGAACCTTGGCGTGATATACGCCTCCACGCAATCCCTTCAAACTTGCCAAGGGTTCCAAGCGACCTCCCTTTGTAAGCTTGTGAACTTCCAAACCGCCCTCGTATCCAGCCAAGACGACCTTGTCATTCCTCATAACATTATCCAAAGATGGAGAGGTAATGATATCATACCCAAAATAGTAGCCTCGTTCGCCCGCCTTGATGCCATCGTGGCGATGGGTGTCTAGGTTAAAGTCGGGTGCACCGTAAAAGTGAGGTTGCGGTTGGTGAGGCAGCGGTGGATTTCCAGCACGCGCAAAGTGCGAATGCATCGAGCTTCTCCTAGATGCTGGCTCGCCTAAATGTCCGTGAAGCTCCGCAGGGGATCTAGCCATGTGGAAACTCATCGGCCGGCGGCCCCCGGTTGGAGGTGATACGGAAGCTGCATAGAGATTGCTGGGAGGCCTGGGAGAAGACCAGCCAGAGGACATCCCGCGTGTGTCGTCGAATGATGAAGGAGTATACGACGAGGGAGCAGTAGGAGGCGACTCGCCCGCCAAACTAATAAGATTCCCGGGCGAGCCTGCCATAGTTGGCAGGTTCTTTATCCATTCCCTAGCGTTCGGCGAGGGGCTTGTTGCAAACGAAGCCGTGGAGACAGCGTCGAGATAAGGGGAAGTGATTCGATCACGGGGCGAGGGTGCAAAAGGCATGCTATCGGGAACCGACACTGCCGGTATCGGGGTAGCGGTCGGCGACGGGCTGGACGAGGCGTCTTTAGCGTCAGTCGTGTTTCTAATAGGGTAACTGATGATTAGATTGAGCAGTTTGAGTGGTGACGGGCACTCGAGCACAGAGGATCATCCGTTGAACAGGAGGGGAACCCACGAGAACTTGGCGCCCTGTTTCGTCACCGCTGCAACCACTCCGCCACTGTCCTTGCCATTCTTCCGGTCTTTCTTAGAGGCTATCAAGGCCTTACGTTAGAACAGAAAATCACGGAGATTGTTGAAGGAGCACAACAAACCTGGCATGAATGGCAACTCGGGAGAGGGTCGAGCAGGTTCCTGCCCGCGGGGATGAAGCAACAAGCGTCGAAAGGTCTCCAGGCACGTAGAGACACAACTAGCCGGCGTTCAGAGAGTGAATACGGCAGGTATGTATATGGTGAAGAGCCTTGGTAAATGAGACGGTTCTACGTGGGTTGCACGGCGTATGCTCGGAGAAACGTAGGGCAAGATAGCTATTGGCGAATTCGAGCGGTAATATCGAGAGCGTCGAGGCAGTTGAGCACTGGGCTGTGTCCGGGAGTTGTGCTGTGTTGTTACCAGGGGACAAAGGAGTGTAATCGCAGAGCGAACTCTGCGACAGACGGGCAGATGGAAGGAGGATGATATCAAATTAGAAAAGAGAGAGTAGAGTCGCACTTGAAGTGACGCTGTATTACAGATGGTGGTTAGATTAGTAGCAGCGTGTGTAAAGTTCGAAATGTGTCGTGATCAAAGCAAAGAGAAGTCGCCGGCGTATGCTAGTAGTCGTTGCACGTTCGTGATGATAACTGGTCGGAAAGTCGGTGCTGTTGTTCCTGGTATGAAGTAGAAGCTGGGTACCTTGCGTGTTTCTGTCTGTGTGTGTGTGTGTGTGGTTTGTAGGTAGTTGGGTAAAGAAGAGGTCGGATGGAACTTCAAGTGTGAACCAATGTAGGAAGAGTCAGAGAGGTGGTGACTGCCGACGTCAACAGCCCCCTCCCCAATTGAGCGGCAGTATACGGGTCAACGGCCAGGATGGATCAACCAGCAACTGCCTACCTACTGGACAGTGCCTGGCGCGAGGTCCTGCCTGCCCGTGGTACCTCCCCGTCTATTGAGAGGTAGTGGGAGGTACCTGGCTCCTGCTGGTTACCTAGGTCAGTTACACCAGACCGGGCTGCGTGGGCGGTGACCCCGTCAGGGTGACGGGTTGAGGACCTTCCTGACTGCCCGTCCAGTCACCCGGGAACCTGAGCACTGTGATGCCTGTTACTGGCTGCTATTAACAACTGCAGTGGGATGCGGGACAAGAAGGGAATGGAAGAGTGGAACCCACACACGGGTCCAGTTAAGGCGCCTTGGCTATCTTGACCTGGAGGTACCTTACCTACCCTACGGTCTAGAGCAGTGTACACTATCAGCCTGCTGTTGTTTCAAAAGGCCGACGTCGTTTGAAATCCGGGCAGCAAAGGCGGGTTCGGGAATCGGGATTCTGATTGATGAGAGACAACGACAAGCGGGCAAGGCGGGGAGATCTTCAGCGACGGGAGGTTGTAGGTTGTCGTGAGTGGAGGTGGTACAAGCGTGCGGGGCGTGATGCAGGTGCAAAGGGACGAGGTACCCACCGGTGCTAGTGAGCGGGATAGCGTGACGGTTCAAGTGTCCCGAGATAAGAAACCACCCAGAGCCCCTATCTTCACAAGGACAACAAGGCACAAGTACCCCCATGTACCTGGCAGGGAAGCGTTACAATGAAACCGCCTGAATGGACGCCGATGGCGGGGCGATCTGTTATCCAGTCCCCCTCCCTGCCCGGTGCTCCCACCGCTAGGTATCCATCACCTAATCACTCACACACCGACCTTCGGCGCTTCTCTTCACTTCTCTTCTCTCATTCTTACATTGTGGTGGGAGACCAGCTGACTCCTTCTTTGTGGCAACGGGTAAAAGAGATCTTTGCTGTGCTTCCTCCATGGCCTCCAATGGCGAAAGTGGCTGCTGCTGCTGCTGCCTATCATGATGATGGGCATGGCCCAAGTCGGTTGGATGATGGTTCGCAAGGACCAGTTCACCGTGGTAGGGTCGTTCATTTCATCTCGTACACAAGCACCCAAAAAGTACGTCATCGGTTCCGATGGCCAGATGGGTGGATGGATCATGGATCCTTGTTTCATGACTGCGACGAACCCCTGGGTATCTACCTAATGCCAGTGCTATGAAAGGTAGGTTTCTAAAAGCAACCTCTTGATGCTTAACACACTAGCAAAATGAAATATCGAAAAGATAGCCGCCCAGGGCTGGTGACGGTCGGGGGGCTCACATGGCACATGGTCGACATGGCCTTTGTTTTAGTCATTCCGGGATCTACAAAGCGTAGTATTCACCATTGTCGGCTACATGATGGGTTAGATGGTTCTTTCAGCATGCACATGGCGCGCTCCCCTCCTCGGGGGCCTTTGTCTCGTTATCCTCATGTCTTTTGATTCCCTCAAGCTTGATACCTAGGTAGTCAATGATAGCTGAGGAGATCCGTCTTACCTTACGTCATCGTACCTATACTGTAGGTAGGTATGCCAGATGGTGATGGTGGTGATGGTGGTGCTTCAACAAGCTCACAGGGCAGGCCGCATTGCCACGCACATTGCTCATCTGGCAGCCAGGCGCTAGCTATGTACGCATGCACAGAGCATTCCGTCCACACACGCAAGAGGCCTTTTCAATGTCCATCAAGATCCAGTTATCAAAGTCACCCGGAAGCAACCGACACGCCGATTTCGCAGGCTATGGTAAACCCAAAAGGAGTCATCTCAGGCCAGGTCGTGACACGCCGCTCGCCTGATCCGCGGCTGGCTGAGGTGCGTATAAGACGCTGTGCTCCCTTCGATGTCCCCCGCACTCCTTGAGGCCATCGTCGTTCCTCCGTTTGTCTCTCGCCGGTACCCTAGCGAATATACCCCGCTCCGAGAATCTTGACCTACTGGTAGCTGATCTCTGATGCCTGGCTTACTTTTCTATCGCAGAATTGTCCTATGGCAGACAAGCAAAAGCGAGACCAACCACAGCCCCAGGAAGAAGAACAAGGCAAGGGGGTTTCAGTCAGCTGCTGGCTGCATGTGCATTGTCTCTTATCCCGCCGTCTGGGCGGGTGACAGTCCGGCATATCATGTGGGTTGCTGGAGTTACGCATCGAAAAGGGAGGTGGGGTTTGTTTAGTCGACTTCGGGGGTTTGCGGCAACGCCTGGCTCATGTGGCTCTGGAACTGTTTGGAATCGTGTAGTTTAAAGCGAACATAGCTATGAATGCTTCATTATAGCGAACCCGGTATATCAAGCGTGCATGATTGTGAAATGGTGGAGAGCAGAATCATGAGCACGTATTCCATTTATTGTATAGGAACAGCGTGCCATCTGTCTGCGTATGTGCTGTTAGCAATGTCTTTCTGTTCTAACGGATATGAACGTATAGGGTGCCGACTGATGTTAGTACACTGGACCCACCTCAACCCAAACCCATACCGAAAACTCCCCTTCTCAACACCCTTCACTCCTACGCCCATCAGGTCTGAGACAACATGACGCAAATACCGGACTCAACACATTCTTGCAAGCCCAGTATCTAGATCGCGACTCCGAGATGTTGATAGTGCGAAACTGATACTAATTGCCTACAACGAATATCAACCCAAACCACGATCACAATCCAGATCCCATTACCAGACCGTACTCTCCCATCAAATCCCCAAGTACTATCCTGTCATCTTACAACAGGAACCTCCGCGTGTCTATCCTTCCACTACTCAACGCTAGAAGACAAATATACTCTATACCTCCCAAACACAAATGGCGAAGTATTTCCCCTTGCGGATGCTTTGCCATCAGAACTACCATGACCACCACCTTCCTTCTTCATCTCCTCCTCTCCGTCCTCCAATTCCCTCCCAACCAATATCCCATGCGCCGCCCAGTCCATCTTCTCCTCTTTGCCTGTCTCCCTCAACGTATAAAGCACAGTCCCATATATCATAAACTCCAAGTTCAGGACACCATCACCTTTGACCCCCCCTCCTCCCCCTCCTCCTCCTCCCAACTGTCCAGTAAGAGGGAACATACCCGGAAACCCCTTCTGAACTGTATGCTTCCTCGTCTTGACCTTTTCCCACATTCCCTTTCTTAGGACACGAAGCTCTATATTTATTCATTCAACGAATTAGTTCATTGAACTCCGCCTCTTGGTCACAACTTCAGCAAGGAAACACATGACGATAGGGATATAGAGGCAGGTAGAGATGTATGGGGTTGCGTACCATCCTTCCCCTCAGCAACCTTCTCGCCCATCACGATCTTGGCTTCCTCCCCGAAAAAGCTGAGCCATTCCTCGGTCAGATCCGGGTTGTCAGATACTTGGAAGAAGCGGGTGATGAACTGGAAGATTGAGGCTGCCGGCATGGGGGATATGCCCAGGTCCTTAGGCCAGGTAGGTTCGTAGCCAGAGGGGTTTTGTTGGTCTTGATCTCCGTGGGTTTGGGTTTGAGAATCCATTATGTGGTGGGTGAGCATGTAGCTGAGTAGGGAACGCAGTAGGTTCCTCTGTCGTGTAGGTACGTAGGCCAGTTGGTGAAGCAATGATCGTTTCTGGTGATTAAAAGCAGGTTGCGCGGTCTGACTTTAGGCTCCTTGCGATGCCGAGTATGACACGTGGATTGCCAGACGGGACTGTTGCCTTTCCGCTTCCTCCGTTCGTCCCTCGATGGCGATGATCCTCGCCATTGTCGTCATGGCTTGGCAGGCACACCTTGAAGGTCAACACCAAGTCATGGTTCTTTTTAAGACCGTCTCGGTACATCGCATAGGAACACCTGGTATATAAAACAATATACATGTTCTTCGCAGCTTTCTCGCCCGTCAACTTCCGCTATGGGATACAGTCTCGCTCCATAACAAGGGCCATTTCCAACCAGTATAAGTGCCCTCTTTTTGGTGAGCCTTTGAGCTTAACTACCAACAGTCCGATCTGTCATAGTTATGTTACTGAAGTCTGTAGCCTAATGTCCTACTTTGAAAGGTTGATTAATCGCCATGTATGGTGAAAAGGAATCAACCATCCACCTGGCAGGCTGAGGTTATAAATGCCAGAACGCGCTACCAAATGACTTATCTCACACCAGCGCCTTCCCAACCGAAAACCAACGCCCAAGTGCATTGCCATCACGCAACCAGCTTGGCCCCACGCTGTACTGAACGAGACAGGAAACAAAACATCATGATGCCACCGACCCTAGAGGTATCTCAAGGCCTCTCTTAGCTCTAGCCCCCTGGGCTCTCTACGTAGGCACTAACGCCTCAGTTCTCTAGGCCTTGATGCCTCTAGCACTGACTTCGCCCTTCTCGCCAATGTTGAGCGCCTTGCGACAGTCGGGACAATACCACTTCGTCGTCCTCGCCGGAATCGCGGTGAGTCCTACGCATTCGAGATGGAACCATTCCTGCTGGCATTTCTGTGGATTGACAACATCGTTAGCCTTGTGTCTCTTTTGGTTGTTCTGATTCCCTCCCCAAATCTCTCCATCCTCTTTGTCTTCGGAATTGTTCGAGCACTGGCTCCGGGCGATTCTCACCCTCTTCTTTCCCGTCTGAGAGGGATAGCTCTCTGCGTTTTCTTCTGCATTTTCCTTGTTGGGCGCTTGCTCTTCGTCCTGTTCTTCTTCATGCACATCCTCCTTTGTTTCCTGTTTTCGCCTGAGACCTTTTTCGTCGGTCTTTGACCTTGTGGAAATGGACATAGTAGACGTAGAAGTTGCCGAACCTCGACTTGCTGCGGCCTTGCCGGATTTTTTTGATGCTGACTTCTTCTTCTTGTTGGGTTGTTTACTCACATCGATGTTATCACATTGAATCATTATCCCAAAGCTCACACGGTTGCATAGGCAGTACCTCGGCTCGTCGGGATCGATCACGTTTCCCTCGTCATCCACCTCAACTTCCATCTCGTTTTTGGCTCCGGCGGCGGCTGTCATTGCTGCTACTGCCGCCGCTGTTTGTCGACCTTCCACAGCTGCCTTGTCCTTACCCTTCCCGGTGCGGGCGCTCTTCTTCGGCGCGGCTTTTCGTTTCCCAACAGCACTATTGCCGCCGCTCACAGTCCGACTAATAACACCTGGCGCTGGTCTTTTGGTTCGCTTTCCGGTCGTCCGTGTGGTTGTGGTCGTCTCTGCCGGAGCCTTGTCTGGTGCAGGGGTGTTCCGGGCAGTACTTGTGCGACGAGGGCGTTCTGATGCAAGAGAAGCCTGGGGTTCTAAACTAGAAGCCTTGCGACGAATAGATGTGGTTGATGCCACACTGGGAGGCGCAGTAACCGTTGTGGATACTGCTAGTTCCTCTTGATCTGGTGTGTGACTGGGTACATCTGCAGCTGGAGTTGTTACACGAGACGCACTTTGTATTTCCTTTTGCTGTTGCTGCACCTGTAGTTGTTGTTTCTGTTGTGGTTGGTTTTGCTGCGGCAGCGGTTGCGGCGGCGGCGGCTGCTGCTGTTGCAGTGATTGCGGTTGCGGTTGTGTTGTCGGTTGTTGTTGCTGCTGCTCTTGGGTGCGAGTCATTTGCGTCTTCCTAGTCTCTCTAACAGGAGGAAGAATCGGAGTTGTAGACTTTCTGGGCGACCGTAACGGCGGCGGGATCGGGGTCTCAGCGGGTGGTAGCTTTATGGGCGGAACTGGAGGAGCCGCACTGGAACTACCGGCGATGCTGCTTGGGGCGGGAGATGTCGCCGAAGCGACTGAGGCACTAGATTTGGCAGCGCTGGAGTGATCTTGGGCGTGAATGGGGAGAGGGATGGGGGTTGTAGAATGCAAGACAGGTGTAGGCACTGCCGTTCTCTGGTGTGGTTGAAGATTTAGCTGCGGAGTAGGGACAGGAGTCTCGTTCTTCATCCGCTTGATCTGCGACTCTGGTTTCGTCGCATCGGCCTCGATGACAGACTCCCTCTTGCGCTTCTTTGGTTGCTTGGGTCGGCTGTTGTTGACTATCGTAGGTGTTGGGGTTGGTTGGGCAATGGCAGGTTGCGAGTTGTTCATCAATATCCGGGCAACATTGTCCAGGAGCTTCGCCGACTCTTCGGCCTCAATCGCAGCCTGGTGTGCCAACTGGACTCTCTTGAGTTTCTTGGCCTCGTTCAACTTCATGCCGCGATTATAGGTATTCGCCTCGTCTGCAGCCAAAGCCTCTTCCGAGACCGCGCCCACGGGCATCTGCATCTCTCCAGTGGTAGGGTTCTTGACCGGGACAGGCATCTTTCCTTCAAAGACCCTTCCCTCTTGTTCCGCTTTTTGCTGTGCAGCTTTAAAGGCTTCATAGCCGCGGCCCAACGCTTGGAGTTCTCGAGCGATCATGGTAACGGAGGGGGTCCATGCTGCATTCTTCTTCATCTTCTTTCTCAGCTTGGCGAGTTCGAATGGTGTAAGCTGGCCCCAAGGAGCGTCCGGGCCGCCGATGACAGGGTTCACTGGAGGCGGACCCAGCTGTGCCAGCGCAGCGCTCGTAGATAGCGGCTGCTCGCCCCCCGGAACATGCGGCGGAGGTACGGATGTTCTTGGCTTGGGTGCCTTTCCAGCTTTAGGGGGACGGGCAGGAGCCTTCACAACCTTGATACGTGGCTGGGGTGCTGGGGTCACACGGCTGGTGGACAGAGATGCCACATCCTCGTCCTCGGAGCTGCTCTCGCTGTCGCTGGTAAACGGCTCATAGTTGAGCTCGTATGGCGCCAAAACTTCTCCAGGGACTGTGATTCTTGGGATCGCATGTCGTCGAGGTTTGTGACCATCCAGTCTCAGGGGTGCCTTCGACCCTGCCGCTGCCTGGGGCGACTTGAACGTTGCAACAGGACTCTTGATCTCTTCTGGGGGCGGGTAGTTCTCCAACATGGTCTCCAGCTTGGCGAGAATGGTTTTGATGCGACTGTAGTGTCGTTTAACCTCTCCATCCATTCGTACAGCTTCCGCGTGGGCGGAGACACGGGCATTCATGCCTTGCTGAAGCTGTTCGGAGATGTCGGCGCGCACATTGACGGCACTGGTCCGCTCGGGGGGTGGGATGTTGGGTAGTTGAGACCATTTGGTGGCGAGTTCGTGGACTTTGGTGGACGCGTTGACGTGGGTCTCGTCGAGCTTGCCGATGAGGGTGAGGGAGCGCATTATGTCTGCTGGAAGGTATTCGGTAAAGTCGAGGAAATCGGTTACGGTAGCTTGAGCATCGGGGTCGGCCGGCATGTCGAGAGAGTTGAGAGGGTTGAGGGCACCGAGGGTCTGGATCGCCTGCTGGATGGGCGGCGCGTCCTGACGCGGGGAAATGGGTTCGTTCATCGCGTTGGACTGCTCGATTGCTTCGGCAGCAGACATCTTGAGCGGGGACTGTTCAAACTCGTAGGGCGATAAGGCAAGGGGCTATAGATCGGTGGGCAGGTTCATGTTAGGCGTCGCGCGCGGGAGAAGACGGTCGCCTCGGTTTGGTTCAGTTGTTGTCCGAGTCGCCGAGCAGAAAGAGGAAAAGTTGGTACTTGTGGCGTTATCGAGGCTTGGGTGAGGGCAAAGGTCCCACACGATGCGGGCGGGTGGCCGATGATGTCGTCGTTTCGTGCAGTGGAACGCGTGAGGTCAAAGGACGGCAAGTGGAAAGGGAACCGAGCTTGTGAAACGGGCCGGTGGAGCCTGCCAGTGATCGGCCTTTGTGGAGAAGGGAACCTCAAGGGACCGTGGGCTGGAAGGAACTTGGCGCCCCACATTTCCTGCAGTCAACTGCAGGTCTGCAGCGCTCAGGAACCAACACCTTAACAGGTTTAGCGTGCTTCGCATAGCAATTCATTCGCCATTCTTCAGGGTCCATGAGTTCTTGTTTCTCTTCCCAGATTTGGTACGTCGGTAGGCTCCTGATAATGACAAACTACCTACTGTAGCTCTACTGCATTAGCAGCTAAATCTGGTAGCTGGAAACTCAGATATTTGGTTTTTCCACCTCCAGTTTTGGCTCCCTTGATAGTTGACAGATGGTTCAAAGTTGGTTGGTTCCACAAGTGACCAAGCAAGCCAAGGAAAGACTGCTGTTCCCCCAACCCATTATTGACAGTTAGTGTAGGTCCCCCCACCGGGTTATTGTCATGATTGCCTCAGTTGTTCGTGGTGTTCGGTCTTCGAAGCACGGTCCGTGTAATTGACTGTTTGTGGATTTTCCTCCTCTAAAAGGATCCCGGTCTTTGTTATCTGCCTACCTAGCTGACCACCCCACCCTCAGAACTTCGACTGTACGTCTCGCTGATGATATAAACATGTAAATGAAAAAAATAAGAACCGGAAAGGGAAAGAAACGAGACGCGAAGCAAAAGAGATAGCATATCTAAACCAAGCCCTGACCGCGCCGTGGCCACCACAACTTCTTCCCAAATAAACAAATTCTGCGCCCCAATCACATCACGGTGCCTCTTTCCATTTTCGAAGTCGACATGACAGAAGGAAAGATAACAAAAAAAATTTTGACGGACGCCGAAGTGACAACGCGCACAACAGACATCAAGCCCATGGACTAGAAAATGAAAACACCAACAATACCACACGGTGTACCAGGTCCAAGAGAGAAAGTCTTCCAATGTCTAGAAAAGAATAAAAAAGTTGGGAAGAAACGATCAAGGAAAAAATTAAGCCAAGTTATACATCCAGTGAGCTTTCTATCCCTCATAGTTAGTCCTCTGGATGAGCTTAGCGCCATGGACGATCTCGCCCTGTTCGGTTTGATACCAAGATTGGTCACCGACGGTGGTTATGGATGCGTATGCTGTTAGGCTTTTGCATTTCCTTTCACGTTGACTTTCGTCAGCATATATGCCCTGGGCTGGATTTTATGTTCAACAGTGGCTGAATAAATGACACAGGTAACTTACAGATACCCATTGATGGTGATGGCTCCCCAGACTTCCACGTCCCCTTGGACCTCAAAGGTACCGGTGACTTTGAGTTTTCCGAAGATTTTGACTCTGTCGCTGTTTGTGAAGGATGGTGGTCAGAACTGTTGGGTTCTGTGACAGAGAGAGAAAAGAAGGGAAAATGGAGAGAGAGAGAGAGAGGGGGGGGGGGAGGAGGTGAAGTAACTTACACACACAGCGCACTCCCATCAATCTTGACGTTCCCATACGCCTTAATCCTACTACTGTGTTTCGACGTGATTAGCATCGCCCCCTTTCCAATCTCACATCCAGAAAGCGAAAGCCAGAGAAGAGAAGGAGAGCACAAACGTACCTGCACCTCAAATCCCCAACAATACTAATATCCCCATACGCCTCAATGCGATCTCTCACTGCAAAGTTCCCCGAGAACGCAACGCCTCCGCCGGATTTGACCGATCCGTCGACCTCCATTGGCCCTCTCAACTCGAGGGAGCTGTCTGACTCGATGCTCTTCCTTCTCTTGACTGTGGCGTGTTGTTGTCGGGTACTGTTTGTGTTGGAAGACCCCGTGCTGGCGTTGGCGCTGTAGACTCCTCCCTGCCCCCGGGAATCGAAGGTCATGCTATGCTCGTGTTGGTACATTGTTGTCGCGGACGGAAGCTCGGCTTCAAACGGTGCTAATGGTGATGTTGGTGTTGTTGGTGCTGTTGCCGATGGTGTTGCTTCTATACCGGAAAAACAGGATGAAGTACACGAGGAAGAAGCTCTGTCAGGAATATGAGGATGCTACTGTTGGCTTTGTCTCATGACCTGTTGCCAAAATCCTCTGTCGTTGTAGTTGGCCCGCTTAGTGATGTTTCCGAGGATACAACTGCTATGAATGGTGTTGGATTCTGAAGGCTGATGAGGCTTATGATATCAAAGAGTGTCAACCTCCATTGCCAACGGGGGGATTAGACGGAGCTATATAGTAGATGTCGAAGCCCAAAATCTGTATCCTACCCAAACGACTGCATGTAGGGTGAGGGTCGGATGTCTCCAAGCTAAAGGACAAGAGAAGGACAAAGATAGTGAAGCTCCAAACCAGACGAGTATGTCATTAGTCCGCTTCGAAAATTTTCCAGGACCGTCTGTCGGAACTCTGACCTAGTGTACACCATACTACAAACACCGACCGGCGACCTAAGCTTCGCCCAGCCTGACCTGAAGATGTACCTCTAGAGGTATCCATATGACGGCGGCATGAGCCTTGGGAGCCTTGAAAGAGTCGAGAGTTCTTCGTTACCCTTTCCCCATTGAGACTTGACGTTATGAAAACAGCTATGCCCCCCAAATCCCGTGGGCGCCACGGACGATGGAGCAAGTTGACGGCCGGTCGGTATGTCATCACAAGGGAACTAACACATAACGGCATGATGGTTGCTGTTCTATGTCAAGCCACAGATCACCAGAAGCACACACAGGTAGGTACCTACCTATCTAGAGGTAGTCTTACTACCGCTACTGCACGCAGCTTTTGTTAATATCAATAAACAAATTCACGAATTATCTCCGCTGCTACGCCTCGCCTGTGATGATACATTGAATATGTCAGTACACAGTAAGCCACCACGTCTATGCCAGGTTTGCGCATCAACACCACCACTGCCGCCACTTATCTACATTCACATCCACGTCTTCCTAGCCCGGAATGTGTACCGAACCCATATCCCGGTATCTCTTGGCGTCAATGGATTAAACACTAGGAAATTCAACGACATAGAGCGGAGTAGTTTTTTTTACGGAACATTCTGTTCACAGAATCCGTTATGTTTACCCCTTTTGGGGGGGGGGGGGACCTATCTTTCTTCTTCACTTTTGCATACAGGTCAGGTCAGGGACAAGGAATTGGGCAAGACGAGACAAAGTAAGGCAAAGCAACGGAGATAGTCGGCGATGGTCCTAATTCTGAGCCACAAAGACGCAGTAGTCTAGTATAGTCCATGTCTAGCCCCTTGCCGACCGAAGTTGGAGTTGAGGTTAGTCCACCTAGCTACCTTGCGCTAGATCGCGCTTCTTCGCTTAAAAAAAGCTGCGTCTGCATGGCGTTATGGTGTAGAACTGCAACTCTGTGCGTTACCACCAAACAAGCCACCGACAGACGGAGCTCTCGAGGAGGCCGCCCATAGCACTACATTAGACTATGTACAGTAGCCAGCCGACTACCCGTTCGCGACGCTCGGTGGTGGTGGATCGCGTTGAACTAACCGGTAGTCCGGTGTTCAAATTCGATTCGTTCGGCTCTGTTGTCGCTAGAAATGAGGCGTCGTTATGTCCAAAAAGGAGGGTTGTAACATCTTACCATTCGCCAGCTTTGCCGATAGTCGCCAATAAGGTTCATGGCGCGGCGGCGCAGCAGGGCTAACCAACAGTTCTCACGACAAAAGAAGGGGGAGGAGGGGGATGCGGGGGGTAGATGGGGAACAACGGCATATGTAACACCCTGTTTCCCCTGCCCTGACAAAGAGTGACAGTGACTTTGCCGAACGGAACACACCGACCGACCGACCGACCGATCGTGAGACTTGTCCATTCAGTTCTGGATATTTCGCTTCATGCATGAAATGGCTTGCAGACAGAACCTTAGTTGTTGCCCGATTCCAAGGTCTTCAGCCATGAAACAGCCTTGCCTCGCGCTGAAGCTGCCTTGGCCGGACGTCCGCCCGTGAGCTGTGTTCCACTTACTAACCCAGCTCTCCAGTTAAAGATGCCGAAAGCGGTGACCGCATGGCACAGAACAGTGTCAATGCCCATTTCTTTCGAACTGCAGTAATATTATGAGGATTTGTAAGAGGGAATGTGAGTTCGCGATGCATGCCCATCTTGGTCCTGGACCGCGACTCCAGCCTTGTTAGATGTTTGGTAAACATTGAGGAAGATCGAACATTCCAAGCATGGGGTTGACGTGGGCCACGTCCCAGCCTAAAACCCACGTGGCATATTTGGGCGTCAGATCAACATGATCACGCTCGGTGAGACAGTGAGCGTATTTCGTAGTTTCATAATTCTTTATTTGAAATTTTTTTTTTTTTCTGGGAAAAAACAAATACATCTTTGTGAAGGGATAAACCTTTGGCGTCCGAGAAAACATGTACTGTGACACATGACTTCATTCTTAAAGGTGAAGAAACTTATATCCAGCAAGTGCTGCCTATCTCCAACATCCCCTAACCGCAGTCAGAGACAGCCTACACACTTCCTACATATCTCAGAGCCAGGCCCGTGATTGCGGCAGCCAGAACCCAGACGCTCGCATAGACAGCTGCTCCGTACGAGTCTACGCCGCTGAGGACAGTGGTAGCCTGCAAATAGGTATCGACTCCAGCAAAAAGCATGGCCACGGCAGTCCTCTTGACTGAGACCTTGGTCGGGGTGGTGTACCCCCAAAGATTCCAGTAGATGGTCTGTCCAAGGTTGGCGGTGGCCGGATCAAACTCGGCAACTTCCTGGTCCCTGATGGTGGGCGAAGCCGTGACAGAAGGAGTAAAGATCAGGGTACGCGCAGCCACGCCGAAGAGCAGGCAAAGGATCTGTGTCAGCGGGCGGTTGAAGCTGAAGAGTTGGGCGTCTTGAGCAGGCTCAATGGTGCGTATACCCTCAAAGTAGAGTACAAAGTTCGTGGGAAGGAAAGTCCGGCAGGCCAAAAACAGTGTAACGCTGTAGACGAGGGCGGAAAGCAGCGATGTAAGCACCTGGATCTGCCTGTCGACAACAATGTCCCGATTAGGGATACCAGGTGCGGCTGAGTGGGCGCCCGACAGCTGGCGCAAGAGGAGGAAGGGAACAAAGGTCGATACGACCTCAACGGCAAGGTAGGCGCCGGCAGTCGAAGCACGGATGCCATAGTAAGTAGAAATCAGGTAGGCCTGTGGAACATGTCAGTTGGCTGCGTCTACTTGTGTGTGTGTGTGTGTGTGTGTGTGTGTGCCACAATGAGGATGGGATGGTAGACAGCGGATGGAAACTCACCGTTGGACCATGAGAAAGGACAGCCAGAGCAGCAAGGTCAAAACCGTCATAGTTTCCGTACCAACCCAGAGCAAGTCCAAATCTGCCATGCCATTGACGTTAGTACGATGGAGCTGTACCTCGTGCGTCTCTTTTTCAGCCCTACGACAGGGGTTTGTTTGCCAAAGAAGCGAGCCATAAACGCGTGTCATGATCAAAAGACCAGGGAGGTTCTTACAATTTCCAACCCGCTAACGCAAGCGCTTCCGTCTGCGTTAGAGACGAGGCAGGCCTAACAACCTTGGCCAGCTCGCCGTGAGTGTATTCCGCCACCAAGGAACGCCCAAGAGACTCGAGATAAAAGCTCAGGATGGCAACCAGGGCAAAACGGACAGCTCCCGGTAGTCGCGCACGCTTCAAATGCGCAGGCACCACTTTGTGAGTCTGGGCAACTTCGACGGCAGCCTCTACGGCTGGCATGGCAATCGAAGTTGCGAGTGCGACGGGGTCCGCAGCCTTGACCGCATCTCCAGCTGCATCCTCCACCGCTGCCGCCACCGTGTCTACTACTTTCTTCACAGATTTCTGTCGAGCCATCGGTACCTAGTGCGTTCGTGGTTATCGATGCGAGGTAGATGCGTGTTCGAGCGGGGCGCGGACTGCTTCTTCCTTTTTTTTCTTCTTTTTTTCCTGCGCGAGTGTGATGAGAGGTGACGCGCAAGTTTGCGGACTTTTTTTGTTTTTGTTGAGCTTGACTAATGCGGCGTTGACCGAGACATGCACGGGATTCGTAGGAACCAAGGCACTTGGTGTGTGTAGAGCAAATGACAAACGAGAATGAAGAGAGCCTTGGGTGGTTTCGGTTTTGTTTTCAAACGGCAAGAGCCGCGTCGGATGATGATGATGGAGATGATGATGGAGAAAAGAAGTTACCAGGAGTAATCGTAGAGGTAGAGCTCTGGGCCTAGGTACCAAGGCATGGTGGGAAGCTGCTGATGCGTGGGCAGGTGGAGCAGTGACGTCTATCGCCTAAAGGCCACTGCATCAGTCAACCGTCGGAGGTCCCCCCTTCCCGTCCTGCCGCGCTAACCTCCGCATCCACCCCACTGCCCGCTTTTGGGGGAGGCATGTAAACACAGCAGGTCGAGGGGAGCTCTTCATCAACCCGCCCGACCACGCGGCACTGCCAGGTAAACCCGCGCCGCCAGGCATCAAGCAAGAGACAATTACTACCTACCATTGCAACAAAACACTGGACATTATCAGTACGGTAGGTATGTACATAGAGGTAAGATATTGCCACGGACCTGAACTTTGCCAGCCGACGGGCCCTCAGCCGAGATCAAAACGAAGTATTTATTTCATCCCCTCTCCTTACTTTTGTCCACTTCTTCGCAAGCTCTTTCCATTTTCCGAGGAACCTAAAGTTGAGCTCCAGCGAGACTCAGCCTCACTTACCCTGGTGACAGCCGGAGAAGTCATCAACCATCAACATCTCAGACATCTCTCTGGTGTGTAACCCCTCCCTTCTATTCCACCACTACCCTCGCCAGCCAAACAAACTACACGGGCAAGTTTTGCTCCATCCATGGTTGTGTTGTATGTGCATTTGGTATTTGTTCGCTCGCTAACTAGATAAGTTTCCAAGTATTTGCTCAACGCTCGCTCACAACACTCACTTTAACCTCGTGGAGTTTTGACTGCGTCCCGCGACACCTCTGGCGCTGGCATCTCTCAGCCCATGAGCCATGGCTCGCCAACCACAGTGCTCCCCACTCTTCGGTGCCAAGTGTCGTTGGCGGAGCAAAGTGCCTCATTAACATGGTTTCGATATAGATTACAAAAGGAAATCCTTCATCAGCATCATGAGTTCCTTCTCTTCCCGCGCCGTCCACGAGCTGCTTCCGCAATATAGTACAGGCAACGGACCGCTTCGGCCTTCTCATTCTTCCATTCTTCCAAAGACACCGTCGTCGTCCTCGTCGCTTCTTGCCCGGGACCGCATGTCTTCGTCGTCGTCATAGTCCATGACGCTATCTTCGTCCATCTTGACGTCGCCCCGCTCGCTCTGGCAGCTCTGGCGTAACTCCCCTCTAGTAAAGCTTTCCGGAGCTCTACTAGGAAAGCTGTTGATGAAGCTACCAGGGATAAGGCCGAAAGACTGGCCCAGATATTGGTTTGGCAGAGGTGGCACCAGGGGTGCGTCTGCTCCGAGGTGAAACGACCGAGGGCCAGCGTTGCTGTTAAAGCTACAGCTAAGACCTTCCACTGCCGCAGCCAAATCCCGATCTTCCTTGCCGGTTGCGTTCCTGCCGGACGACGTTGGCCTGTGATCCTGGCTCATCAGGCTGAGCTGGCGGAAATGACCTCCAAATGGCGAACCAACCGGCACGCTACCCGCCACCGAACTACCGAATGCCGCAGATTGATACGACTGCGCAAACCCGCTGCCGGTACTCTGTCTCTTGGTGAAGCTCATGGGGAACCCGGTCATGTTGCTTAGGGTGTCCAGCTGGGGCGGTGGGGTCGTGTCCGCAGAGCTGCGCTCTGGTTGATCCGAATAACCTGATGCTGCTGGGGATGCCGAATCCTGATCGCTGTTGAAGTCGTGGGTCGAGTCAGGAGGCGTGGTCCCGGTTGTTGGTTTGTTGTTCATAGCTACCAAAACAGAAGCGGCCTCGAGAAGCTGCACTTGCTGGTGCTTGGAAATCAGCAGCTTCGAGGTATATGACCATTCGGGAGTGTGCTCCCACCTGACGGTAGAGACAAGTCAACACAAAAGCTCTCCAAAAGCATTGCCCGAGTCCCGTGGCCAATACCAATCCTTTACACTCAACAGCCATGGAACAGGGAGTGGGAAAGGGGAGGAAAGGAAAATGGGCACACACAAATGCTTGGTCAAGCAGCTGCTATGCTTGTATCCCTTCCCGCACTTCTCACAGCGAAGTTCCGGGCGGTTGATTCTTCGGCTTTCCTTGGGCGCCGGCTGGCCGTCACTGGCCCTCCTGTTTCGGCTCTTGCTCGCCCCGCTGCTGCTATTGTTGCTGTTGTCTCCTTCATCTCCGGACAAGTGAACCTCATCATCAATTGCGCTGTCCTGCATGTTGACTGTCCCGTCTGATGTTACGAACTTGTGTGTTGGTAGGCTGGCTGGTGGGGAGGGTAGGCTGCCGACGACAGCAGATCGCGAAAGACCGTTCTTGGATATCGTGTTGCGGCGTGCGTTGATGGAAATGGGCAGTGGCATAGCCTTGTCACCGGATTCTTGTTGGAGGGCGGCAGCAAGAGCAGCGACGTTCGGACCCGTGTTTGTCATGCTCTTCCGGCGTGTGACGCGGTGGGTGCCGTTGAGGGATCCGGAAAGGAGGGAGTGGGAGTTGGTGCGTGAGTGCGGCTGTCGAGCGACTGACAGGGCGGGAATGGGATTGGAAGCCACCGACGGACGGTGCGAGAGCGGTCGTGAGGTTTGTTGCATTTCCTGGAAAAATAGCCGAGATCATCAGCAACGAATGGGCTGGTTCACAAGTGGGTTTACTGGGAGAAGGGAGGGAGAAGGAGTCGTTGGACATTAGCGAAAGTCTACCTTGAACGAAGCCATTGCCAAGCGATGCAAAGTGCCCCTTTTCCTCTGTCGTCGAGCGTAAACAGCAGAATGACAAGGTAAGAGTAGAGAAAGCTCGGAAAATATTGTTGCTATGTCGTGAAATTTGGCGGCCAAGTGTCGATCACAAAGAAGTAGCGTCCGTCTAAGGCCAGGCAAGGAGCAAGGCGGGGAAATAATAATAATCTCGGGATCGGCCAGGGGTTGGTTGGCGAACCGGTGCTCCGTCTCCCGCCACGATAAGATGAGGTACGTGGAAAGGGAAAGAGAGGATAAAAAAAAAAGTTCACCAGCTGGGCAGCAGGAAGAATGTAGGCAACGTCAACACCAGTCAGATGGTTGTTCGTCCAAGACGAGAAGGCAGGAGTGGCTGTGCCTCGAAGAGATCAATACTGTGTAGGAGAGGAAACGGTGGTATTCGCAGCCAGTTCCAAGTAGGGGATGGTTGCGGGCTGCCTTGAATGGGTGCGGTTGATGACCGGGTGCTCTTGAGGGGATGTGAAGCGATTCAGACGAGGAACGATGGAGGTGCAAGAGATACAAGTCCAGGGCAAGCTGTCTCCAAAAAAAAAAAAAAAAAAAAAAAAAAAAAAAAAAATCCAGGAAAAGAGGATCTGGAGAGAGACAGGACAGGCGCCTCTGCTGTCCGCTGAGGTGATTCTATGGTCGGCGGACTGGATGTTGGTTGGCTGCAGACGGTTAGTCGCAAATGGGATGGCGTGGAAGCTACCTAGACGCAGACGCAGCAGCCAGACACCAGACAGCCGAGACGCAGCAAGGGGTCCTGGATGGATGGGTTGAATGAGGCACTTCTACTGGCTCATCGCCAGCCCTGGATGAATGGAGAGAGTCCGAGGCTTTCTTGAGCAGGATGGCACCAAGTGGAAGCACCTCGTTCATCGCTCACGTCAGGTTCCAGAGCGCTGATTTGAGCTGGTGGTAGACGAGGTAGGTAGAGAAGGAGAAGGAGGGCCGGCCGGCGGATTGCCAGCTCCAACCGTCCTCCGATTGCGAGAATAGAAAAAGGTGGGAACTGGCAAAAGCCCGGTTGGGTACGAGAGGAGTATCCATATCCACAAAGACTGGGGGAGGCACTGACAGGTACCCCACAAGAGCAGACGGAAGTACTTTGTTGGCCTGACACAGTGTACGATGGCGGTTGGCTCTGGATAGGCAAGGACTACACTAGTATTCAACTTCCGCTCTTTGCCTTTGATATTCAAGTTTCCTTGCCTCACCCCTCCCCCCCTTTCCAGGGAGAGCCTCGAGCCCAAAGTGTGCCAGAGGTTACTCCTGCAATCTGGGCCATGTGTCTTGTTAGACTTTTGGTCCCGATTAGTGGACGCTACACGATCATCACCCACCATTGATGTTTGTGCTGAGCACTATTTTTTTTTGTTTTTTTTTTTTGCTCTCCTTGTACGGTCTGTGCTGGGCGTCTACTCTAGCTCACTTGAGGTAAGCTACTTACAATCTGCATTGCTGCCAGTGCATAGTGGTTAGAAAGTGACGTTCCAGTCAATCCAAGTTCATGGCCGCATATATATATGTATATCTAGGCACATCCGACTGCGCACCGCACCACGACCTCCCGTCATCTGTTTTCCAGTCGCAACTCTGGCATGTTCATCAGGAGCTGAGCCGTCTACACTACAGCGGGGATACCAGGTACGGTGTCTCAGAGACAAAGGGCCGCATTGCCCTTTATTCAGGGCCAGGGAAGACATCAACAAAAAGGCGGTACAAATGGCGGTAGACAAGCTGCGTGGGTACTTGGTTAATGACTAATTCGGGTGAACTTTCACTTATTTACACTGTGTGCCATAGTTGGCTACGCAAGGAACGATTATGTACCGTATCCACGACATCGGGGCCAGGGACAGACAGCATTCATTCATTGCGAGCATGGGACCCCATTCTACATGAATGTTCGGGACGCCTCGAGTTCTCGATAGACTTTTCCGATGAAGTGTCTGGTGATTAGGCGATGCAGAAACATGGACAAAAGGGGTGTGAAGCAAATTGGAGCTCAACAAGGTGGCTATGGCTGAAGTGTGTGAGACAATGTCCATGAATTTCGGAATAGCAGGGAGGATGACAGGCAAAGGACGATAAAAAAAAAAAAAAGAAAAAAAAAAAAAAAAAAATTCCCAAATCAGAAAGAAATAGAAAAAGGGCTGTAAAGCTCCGATCCTGGTGCTGGATCTCACAACTTCCCTTTTCTCTCTTCCCTTCTCATGCCCTCGCCTCATCCAATCAAGCTTCGTTTGTCTCACACACTGCCTTGTGACCCTTGAAGATACTCTGCTAGGACAAAGAAGCGGTGCCAGCGCCGCGGCACTGTCGCGAGTTTGGATGATTCGGGATCGATGTTAGTCCGCCTGTTGCCAAAAATGTTCAGATGGCATGGAGTGGTAAGCCGGCCACACTGCAACAAAAGTCAAATAATGCAGTCCCTGACCCGATGGCAATCTACACGACAGAAAACCGCTCCGATTCTCAGCCGCCAAGCCATCAAACAATGAGGTAAATCTTTCCACGATCTCAACATGTTGGTGCTGTCGCCTCACAAATGAATGGGATGTGATACCCGGCTTTTGGCTACCCCGCCCTGCTGTGTTTCCCATGTGTGATAGCAATTATCTTCCAATTGATAGAGCCACGAGATGAAGAGGGGTTTTCCCGTCCGGTCTTGTGGAGCCGGCTAACATCTCGCAGGAGCTGGGACGGGGGCGGGGAAATCAAAAAAAAAAAAAAAAAAAAAAAAAAAGTTACACGCTATAACAGCCATGTCGATGGTGTAGAGAAGAATCCAGCCCAGGGCAACAGCTTCAAGTTTCGAAAGACATCGGATGCGTGATTGGGGAATTACGTCGGTTTCCTTTGAAGTCATTTGCTTTTTCGGATGAGAAAAGGCAGCCTAACTGAAAAATAAGGAGGCATCAATTGCCATGAGGTTGCAGACGACATGAGGCTATTGAGCCCCAAGCAAGCCAGGAACCACCACAACAGGCACGGATGCCCGTCAGTCCCTGTCCGATTACGCATTCCAATCGACGATGTGATTCGGGGATGTCTGGCAAAGTGGGATTCTGTAGACGAAATGCCGGTCTTCTTCTTTGGAAAGGTACGGTGAATGCATGATGGCTGGACGGGGAGAAGGGAAGGTGTCCACTTGAAGATGACTTAAATAGCAGTATTCGTCTCCATTGATGTACACTCATGGGTCCTCTACATGAGGACAGTTGGTACAATTGGACATCTCTGCAGTTAGATGTTCTCCGTGGACCTGCATCTGATCTTTCCCAACGTGCTGACATCGCTTGTTTCAATGTTTTTGTTGATGACATGAAAAGCGCTCAACCACCCAACCTGGCTGTCACACAGAGGCACGCACTGCCGTAGAAACTCGGGGAATAGGCAAATTGTTTGTTCTATCCCTCTTTGAGCGCCGGGCAGGGTATAGAGGTAGACGAGCGCTACATGAGCCAGCATATGCCAGCAGATGTGTTTGTCCAGTTAGTGAAAACTCGAGGACGTTTCCCACCACTCTAGAATGTACAGACTCGGGTTTGCCCTGTACAGATCTGCCCTCTGCCCGGCACTCAAAGAGGGACAGAACGATTGCTTGTTTCCCGAATTTCTACTTATGATATGTACCCTGTAAGCTTGTGTCTAGGATTACACTGTGCAGGACTGTCAGGCGGCATTGTGTCGATACTAGATCCACCCCTGACCCGGCCTGAGCCAACTGAACATCCACGCTCCCTGGTCATGCTACACATCGCGCGTTGTGCGGCCAGGCACTGGACATCAGGAAGCCAAGATAGCACATCCGCGGTTTGGTGAGGAAAGCCCCTTACAACATCTCATCCAAAATAACCATCTCAGCTCAGCAAGCTACTAGAGCATTGCTGGGCTACCAACTCCCTACCTAGATGAGAACTGGAAGGTATCGACGACAGGTCCACTGCCACATCATAAATGACTTAGAGTAGGTACATCATGATCACAACCTAAAAGTCTTTCACTCCAACAAAAGTCCTCGTCAATCTCACGTCTCACCCTGTTCAGCTCGTCCAATCACCCAACTTGATCATAGGGAGGAATACCCGTCCCAAAAGAGCAGAACAGTCTCAAGTGGGCCGTTGAAACCAACCATCGGAATGACGAGATCGCCAAGGAAGGAAACCCTACGGTATTTCCCCTAGCTTTCTTGCTTCCCCAGACTTTTGGAGAATTAAGCTACCATTTGGTCTGTCCCGGGCTTTTCCACTTGTCACATCTCCTCCTCTGACTTTCCAGTAACCATTCTGGACCTGGCTCAAGAACGGAGAGAAAATGAGCTGAGCGGAGCTTCGTGGATGAACCCAGCGAGTGACGGAACGGAGTTTCTAGCAGGCTCTCTCGGGTTTAGACTACACTCCCAACTGATGCTAACTCGATGAAAGTCATTTTTCCCCCTTGCAAGAAGACCAGTGTTGGGGACTTGGGGTTCCGATGCCCCAATTCGAGACCATTCGGGATTTGAGCCGCAAGACATGCATGCCAAACTCAAACTTGTCCAGGAGGAAAGAGAGAGGGGAAAAAAAGAGAGAGGCGGAGCTAATGATAACATGGAGGGAAGCTCCATCTTATTGATACCTGACAAGACGACATTGATAGCCGACATCCAACCATTTCTCAACATCGTAAAAAGTGGGCTTTGTTGTTGAAGGAGACCCTGCTACAGTAGAAACCCCTGTTGATACAAAGCAAATCCTCCTCTTTTGCAAAGGATTTCGACTGCCCGCATTCCCCTCTGACGTAAAAACTGTAACGTGCAATTGCAACGGTTGATGGCCCGAAATTGCATTAACAGGGGTCTGATTTTGGTAGCAGGGCATACTTATACCTATATACCGGGGGGTCTAGTCGCTTCATCAGACCTACACTACTTTTAAGGCTTCGCGGCGGTCGTCCAGTGGCAAAAACACCTCTGCCTGTTGGCCCATCAGGCTAAGGCACCGATCATCAGGACGGGGAGGGCAAAGAGTGGGTAAGTTGGGCAAGCTGGACGATATCCAACTGGCTCGCATGGAGGTGAGGTAAGGCTGCAGTGGGACCGATTGACAATCCCCAGTCACGGTTATTTGTTTATTTATGTTTTTGTCGTTGAATTTCTCCGTGTCTGATCCTGAAGAGGCTTTAAGGTTTTGTTGGGCCATCGGAAAGAGTATATTGAAGTTTACTATGTCTTCACTCCAATATGGTTCGCCTTTTCGGACGATACCTACATTCTATCTTTGTAGCCTATCCGCTGACCAACAGAATATGTACTATTTTCGAGATTGTCCGTCACCTGCCTTCGAGCTAGATGCCGCCCAACGTCACCTGCATTCGACGTAAGGGACGCGCTGTCAGCCAGGCCTCGAGACTGTTTAAAACACACCCATGAGCACACGAGGTAAAAACGGGCTACAGTGTCCGTCACATTTCTTCTCACGAAAGATACTCACACACACTACAAGATCCAAAGAAAGCAAAGCGTGTGCCACGGATTGTGCTCTGTAACCCTTTGAAAGCGGCACAGTAATTGCAAAAAGGCAGGTCACCAGCAGCATAAATGTACAAGACATTCATGTATCAATTGCGAAACAGCTGGGGATGTGGTTTCTCTTCTGCGACGTTCCTCGCTCGCGTGGAACGATCCACGAAATGACGTTGAATGGCGGAAACGGGACAGCTGACCAAGTACATAGTTGAAATTCCCTAGGTAGCAAGGATTCCAAGAAAGGCAGACACACGGCAAGTGGAGGCCCAGTTTCCATCCGATCCCTCCGGTCCCGGCCGGGGAAATGGCTGGCTTTGTAGAGACACTTCTAACAGTCTGACTCTGTCCTTGGATTTAGTATTTTGACGGCGAAGTCTCCCGTGAGTAATATTTGTTGGATATTCCATCAATGATGGTGCACTGGAGTTCCTGACGGACCGGCGGGCAGTGGAAGCCTTGTTCGGCAGACGATGGTTCTGTTCTAATGAAAACATGTGAGGAGATCGGCGGCTTAGTCGCCGGCTGCTTGGTATGATCGGGGTCGCTTCGAAGTTGACTTCTGCGATCCTCTGCTACTTCCCCGTTCACAGTTTGTTGAGTTTATTAGGTCGATCGAGGTCAGTACAGAATTCGCAACGTATCAATGATCGGTGTTCACACCTATCGTTCAAGGAGGATCATTCCATTCCAGGCACATGCATACCTCTACGTACCTTGACAAGAGTTCGTCCTCTACTTCTGTGCGCCTCACCAATCAATGCTGGAAGTGAGAAGGACTCCTTTTTACCCCGCACGTTTACGGTGGAACAGTTGATGGTGTTCATCAAATTCGGCTTCAGGCATCATACTTGGAAAAAAAAAAAATATTGTGAGTTGGCTCGACCGCGTTGGAAGAGGAAACGCAAGTTGAACTTCTAACTCCAGGTCACTGATGGGACCTTTGTGGACAAGACGGTACCAGCACGGGATGCGTGACAAACTTTGCAGTTCATTATCTGATAACAAAAGCTTGAGATCAAGAAGTATCTGTGGTCGGCTTGTACCTGCATCAATACCAGCGCAGCAGGGGTCTAGACTTATACATTGATATTCTCGCGCCCCGGGCCGTTGCTGGATGCGTAACCGGAGGTGTAGGCATGGTATATAGTATTGGCCTGGACAAGCCCGCAGCATCCTTTCAAAAGAACGAAGTTGCTGGAACGGAACATGAAGAGAAGAAGAGGGGTGGTATAAAAGGAAATCCATGGAACTTGTGCTTTCGCAACGGTTGACGGGAACCGGGAGGTGCCGAAGCCATCATGTAGTCTAGTAGTGTAGATACTTTACTTGATCGACATGACCAACCCGAGGCGGACCACTGTTCGGATCTGCGGTACCCTGACAGCCAGACATGAAGATTGAGGCCTCAATGCTGAAAACTCATTCGTAGTGAAGTCGAGCACTGATAATTGTAAAGGATAGCTACATCTACCAAGTGGCGTGGCGTTGTTGGCCGTACCTCCTATGTATTCGTACGAGCAACACGCGAAATGCCTGTGGCAGTCTAGCAGAGAGGGAATGGGCCTGACCGGACCAAGCTTTGACGATAATAACACGGAGTACCTACGCAGTTTGTGGTCCCGGCTTAACTTTCTCGGACTCGTCCGCACATGCCGTATGTGATGCCTAGGAGGTATCCTTCGAAATCGGCTGAAGGTAGTCTGGGAGCTGGCAGAAAGAAAATGCAAGGCTCGCTGGTAGCAGTCTACCAAGCCCGCGGGACAGAACAACTAGTAATTCCGCTGCTGGATGTAGTTGATGACACTCCAAGGAGGCCTCTGGTACTCTAATTAGAAGTTTGGAGATGAGTAAGACGGATTGGTTACGTGTGGCATTGGCAATGTCATGGGATGCATGTTTTAATGTGAAAAATCAACAACCCCGCAATAACGTCCCCTACATGTACACAAGCAATTGGATGTTCCCGGCGGGTGTGCGCCGTCTTAAATCGGATCAGCGTTGCCTCCCTGAAACTCGTTAACCTGGCCGCGACATAACAAACAAGGTTTTTTTTTTTTTTTCTCGTCAAGAACCAACCTTACTTCACGCTACTTACTACTATCCTTTTGTTGTCCAAGGACTCCTGTTGGCCTGTTGCTGCTGCTGCTCTTGTTGGGCGTTGAACCTACCAGTCGTGCTTACGTACCTTTACCTACCTACCTACCTACCTACCTACCACTCGCCCTTTTATCTTTCACTTGGTTATCAATCGTTCCCGTCGCGCGGACTCGAGATGTCATCGGAAGTCTTCCGCAGAGTGGGCCGCGGAGGTGCGGGCAATTGGTACAGTAAGAAGGACATTGAAGATGCCGAGAAGGCGGCTGCTGTGAGTGTACCCATCCATTGCATACACGAAATCGACAAACACTTCTCCTTTGATCCGCCTGTGCCTCGGCTGTCTTTTCGTTTCGTTCGCCATTCTCAAACCAAACCCACAGGATCTCGAAGCGCAAAAGAAGTCTTCTTCCGGTTCTACCTCGCCAACAACCCTCGAGCGCTCCATCACCGCACAAACCAGTCTCAGCAGCTCGCGAGCCGGTGGTCGCGGCGGCGCCGGCAACTTCTACGACGCCTCGGCAACCGACGCGGCCGCCGCCCAGCAGCAGGAGGAGGAGAAGGAGGCTGAGCTCGAGGAGCTGACGCGCGTCGTGACGGCGAGCATCCAGCGGCCGAACCTCTCCGGCCGGCTGAGCGGGCGTGGCGGCGCGGGCAACTACAACGATAACGCGGCGCGAAGCGCCCAGCATCGACTGGACCCAGAGCAGCAGCGCAAGATGATAGAGGATCTTAACGCGAGGGTGTTGCAGGATGTGGAGGCCGGGTTGGCAATGCCGAGACCGGCGTATCATGCCAAGTTTGAGCTGAAGCATGAGAGGTTGGTGTCTGCTGAGCCTTGAGACATACCCTTGATGATGAGAGTCTGCGTAAAAAAGGTGGATGAAGGGATATGTGTGATGAGATGGGTGGTAATGGTTCTGGTTCTGTTCACGTTTCGTTTGATTGATCAAAAGGGAGTTTGGGAAGGAGATGGAAAACGATGTACAAGCAAACCCATGCACATCGCTACAATCGGAAGTAGGAGAACCGATTGGTATGCTGTGTAATGGGCAATGATACCCCCTTTAGTCTCCTCAAGCAGGCAAGTTTTGAGTGGGCTCTGGACTACGATACCGTCAGACCGACGGGAAGAAGCAGGGCTGTATACCGATAGCAGTAAAATTGCGATGGAGGCCTTGTTGACGACGTTTATGTTTGCTTATCATTTTCGGATCTTGATCATCCGTTATATGGAGTTGACGCAAAGCATTCACTTCCACGGGAGCGGCATCAATCTCGACATTGGCGTGCGGGCAATCCGCACAAGTCATCGGCTCAGGATACGAATTGTGTAAGCTGATTGAGCGATAGTTGACAACATGTACCAGGTGTGAGCGGACGGCGACGATAGTGATGATAGTCTATGATGTGTGTAACGAAGCGTTGCCTATGCGCTAAGCGAGTCCGAGCCTCTGTTAGTCGCATATTCTCTTCCCAACGCTTGGCCAGCGCTCAAGGTGCCCGCCATTGCCTGCCGTAAAACGCGCGGCAAAACCGATAACGCCCGCCATAAAGGGCTGATACGTTGCCGCTGCCGGCAAAAAAGTTCGCTTGAATAACGGACAAACCTCGCCGTCCCGTCCTCGCATCACCGAACTCCATCCATCCCATTCTACCCGTGTATCCGTACATACGCCGGCCCGCCCAAGATCAATCCACCCACACTCGATCACTGACGACAGCCTCAACTGAGCCTCAGTCCCTGGACGACGTCAACATCAACCGACTCCCATAAACCCAATACAACCCAAACACAACCCGCACAATCACAATGTCGTCAGCAGTAGCTATTGGCGCCGGCGTCGCCGTCGCCGCTTTCCTGGTGAGTCCTACTCCCATCGCTCGCGAATGGATCCCGCACCGGCAGGCATCACACTTTAATCACTGTCTCTACCCTCAATCAACAACAAAGAAGCCACTGGAAACAGACGTTATGCCTGAGCCATGTCGTAAGAGGAAAGAACAAGAATCAGCTAACCTTCCTACCAACAATAATAGGGTCGCGCAGGTCTCGTAGCATGGCGCCGCTCGCGCGGCGGCGTTGGCGCCCTCGGCAAGGCTTTCTACAAGGGTGGATTCGAGCCGCGGATGAACAAGAAGGAGGCTTCGTTGATTCTCTCGCTCAAGTATGTCTTGTTCAGTTCGCCTTGTCGGTGTCCGTCGTCGCTCCTGTGTCGTTGTTCCCATCCATTCCATGCCTTTTTCTTCCCTTTCCTGCTTCGTCTCTCATGGCCTGCCTGCCTGCCTGCCCGGCCACGAACCTCCTTGTCTCATACATGATTCATCCATCCGTTGCTCCTTCCTACCCATCATCATACACACCCGCATCTACACAGCGTTCCACGTTCCTCTCGGAGTCAGCCCCATGAATCGAAAGGGAAACAGTAACTAACACTCACCCTCCAACAAACAGTGAGCGCACCATCACCAAGGACAAGATTCGCAAGGCTCACCGCACCCTCATGCTCCTTAACCACCCCGATCGCGGCGGCAGCCCGTATCTGGCCACCAAGGTCAACGAGGCTAAGGAGTTCCTTGAGAAGAGCGTCTAAGTTCCATTTCGATCGATTTCGTCGACCTATCAATCTTTTCGGTCCAAACCGTCTCGATGCAGTGCAACGCCATGCGAGGCGATTAATTCGATCGATCTCGACGATGGAACTGTGAGAGGCGAGTCTAGAGTCTCTTGGAGGTCTTACACAAACGAACAATACAGAATGACATCCTTACACCACTCTCCAACTCCAGCTCGAGTTTGTCTGTTACGACGATACCAGTGTCGCCTCAGTGGGCTGAGTGGTTGGGGTATGCAGCTTCGGCTACGGTAGTCCTCAAACACTGCTAGCAGAACACTGCAGTACTCGACCACAAGCAGCATCTCATCAAGCCTGAGCCACGAGACAGGACAGAGTTCGATCAGAAAGCACCTACGTCATGATGATACGGCCTGCTACTACACATTGGCCTCGGACAAGCTCCTCACCCTATTCTTGTACAACAAATACACACACATGGTTCTTCATAGCACTGGCGTTGACGGGTTTTTGGCTTTGCGGGTGGCTTGGATGGAAAAAAGAAAGGAGGCTTTTGTACGCTTTGCACAACATGAATAACATACCCATGTAAAAATATTACAGTAGTACCACTACGATTGTTATGTTCTGTGCCACATGGACTGAATAGTTTGGCGGCTCTCCTTTTCACTGTATACACGCCGTAGACTAGATGCGCGTTACAACATTGCTAGATACTGGTTTGATGCTCGCTTTGGCTCGAGTGCAGTCCTTTTCACCTTTTCTTGCCTGCTTTTGCCCCTTTGCCTTGCTTCGACTCCAGTCTATCAGCTAACTTTTCCCAGGTACACCTGCGCACTGGGCAGTGGTGGTGGAAATATGGTAGTCTCATCGCCATTACAACTCCCAGTTTTCATCCACTGTAGTCTTCACGACGGAGTTAGGGACGGGGCTCGCCGCCATCACCAAGCTTGGTTCGCCACCATCAGACAGCTCCCCGGTGCTGATCCAACCCTCATCGACGTCCTCCTTCGTCGCGGTGAATTCAGAGTAAGTAACATAACCATCACTAGTAAAAGAAGCATGATTAAATTAGCACTTCGTCCGGCCAGTGGCCTTTCTTCTTGAGGACTTACCTCGTATTCGCCTTTGAAGCCTTCGCAGCAGCCCTCTCCAAGCTCTTCTGCCGCATGTCAATGGCCAAGCCCATCATGGCCTGAAGCGTGTAGACCGCGTCATTTCCAGCGTTGTGCATATTCTTCCACGAAATGTCGAGGAAGCCACAAACATTCGAAAGTTTGGAGGCGTTGTTCGAACGGCTGAGATACTGGTACATCTCTCGAGTGTCTACCACCTCCAAAATGTTGTCCGCGCTGGCCACATCATAGCCAAGCATGCGAATGTACTTGAGATCTTGAGATTGGTCGTGGAACACAAGGACCACGGGGCGCTTTGCTCCCTCACCGCCGGTGGAGGACTCTCCCTCGATGGTCTCCTTCAGAACGCTGGCGATCTTCGCGACCTCGATGAACTCGCTCTCGCTGGACATTGTTAGTGATTCGGTTTCGGATTTGGGGCAGGGACAGGGCAAGGGATGAGGGATGAGATCACACATACCCAAAGTCAAAGTATTCGGCGCGGCCTTGGACATGCCTGGAGTTTTGGGCCCACGAAAACTCCTTGACGCGGATATGTCGTGCTTTTATGAAGTCGAACCAGTTCTTGCTGCCTTCACCAGGAGCAACATTTGTGATCTCAGCGGTATCAAGAATTGCCAGGCCGACCTCGGTGATGATGCTTTGGTCCAGTTCATAAGCCTCAAGGTCAATCGCCACAAACACGACAGACTTCTCCGGCTGGATGCCAGTAGGCTGGGTGAGATCCAGCGGGGTAAATGATGGCACTTCCGGGTCAGATAAAACTCTGCGGCGAAGACCGAGATACCGCTGAACCCTCTTGATATTTTTCCCCCAGGCGCGGTGAAGATTGCATCGCTTGTACTGGTTGTTCTTGGTCTTCTTGCTCTTGTCTTGGATTGAAAAGATGCTGTTTAAGCGGCGGGTTAGCTCCTGCTTGGCAAGGAAAGGAGCATTTTCCGACGTGTCTCCGGGCTTACGCGCCGGGACGCTGTTCGTAAGCTGCTTCCATTCCTCGGCAGATCTGGAACGGCCAAGAAATCGCGGTTTCGCTGTATTACTCTGCCCAAATGGCATGGCGAACATGTCTTGATGTCCGCGAGGAAACGTGAACTCTACGTCGAGTTTTCTGTTTATGACGTCGAGTAGGTGTTGCATCTGGTAGGTTGGGACGAAGATCAAGGGATTCTTGTTCCCCTCGTTGGACGGCCGGTAGAGGTAGAATCTGGAGTGTGTTAACACAGTGTCATGGACCCAACCCCGATAAGACCTCAACATCTTACAGATCCCACATGCGGTTTTCGTGTAGGCTCTCGAGCGTAAAAAGAGGCCGAGCCTTGGGAACGAACTGTTAGCGTCACAATCATCCATACAGCGATGATACGCCTCACCCTCGCGCCGTTGCGCTTGCCAACAAACAGGTTGGGATACTCCAGAACCATTCTCCAGGGAGTAAAGAGTTCTGTGATGGGATCGATCTCGCCCTGCTCCACGCTGACTTCTGGCCATCTGATGTTCTCCAAGTCCGAGGCATCGCGGTACTCTTCCTGCTCGTCGGTCACGTCCTCAACGCGCAAGGAGGTACGGCCAGTATGGTGAGGGCGAGTAATAGGTTTGACGTTAAAGGGATCCAGATGGCGGGCGCTCAGGATAGAAGCGTCGGATGCATAATTGTCGTCTTCATCACCCTGGGCGTCATCACTAATGTCCCAGTCATTGATATCTTCGTCACGCCACTTTGAAGGATCGAAACCGCTCCAGTCCACAGACTGGCAGGTAAGGTTCCGCAGCTGTTGCATAAACTGCTCGTCCTCCATGGTGGCGAGCGATAATTCGGTTAGGAGTGACTAAGAGATTAGTTAGCCTTGGCCCTGAAGTCGACGCCGGCGATTCTAATCTTGGATCTGGTGACGTCTCTCGGGTGTGGTGATAGGGCCAGCAATATGAGGGGGCGGCTGATCTGGAGAAAGACGTTTTCGGCAAATGGGGATCTCAGCCTAGGCGTCTCTGCTACGATATTCCACTTACGTGTCGTAGGGTAGGATGCAAAATGAAGGGAAGAATTAAGCGGCGCTTGAACGAAGTGGGCTCGCGCGCAGTCGTAGGGCTGTCGTCGTTGTTGGGCGGAGGGCTTGCGCGAAAGCGATTGTCCGGGAGGGAATAAATATTTCGGGGAAGAGGTGAGCGAGGGAAATATAAATGGTCCTTCGGCAGACACAATGGAGGTGAATGGGAAGCCCTAGATGGTGACCAAACTTCTCATCCGAAAACCTATTTTGTTCAGATGGTCAGTTGATGAAAACGGATTTAGGCTCCTTCATTTTTCGAGTGAATGATGGTCTTGAGCAGTACTTACAACCAACGCGGAAGGTGCGAGTGAGCGGGCGCGTAAGTGAGAGGCTCCCAACAGGACACTAGAAAAGGACGAGAATGGAAGGAGCGAGCACAGATGAGTAAACAGAATCGCAACTGCCCGTTGAGGTGGTGACGATTTAAGGCACTCTACGGTATGAGGCCTACTACGGGTGCCCCACTGTAGAGTTCACAAAGGACGGAACAATAAGTGCTGCATTCAAGGACCCCACTTGGCAAAGACGCCGCGATGAATGAGCATTTCCTGTGAAGGGAAAAGACGATTCCCTGGGAGAGCCTTACAGACTGAATCACAAGTAAAACGACTGCTCGTCATCAGATAAAAGCATGTCATGCAAACGGTTGGATAACTTGAAGTGTGTTAGTCGTTGTACTACTATGGATGGTCTGCCTAAATGCCGGTAGCAGAATTGGCACTGTGCATGTCAGACCCAAATTCGTTGGGAGGAGGGAGTGACGAATACGTAAACAAAGCATCACACATAAGACCGACGACCTGATGATATCGACCGAAAAGGTGCTGTTTGTATACATTCGCTTGCACCGCCTTGAACAAGATAATGCTGGAAAGTCTTGACATTTGGCGGCCGTGTTGATCGAATAAACAAGCCTGGAGCAGTAGATGAGGTGAACAGATGAACAGACGTTGGGCAGCAAAGCTGAAAAGCCCTCTCATCTGGTCACAAATCTGTCGTGCCACAACACATAACACTGTGTGTCTTAAGTTGCACTTGCTTCCGGAAATTGTATCTCTCCGTTCTCCTGTTCAACCGACCTCTTGCGCACTGAAGGGGTGCTTCCTTTGCCGCTCTTCGTCAGTGTCCTCTCCAGAACCTGTCAGCGACCTTCCCATAGACTTGCTCTGCACGGTGTAGTCCTAGTAGACTCTGTAGAAATCGCAAGGTGTGGCTGCCTTCGACATCCTTGAATCCCCATCCTTGAATCCCTTCTAGCAACGGCAAGCTGCGTGATATTGCTCCCCTAATTCCGACCACCTGGACGCATTAGGACTACTCACTTCAGAAACTAGTACAAAATATTAGTTTAGTCTCAAACTTCTGAATGGTTGTTTCCAGGTTAGACACTCACAGCCTTTGCCTCCTTCTCACTAACTTCGGACACCTCAGATTCATCCTGTGTGATCAACCCCAAGCGCCCTCCAACAATCCATCGGAACCACATTTCCCTTCGATCCCCATTCAAGTTGCCCGAGAGCAGGCTCTCTTTGAGTTTTGTAATGTACTTGTTGTAAAGCGTCGGAACTTCCATGTTTATTAGCTCCTCCCTCATCACCCGGATGTTCTCGGCAGCTCTCGGGTACAGCACATCCGCAAAGCTGTCGCTGACAAGCTTGCAAATGATATTTCCCATCTGCTTGGCGGCAGTTTCAATGGTCTCGTCGTCTTCGGCTGTTTCCAGAATTTGTTTGAATTCGGGAATCGCATTTTCCGTGGATATCATGGGCGTCTTCTTCGTTCGCGGTCGGGTCTCTCCGAGAAGGGCGTCGATGTCCAGCCCGGATAGAGGTTTGACGGTGTCTTTCCTGCCGCGTTTGCCTTGTACTTTTGGGGGGACTTGATGGAGGTGTGAGAGGGAGTGTTACACCGAAAGGGAATACAGGTGTCAACTTACCTTTCTTGACTTCTGCTGCTTTTATCAATCCGTCGATCTCTGTCTTGGCTTTCGCTATCAGTGGTTCAGGCGGATGCGTGAAGCGTGTGAGGATTTCGGCTACGGGTGGTAAAGGAGCATCAGGGTTCACTGCGCGATTACGGATCGCTTGGTTCATGTGGTGGATGACGGGGTTATACAGGTCATCAATGGGCGCGTATTCCGCAGGGTGTCTGCCGTTCCGTTAGCATCGTACCAAAGTCAAATTCTAGGGGAGGGGAAACTTTACCCATCGTCATCCTGCCCATATTCAGTCAAGTCCATTGCATCGACGTAGTCGCTCATCGCCTGCTGTAAATCATTGTTGGGTAGAAGGCGATGTTCCGTGAGTACGTTCCCCGTGATAGTCAACACTTTGTCCAACGGAGGGAACTGATAACTCCTGACGTCCTCCGCAAACGGCAGCGGGATATCGTACAAGCACTCAATGTCGTCTTCGATAGCCGGATTTGGCTTGAGAAGAAGGATTTGGGGTGGTGCTTTATCTTTGTTGACATATCTGGCCACAGCGTAGGACTCAAGCTCATGTAGAGCATGAATAAGAGCCGATAGACCGAGCTCCGCTTCCTCGTTCACCTTTTGAGCAACAATGAGGCCTGTCTCTCCCATGTTCAAGAATGGCTCATACTATGGGTATTTTCGTTAGCGCTCGTTGGCACATGTCAACAAACCAAACTACAACTTACGCTGCTCATGGGAACGAAGCCGATGATTGTGAAACTCTTCGTTGTCTCGTATTTCAGGTAGTCCTCCTCACTCTTGCCAAAGGGGACTACGGTCCTGCCATACTGATATGCCTTGGCAAGATCCTCCATGTCGACGTCTTTCTTCCCTCCTGCTGCCTTGGAGTCCTCAATTCTGTATGTGCGCAGTTGCTTGACTGGCTGAAAGCCCACACCACTAAATGGTACGCCGTGGTCTTCGTCCCAAACCTGTGTCTGAGGCGGTCCGTTAGGGTTGGCCACATTGCTCGCTGACGGAGGTGTTGCTCTCTTGGTCTTGAAGTAGCGCTCAACCTGAATGCTCAGCGCGCTCGGATATTTTTGGGGGTCTCCGAGCGTCAGAGGGCCATCATATGCCTTGAAAGGCCTGACGGATTTGATTCTGGGAGTGGCAAGCTCTTCCACTGCTTGTGCCATGGTGCCGAATGCGCCGCTCTCACAGTGGTCTACCAGCGTTTTGAGGATTTTCTCGTTTTGCTCCTGGGGAATTGTTAGCATGTTTAGTTATCGCCAAGTTGTGTTCGCCTCACCTTGTGGCGTGGCTTATCCTCCTCCTTGAAGCCATATTCGGCATCGTCAAAATCCACACCGCTACCTGATGGTCAACTATCAAGCACTCGCAACAGAAGCTCTCTCGTGGAAGGCGAACACTCACAGCACGATAAGCTCTATTCCCACGTCATTGAGCATGTTCGCCACCTCTTCAGACTGATCATCATCGATAGGTGACTCCCCGTTTGTTACGACGATAATCTTCCGCTTGTACTTCAACTTCTTCGTGAAGGATTGGATCATTCTGAGGGCAACCACGATTGCCGAAATAGCGTCTGCGCTGGAGGTACTGGATGGCTCAATCTTGCTCTTGAGTGCTCTTAGAGAAGTCATGGTCATGGGCCCAAGCTCCTGGAGAACCGATATGTTCTCGTAACCCTGATACTCTTCCCTGTTTTCGTTGTTGTTGGTCTCATTGGTGTTGAGGCCCACGACACCCACGTTCCAGGTCTTGCGGCTGGCTGCCACGGTAGTTGAAATCTTGTCCCAGATGTAGCGCATGCCAAAGTCGAGATCGGATTCATTACGTCCATTGTGACAGTCGGCCATGGACTCACCCAGGTCGATGACATAGACTGTGGCTTCCTTGTCCGCCATGGTGAGGGAAGGTGAGGACTGTCCGTGGAGTTGCAATTGGCGACGATGATGGGATTTAGAGTTCGAGTCAAAGGAGAAGACTGGAGTTTGCGAGGAAAATAATCTCTGGCATGACTCTGCTGTGGCCCGTTCGCTTCGCATTCATTCGAGGTGGGTTTCTAGGCAGCATCGCCAGGGTTGGAGACAGGTCGGAGCAACCTAATTACACGCTGTAACGGGGAACTGAGTTGGTGTTGGCGTTTATCATTGTGAATTACGTTACAATACATTGTGTGCTCGCGCGAAGGCACATGCTTTCGCGTTATCCATGACACGCAACTCAGCGTGATACTTCATTGGTCAACTGTAGTGACGTAGCTGCGCACCAATCTGAAAGCGACGGCCTCGCTCCGCTTTATGCATGCACTAATGCATTGCATAAAAACCTGATGCGTGGGGAGCTTATTTGGGTTGTTGTCGCCAACTTCATCCCTTGAATCTCATCCCCATATTCTCGAGGTTATCAAATCCTATCATAATATCTTTGCTCCTCCCTTATCATCTGTATACGTGCGTGTCCAACAGTCAAGATGTCATTTTCAAGCCTAGTCTCACCAGGTCCCTACCATATTATCAGGTTAGTGACATCACAACTTACTCGCTGTTCTCAACTGCTAACTTCGCCCCGTTTTCACCACAGCTATGGCACCTTGCTTGGGACAACATTCTTCCATGTATGACCCCTCGCCAACACGGCCATATACCATTCAGAAGTCACAGAGTCAAAGTCACGAAAGCGGACACTTCCCACTAACCTCCGTACATAACATAGTCGTTCGTGGGCGGCATCATTGCCTTCCAGGTCCTTCCCCGCCCGCAATTCTCCGCGCTCATGACCAAGATCTTCCCCGTCTACTTCTCCATCCAAACCGCCATCCCCGTCGTTCTCGCCCTGACCTACCCCGCGGCTACCTCCGCATTCGGATCCTCTGGAGCAGCTGGGATCGCCGGCGTTCTGGACCCGGATAATAGGTGGTCTGTTCTGGCCCCCATTGCTACCATCTTCTTTACCGGCCTGGCCAACCTTGCTGTGATTGGGCCCGCTACTACCAAGTGTATGAAGGAGAGGAAGAATCAAGGTGAGTTTATCTTGACGATCCTGTCTTGCTCACTTTGATGAGGTATCGTGTCGTTGGTGACATTGAGGGTAATTGAAAACTTTTTAGAAACCAAGGACGGCAAGAAGAGCTATGATGCTCCCCCACACTCTCAGGAGATGACTGCGCTGAACAAGCGCTTCTCACAGCTCCACGGCATTTCATCGCTCCTTAACTTGGGCAACTTCATCGCTACTGTCGTGTATGGCTTCGCATTGGCTTCACGTCTTGACTAGAGGAGGACATTAATGCACAGGTGTGTTCATGTTTGTTCAAGTTTGTACAAGGGCTACCGAGGCACATCCATTTCCCTGCTGTCTATCTGTTGGATCGCGCAAAGCATGATTGCAAGCCATATATCCACCCCATTCCCCCTCAGTACCAAATTATATAGGTTTGCCTTCTCCATTCCTTTTCCCTTTGCTTTTCACTCGTCTTCAATAATGCATACAAAATCCTCTCTGCATCAGTTTCTTATCCCTTCTGACCTTTCTCGGCTCCGTGGTTGACAAAGGACCAATAAAAACACTCCATTAACGCCGCCGCCGCCTGTTCCGTGAGGAACTTGATAACCCGCGTTTTTCCCTTGTCTATGTCCGTCTCGTTGATACTCGACGTGGCTGATGCCGATCCAAGACTAAGTCGATAGGAGAAACGGGGAGGGAAAAGTCCAAAAAGCCAAACAAAGTCGCTTGTTGAATGAGAATAGAATTGAGTAATTCAAAAAACCGCCGAAATTGGGTGCCGAGCTTCATGGTCGCTCGCTCGCTCGCTACTGTCGCTAGAGGTAGCAAAGCTCCCATCCGGCAACAGCGTTTGCCAAATTGATTGCCGGTAACCAGAAAACCAAAGTTGCCGTGTTGCACAGGTAATGGGTGAGATGGAAGTGATCGCGACGAAAGGTCGAAACTTTCCAAGGTGTTTGTCGCTTTAGATCTTCAGGTCAAACGCCGCCTTCGCAGCCAACAACTCCGCCTTTGCCTTTTCAAAGCGCATCCTTTCCTCCTCAGGGTCAACAACGGGCATGCGCCTGTCGCGCGCGTTCTTGACGTAGTAGCTGAGCGAGTGCTTGGGGGGAGGGCGGGCCAGCAGCTCCTCGATGGTAGCCTCCTCCGCGGGCTTGGTAGTAACTCGGACCTCAACGACAGCAGCATCTGAGGTGGTGGAGGTGGTCACAACGGAAGAGGTGGTGGAGGAAATGGAGCTGCGATGATGACCAGACGCGGTGCCCACCGGGGAGCGCAAGGCGGAGAGAATTGGCGACTTGCTGATGAGAGTTTCCTTGGAGGACGGCATGATGGACATTGGGATAGACGTCGAGTACATCAACGCCCTGACCAAAGATGGGGTTGCGGTAGATGTGGGAGGAAGAGGGGGGAATGGCGATGGGCTGCGACTTCTTGTCACGCTGCTGCCGCCGTTTCTAGCGTTCCTGGCGGACGAAGTTGGTGCCGGAGTAAAAAAGAGGTTGAAGAAGGGATCTTCTGGGGAGAAGGAGGCCATCGTGAAGAAGCGGGAGGAAAAAAAGCAGATGTGGGGTGCGGGATTATATAATGATAACTGCAAGGTTATGTGCGTGTGTGTGTGTGTGTGTGTGCTGTAGCCCTGGTCCTGGTGACTCAACGGCTGCAAGATGCGCGAGTGAAGGGTACAACTCGTATTGTAAGGAACTATCGTGAGTGTCAAGCCGTTCTGGATTGACCGTTTTTTCCGTCGGTAATTCTGGTTTGGGCCCAATACTGTCCTCCTTACACCAGGTTGTCACAGGTTTTCGAACGGAAAGTAGATAACCCCAACGGAAACTTGTTCCAATGAAGAATCAGGTTTCTAATTTTCGAGTGTTTGTAAGTCTGGGCTATTCAAGACCAGGCAGGTGAGGCGAAGGATCGTCAGGTTCGGTGTTTGATCAGGCGCAAGAGATCGGGTGGAGTTGTTCGGTTTCAGAGTACCAGTGATGCAAAATTCGGGATGAGATGTTGAAAAACGCCAAAAGTATTGGGATGTGCCCGGCTTAAAGTACAACGGCAGTGATGGGAAAACGGATGAATGAGAGAGCGTCAGGATGGATTAGTTATTAGTAGGATAAATGTCGAGAACGAGTGACAGAAAGGTGACCGAAGTACCAAGGCCGAGATAGGCAACCAGAGAGGAATAAACAGACAAAAGGTCCAGATTCAGGAGTCAAAACGGGGGTAGGATATCTTCTTTATACTTCACAAATATCCACGGCTTGACAGATGTCGCCTTCCTCGGACTTCGCTACCCAATAAATTACGGACACCCAATTGTGCTGGCGCGGAAAGTCTGACCGAGCGAGCCCCTTGCAAAATCTCATAAACACATCTCCACATCAATATTTCAAAAAAAGTATCACAGATATGAAGGGATTCCATATTGAGATGGAACGTGCGTCGTGTCATCCTCTCGGATTTTGGCAATCTGGAAATTTCACGGAGCCTCTTTAATGTTTTGTTGCCCAGGGGACCCATCGGTTGCTCTGCCGGGATAGGGGTCCCGGGGCCGGGGCCTGTGTGAAGATCTACCGTGCATCGGGCACTTCAGGGGTTTGTGATCAGGCCCTTCACGTTTTTTTCAGGGATTTTAAGAGGTCCCAATTTTTTCCCGTGTTCTGGTGCACACGAAGGTTTTTAGGCGAAGTGGTCGTAAATATAAACCAACATGCACAGTCCTTTGAAGTCCGCTTGGGCTATGACAGGCCGTATAATAACTGTGATAGGGATTACGATAACTTGGAAACACATCAGCTAGAGTCGTTTAGTAAAGGATGTTCCATTCAGGAACTGCTTGAAATCTAGGTTCAAAGGTATATTACCTCTAATGATGCTTTGATGCCTGGTAAGAGTAAACCCAAGATGTAATTTACTAACCGTAACGTGTTCGGTTTGTTCTTACAACCATTCGTCGGGTCACTAGCGAGCTCCACGCTTCGAACAAGCATCAACGGCGTAATTTCACGGGTGGTCATGTGGGATCACGCCGGACCCCTGACACAATATTAACGGATTGTTGAAATTCCATATTTCACGTGCCATTTTCCTGTCCTTTAGGATTCTGATTGAGCTGCCGTCCCACTATGTTGGAAGAGCTAAATGCAATAAGAACACTGAAAGTTGGAGGGTGCTAGATGCCCGAGAAACGTAGGTAGAGCATTTCGCCATCACTCATAGTGCGTATGAGTATCAACCTTGGGCCACTTCGACCCGACACAGACGCAAGTGAAAATGATGGACGTCGTAAATTTGGAGTTGCAAGGGCTGGTAGACGTTTGCCACAGCAAATTGCATCCAAAACAAGATAGGCGACAAATTTTTGCTTTGACCACGCTCTCCATAGTACATACCTGGCCCCTGCATGATGTACTCCCGAGCCCGCCGCTAAGATTCCATCCACTGCTTTCAGCCCGGCCATTTCCTTCAAGCTTATGCCAAAGCCATCACAGTTGGTTGTCTTGCCAGTCACAAAATGGAAAAGGCGAAGGTCTTGGGCTGTCTTCACTTTTGCTTCTTGTTCTCCTTCTCCTGCAGCTTCTTGGCAAGATCGCTGGTGCGGATAAACTTGGGCACAGGGGTCTTGTACCCCTTCAAAGTCTTGGGCACGAACGTGCCGACCTGCTTTTGGTACGCGCTGTATTCTGGGTACTTCCCGGCGGTGATGCGCTCTGTCAGCCACGTGGAGCCCTGGAAAACACTCATGAGCATAATGGGGGACACAATGGTCCAGTTGTAGAGGGTGTTGGTCGCAAAGCAGCCCCATTGGTAAAGGGTGAGCCAGATGGATTGCTCAGCGGCAAAGTTCGGATGTCTGCTGTAAGCCCAGAGACCTGATGTGATGAAGCCTCGGTCGAGATCAGCCTGCTTGTGGCCGGCCGGGATCTGACCAGAGGTCTTGTACTCATTCTTCGCTGACTGGAAAACTACACGCGCTTCATGTTAGCGGGCGCTCCCCAGAGGATACATGTACCACAACACTGACCCCATTGTTGATGATCAGCAATGAACTCGGTAAGAATAAGACCCAGTTCCATGACGACGAAGCCAATATCAGCTGTAGAGAGCTCAGGCTCGAACTGAGTGGCCAGGAGAAGGACATAAACAGGAGAAGCGAGCATGTAAAGCAGAACGCTCTGGATGAAGGAGATGAAGGTCCAGTTCAGGATATGAAAAGCCAACTTCGGCATCGACGCACGAACGATTTCCCACCTGTAATCTTGAGAACCAACGTTATAGCCGCCCTTCCGCCAATAGTTATAAGTCAGGCGTATCTAAAGAGTTTGACGTTGTCAGTAGGTACTCTTGCTATTCGCAGTCTGCGACTAGACTCACGCTCCAAATGGTACTAAAAAGCAGCGCGGCATCGATGCGCCGGCTGGGGATTCCGGCCAGACGCGCCCATGTCGCAAAGTGGGCGATGTAGATGGTCGGCAGTATGCTCCAGAAGCGGTCGACTTGCGAGTAGTTTCTGTTGACCTCGGCAGCAACAAGAAACACGCCGCCTAGGAAAATGGAGATCCCGAGCCCGCTGATGAAGGGGTTGGTCTCCATGTACAGCTTAAGGAAGCTCCCCCCATTGAAAATGGTATCCAAAATTTGACGCGGAAGGGCGTAAAGTTGGGGTAGGAAAGGGGTGACTGTCTTTGAGAAGTCGGAACAGTCTTGGAGTGTGCCCAACTTGGGCAGAGCCATGGCGTAGGGCAGTGTCATGGCGGGCAGCTGTGTAGCTGATCGGTGGACGAGGCAAGAAACAAGAATGGGGACAGTCAAAGGCTTGCGAGTTGAAGATGGATGTTTTGTTTACTTTTCGTGTTTCTCGAGTTCTTCCTAGAAGAAAGATTGGCCGAATCGAAGAATCCGGTGGGCTGTTGTTGGATGTACTAGTGAATGACGGAGGATTGGCGTCATGTGCTGATGTACACAAGTATCCGTCGAGCCCGGGGCTCCAGCCAGTAGTTCGCCCACTCATAAAAGGCGGGGCATGAACGCAACCTGCATCGTCATACCTCTTTTAGCGCAAGCGCATGAGTGCACTGCATGCATAGCTCGCATAGGTCAATATGTAATGCGACTCGACCAGATTGTTTGAATGTAAGGATCCACGCATCAATTACACATTACAACACCAGACGCGAAGCGCGTCTCCCCTCGCCATCAACCATCAACTGACTTCCATAGTTGCTTGATCAGCCCGCGAAGACGGATATCTGCATGCAACAGGTATGACTGCAAAGGCTGTGAAGAGCCCCAAGGTTATCAATCTCGGCATCCAGGAGCTGATGTATCCGAAATAAATCTCGGTTCAAGTGAACCTGCACCAGCCCTTTTGTCTGTCTTACGACGAACGCCTCTTTGTTTCGTCATAAATGGAATTCACTTCACATTTACTTCACCGGAACTTCAGACGACCGCTTGATGCCCCGCTCTCCCTTGCTTCCAAGGGGTAGGTTCGTTCCGGGAGTATCGTCACTTTCTTCTGTGCGCTTTTATTCGTCCAAAATGCCGCGAATCCTTTGTGTGGCTGAAAAACCGTCCATTGCAAAGGCGGTCGCTACACATCTGTCTGGTGGCTCATATCAAACCGTGGGTTGCCACTACGTCTTCACAATGTCTTGAAGAGATCATTGCTAACGTGCTAGGCAGCATGACACTCGGGACAGGTATACCAAAAATTATGTTTTCACTTGCGATTTCGGTCCTCCCTGGGGACGCTCTACGGTCACCATGACTGCTGTGAGGGGACATCTCACGCAGCTAGACTTTCACCAGGAGTTTAAGAAGTGGGAATACCCACCACCAGATCGCCTCTTTGACGCGCCTGTCCAGACAATCTACCCGCATGTATGTCGCGCCATCGCCAACAAGTGTCGGGCACATCATCCTTGCTTGCATTTTTGATGTTGACAACGGGATTCATGCTAGGACATGAAAAATATTGCCCAGAACATCGAAAACCAGGCCCGGCAAGCTGACATACTCTACATCTGGACGGATTGTGATCGAGAAGGTGAGCACATCGGAAGCGAGATCCGGGAGGCCGCAAGGAAGGGCAAGAGGAACATTCAAGTCTACAGAGCAAGGTTCAGCAACATTGAACGAGCGTGAGTTCGCCATCCAGGTGTCTAAACCCAAGCATAACTGACATGCCGAACCCGATATCCAGACATATCCTATCTGCTGCCCGACGTCCGGTAGCCTTAGACGACAAACAGGCTGAAGCAGTCGCTGCGCGTATCGAGTTGGACCTGAGAATCGGATCTGCATTTACTCGCTTTTTGACGTTAAGTCTAAGACCCCTTGGTGGGGCAATGGCCGACCTTCTGCTCAGCTATGGTAAGTCCGAATCGAGCTTACACTGTCATTATGAGTCTAACTGAACAGGATCCTGTCAGTTCCCAACTCTTGGTTTCGTCGTCGACCGATACTTCCGCGTCAGAAACTTTGTTCCAGAACCGTTCTGGTCTATCAAGGTGATGCACGAGAAAGAAGGTGTCAAAGTCAACTTCAACTGGTCCAGAAACCGTCTATTCGACAGGTTGTCCGTGCTCCTCCTTTACGAACGATGTCTCGCCGCCAAAATTGCAAAGGTCACGGAAGTCAAAGAGAAGCAAACCAAGAAATGGAAGCCTCTTCCCCTCACCACCGTCGAGCTTCAGAAGATGGCCACACGGTTTCTTCGGATGACGGGTCAAGAAGCCATGACGGTAGCAGAAAAACTATACAACAAGGGTTTCATCAGCTACCCCAGAACAGAAACAGACCGTTTTGACAAGGGTATGAACTTGCGGGCGCTCGTCCAAAAGCAAACCCAGGACCAACGCTGGGGTCCCTTCGCACAGAATCTGGTCGACGGAGCCTTCCAACAACCTCGCCAAGGTAGGAATGACGACAAGGCCCATCCTCCCATTCATCCCATCATATATGCGGCACCCACCGTGCTTGACGATCAGGAAAAAAGACTATACGAGTTCGTGGTCCGCCGATTTCTCGCCTGCTGCTCCGAAGACGCCAGAGGAGCAGCCACCGACGTGGAAATTACCTACGGCGAAGAAAAGTTCGTCGCCCATGGCCTGATCGTCCACCAGCGCAACTACCTCGACGTTTACCCTTACGAAAACTGGACCGGAACGGCCGAGCTACCGAAATTCACCGTCGGCGAAACGTTTGAACCGACCGAAGCTATGATGACCGAAGGCAAGACCACTGCCCCTAGCTATCTGACCGAGGCGGATCTGATTGCCCTCATGGACGCGAATGGAATTGGCACCGATGCGACCATGGCCCAGCATATTGAGAAGATCAAGGAGAGACAGTATGTGCAGGTGGTCGAGCGAGGCGGTAATGGAGGCGGCGGTAACGACGATGATGACGGTGCAGCTGGTGGCGCACGGGGCGGACGCGGTGGCCGGGGAGGACGTGGAAGAGGTGGTGGGCGGGGCGGACGAGGAGGAGGCGGAGTTGGCGGTGGTGTCAAGGAGTTTATCCCGACCAGCCTCGGTGTCGCCTTGATTGAGGGCTTTGAGAGGATGAACTTCGAAACCAGCCTCGGCAAGCCCTTTCTCCGCAAGGAGATGGAGCTCAAGATGAAGGCAATTTGCGAAGGTCGGCTTACCAGGGATGCCCTCTTGCGGGAGAGTATCGCGAGTTATCGTCAAGTGTATGACCAGTCACGGGAGGAGGTCAACTTGCTGAAAGTTGTAAGTAATTTCCTTCGTGACCCCTATCGCTTCGTTCCCATATTCCTTATGGAACTGTCACTGCTGTCACATGTACTGACAGAGGCGAAAATCTAGGCCTGTAGACAGTATGTATTTGGTCAGAATGGCGGGGCTTGAAATCTAGACGGTCAACATTCGCGGTGGTGGAGAGTCCTCACCAAGTTTGGTATGAGAGCAGTATTATTTTATGCCTCACAGAACTCAGACTTCAACAGCGTGTGATTATGGGCCGAGCAGACACCTTAACATGGGGATCATCGTATCGAAACGTCCCGGTTTGCCCCGGTGCCACCCAATATCACCATATCTCCTACCTGAAGTTGGAATGAATTTAACGTGGCGATACAATGTTCAAGGCCGAGAGAACGTTCTAGCCATCTCGCGAATTTACAAACACGAACCGAGCCGAGCCCAACTGCCCATCCATTCCAACTCAATGTTGTAATGGGAGGCCTGTCTTGTCGTGGGTGGCTGCGATGCAGCACATACTACCAGGTACATATTACATAACGTCGTCGTGGTTGTAGTTGTGGTGGTGGTGTGTTGGGCCGCAGAAACACTTGGTCCCATACACAAAGCAGGTTCTTGTGTCGTTACACAACCTGCTACCCATAGAATCAGACACCGAATCGACCTTCTCGATGTAGGATACAGTGTTCCATTCGGGGGGTTGTGGCGCTTTCAGCAGCGCCAGCTTCTGCTTGTCGCTTAATAAGTACTGTATACCTCAAAAGCCCAACGACGAGTGTATGTTCCGGTATGGCTACGAACTTTCCATGTGCGCAGGCAGTAGCAGGGCAGGACGGAAAAGGACAGGACAATACCAAACAGTCGACGCTCATTCACATGCGCAGAAGGCGATATCGGTGATGGTGTGTCGTCCTCCTCACTTGACTGCCCATCCCAGCCGACTCCAGTCAAATGATGGTTATTTGGTTCAACTATCAAGAATGTTTGTGAGTGGGTCAAGGGTCCTCCCCACGAATTTTGGCACATTGTACATTCCGAGTCCGATCAACTCTTGCCGGCGGAAGGTGATGTAATCTTCCAGTCAGTACATTTCATTCCCTACGTTTCTTGTAAGCAGGGTGCTACAGGCATTGCCGCACTGTGAAGCGCTAGTACCAAGATTTGAAGCATACGCGCGGCCCAAATTTACCCACGTTACGATATCGATGGGTGGATGTTGTCCCTTTTCACGACGAGGTTTGGCAAAGAGGACCGTGGTATCTGGTGGCGTAGGTCTCATGGCATTCTTTCAAATATTAGCGCTACCGTACCTACCGCTACAAGACTTGGTTTTGGTACCGACATCGACATTGAAAGGAACGACCAACGGGCCAGAGGTGCCAAACCTTCGAGAGTCTATTGGCCGAGAAATCGAACGGATACGGGAGAACAGAGGACAAATTTCGACTGATGTTTGGAGGTTAATGCATGGGTTCAAGTGTTTCGAGATCCAAAGGTAGCAGGCCATTGAGGTTCTCAGATGCACAAAGAAAAGTGATGTTCCGGCAATTAGTAAGTGACCCATTGTATGGTTTAACTTTTTCCTTGCCCCCAACATGTGTTCTATTCTCTACATGATGTACACTGCCAGTTGCTTGTTCCTGACGTGGTTACTGATTAGTCACCTCTCTGCCCAACTTGATTCTACGATGGCATACCTCGGTCACCAAGGGCCTCGAGGCTGTTGACCCTTACAAGACCCACGTGTTTCTTCTCATGCTTCGAACCGTCGAGGTGGTTGTCTTGGCTGTCTTGAGTAGAATGGGTTAGTTTGTTGCAGCGTTTTGTTGAGGTGATTACCTACTAACCGCGGAAGCAAGGCAGCCTTCACGATGTACAGTACAGCGCTAGTGAACTCGGCATCATCTCCGCTCCCGTCTCCCGCCCCGCTCTCCGCAGTCCCCCGAAACCGCCGCGGATGCTGAAACTTGGGGTGAAAAAACACCGGGACCGCCAGCTTGGATCATCAACAGGTCAGCCATAGTCCAAACAGTTTGGACCACGGATTGACTCCGGTCATTCTGAGATGTTGAGAACCCAGTGGATCGTCGTCGCATGATGGACATTTCACATCACATTACCACCTGCTAGTTACTAGTAACGCTATAGAACACTCTACTAGACCTAAGTCCTAACGGTTTTGAGATTTTGTTCTCTCTGTAACCGGGGTGTATGTAAGTGATTGGTTTTCGACGTCCCTGAAAGAGAAGCGAAGGGTTTGGAAATGGACTTTTTTTTTGTGTTTAGAGCTTTTGTTTTCCTTTGTTTTGTCTTTGTGCGTGTGCATTGTCTGCCCCAGTTTAAAAGACCCTGCTATCTGGATGTGTAGAACTATACGGATTCGATGTAGTGAGCGATATTCAGGATGGTGATGCCAAGCCGTGCCTACTCATTCGTTATTTGTGATCTCACGACACCCTAGGCCTTGTGACTTTCTAAACTGAGACCGTGTTCCCCTCTCTTACTGAGGGGGGCTGGTCACTAGTGTAGTGGACGACGGGAAATAACTTGAACTAATAATACCGAAAGGGAACGTTCCGGCGGTCGGGTTCGCCAATTCTTCCGGACATCTGCTCCCCCCCACACACAATGAGGTACGTAAGGAATCCAATGGCAGAAGAGGTGTGCTTCGGTTGTGCTCACCCGATAGGCCATCGCCATTCTCGAACATCCATCCAATCAGAACGAGCGTCTTATCCAACGTGATTTCCCTTTTGGAATTCATGGTATCTGATCTTCTCTGGGGACCTGCCATGATGACGGCCGGAGATCATTTCTTTGCCCTGTGCTCCTTTTACTCTGTGGCCTTCGGACGTCCGTGACACAATACACGGGGCGAGATGAGTGGCTGTTCGCCCTGAATCTCCCTGCTTTCGCCTCATGTTGCCCAAAGTCTAAACCGACGACTACACTATGTACCAAGAGGCTCATCGAGCGATCGGCGGATAATTGTGTGCGGGTATCTACACGATTACCACCTCCCCAACCAATTCGTTGACCATGCGGCTACGGAGCCCGTGCGACGACTGACCTACTGCGACTGTTCCCAGCAAGGTTACTCCCAGCCAGGTTGCGGAACATCTCGGGCAGGTCAGCCCCTTGCTTCTCGTTCCCGTCAAGCCAGTGTTGGGCGGGGTTCCAGAGTCTCGGTTGCCCGGGGTTGGGACTTCCCAGGTGCGGGATACGGAGAGGATTACCCATTCACAGACAATCGTACGAATGCAGGCACTTCGGACCGGCAGCGACCGCCGGTAATGGCCATGGCGGGAAGACGGGGCTGACGGCGGCAGTTTGGCCGGGCTTTGTCTGCTTGGTTCGTGCGCCGTGTATTCCATCAGTCGTACATAGCCCATATGGCTGAATGGTCAGCGCCTGGTGCACTCGTCCGTCGCAAACCTGCATCATGATGCACTTGTAGTTTGCTTCCCAATGCGAAGGCCGTGTCTCTACGACTTCCGGTGTCCGGGACCAGCGGGAAGCCAACTACACATGTAGCACTGAATGAGCTGGGGGGTTTGATATCAGTATCCGCTCTCGCGTAGATGAAGGCAAGGTGTGATGTCCTCTGCGCCGCAGCTACGTTACCCTTGCCGTACCGTTTGGGTATCAAGTTCCACCAGTATCTTGACCATCAATGACGGAGAAACGGGGAGTTCAGGTTGTGCCCTGAAGTTGTGGACAAGACGGAAGCATCTCCAACACCACGTGAAGGAATGAGACGGCGGAGCAGCCTTGCCCGGTTACGGTGTTGTAATGGATGTACCGACATACCCACCTATCCGTGCAACATGCATTGTGTGTCGCCTTGTACATAGGTGTACACAGCCTACAGCGCTAGAAAGCTGCTGTACACTAGGTACCTAGGCCTGTAGTCCGCACTCGTCGCCCACCGCACTAACAGGCCGCTCTCAGACCCAGGAGAGAAGCCCTAGGTTTTTGCCCCCATGTGTGCTAGTGAAACTCCAATTGCCAGCCTATCGCCGAAATTGTGCAAAATTGAGAACCTTTCTGGTCTGGCTATGGGTGGGCTTGATTGAACGTTGTCATGACATTGTTATCTGTCCTGTACTGTCAGATATACCGGATTACCCTTACCAAGACTACCTATCTTGGTGTCATATTCATGATGATGAGATGACCCAACAACAACACGGTGGAAAAATAAACGCACAAAGCAAAATTAGCCACATGGTGCCAAAATAGACGACCGATGATGGAACTTGCGAAAAGGCGGGAGTGAGTTGGTAGTAGGCCGGATATCGTGACCAAGGAACCCGTAAAAGGAGCGCCGGCGGAAGGGGTCAACTAGTCAAAGAGGTGGGGGGGGGGGGGGGGTGTCGGTGTTAGTTGGTGTGCCTTGGCTGGTTCCCTTGCAAGCGGTCCTCTTCGACGAGACAAGTTGAGCACAAGTAGCCAGTCGATGAGGTTGGCATTTGCACGGTACGCTCTCCCTTTGGACTAAGACGGAATATGCTGGGGAGGCGCACATGTTCATGGCCACTATGTGCACCCCAGGTGGCGCGGGGAGAAAGAGGTGTCACCTCATCTATCCATTGTCGAGGCTTGTCATTCCTTCTGTGTTTCTGCAGAACCATCCATTTGCAACCATTCAGGCCCTAATCACTCATCACACACATCCATGGCATGGCAACAGGGCCCCCAACTATCGGCAAAACCCAAATGATCTTGTGACTGGCATGTTGAAAGACAGCCCTTTGGACCGGCTTTGTTGCTTTGTTCGATCTGATGGCCTTGTCCTTGCTTCTTCCATGCCATGCCCATTATGATGCCAATTGTTGTCTCTGGTACACGGTTCAGCAGGTACGCAAGCGCGGAAGCAACACGGTGACTGCTCTGCGGCACGTTTTGATGACTGCAGCTGAGCCCCTGGTTCATTCCCATACCTACCTACCTACCTACCTACCTAGGAACCTAGGAACCTAGGTACCGAGAAGAGAAGCTTCAGAAAAGAGGGAGGTACCTACCTACCTAGCCTCTACCCGTATCTAGGTTAGGTTGCCCAAGGCAAACAGCGATGACAGGTGAACAAGACAATGGTAAGCGAGGGCCAGAAGGTGTTCGCGACAATGGTAAAGTACAGTACAGTTTACCGGTACAGTAGGTGAGATGGTGTCCTGCCTGTCTTAGGTGTCCGTGTGCGCGTCGAGATTGTGCCCGTTGTGTCGGGTGCCCGTCAGGCTGCCAGTTGTTGTAAGTGGTACCTCTCCGGTCATCTCCCTACGCCGTACTTGTATGGTACTAGCTGTCTGTACCTGTTCTACGTATGGGGGCGCACACCCAGGGCAGGAAGAATGGATTGGACTAATTATCACTGGCATTCATCCCATCTCCTTCTCTTCCCTCCTCCTCCTCCTCCTTCTCTCTTCTTCTTCTTCTTCTTCTTCTTTTCCCTTTTCTTCTTCAAAGAAACAAACACGCACTTCTGCACCATCGATTCAGCACCGAGAGTCATCTCCTGTCACAGAGAGATCATCGCGATAACAACAGCTCTGCCGTTTCCCTGCCTCCACACTTTTGATCCGACCAAATCCACTTTGGCCCGAACAAGAGTTACTTTGCCAGCTGCGCATCTCCTTCGGACATCTGGTAAGTGACTCAGGAGCGGACCCTAGAATACCACTTCCCCCTCAATTCAACCCACGTCCCCCCTGATAATAACCACGGGCATTGTGTCCCATGGCCCACGCCCCCCCCCCTTTGGTGCCGCGCATCAGCCATGCGACCACGACGAGTGCGTGTGTGCGATTAGGGCACATCGTCATATCGACTGGTGTACCTTGGCTCTACTTGGACCTACACCGTACTGTGTGCGTGTATGTGTGTGTGTGTGTGTATCATACATACTATAGTATAGTAGTGGTACATGGTCCATGGCCCTGGTCGGCATCACGACTGATAACAAAAAGACCGCCACCGCCGTTGTCCGTCACTCCTCCTCCTCCTTCCATCATCATCATCATCACAAGCAACAGCACCATCATACCTCCTCACCAACGCGTCGTCGCGTGTCTGCCCTCCTCCCGCCGTATCGTGCTAACACCCACTGGCGCCGACTCGCAGACACGTCTCGAAGCACACCTACGTCAACAAAGGTCAACAAGGCAATCATGGCATCTGCTGTTCGCGATATCACTACGACCTCCCTCGGCCGAGACAACTTAACTGCTGTAGCGGCCCGGAGTGTCCCTGTGACGGCAACTCACCCGACCCCCCTCCCTACTCCTCCCAACTCCATGTCCCCTACACTGCCTCCCCATGGGCTCAAGGCCCAGCTTCAGAGAGCTGGGATGGACCAACATGTCGACTCGGATCTGGACCTCCATGGCGATCACGACACCGATCACAACGGTAGTGCCGGTTCTCCCCCATACGAGTCGGCCGGCATCAACGCTGCCATGTTGGCCAAGTTCCATCTACCAGAAATCCTCTTGAACCACGGTCCGCTTGCGATCCGTCATATCATGGGTTATCTCACGAGCTCTATCCCTGGCTTTGCTGAGATTCCTCCGACAAAGGCTCGGAGGTTGGTTGTGGGTGCTTTGGAAGGTCGAGGAAGTGGAGGCGAAGGCGGCGGTCTGGACGGTGACGTACAATTTGAGAAGGTGGGCTGGGGAATATGGCAAGCCAGGAGGCGTGGCCAGCCCTCCGGGTATATGGCAGCACGCCGAGCATCGCCACACGGTGACAGTCAACCCGCAAGTATTCCCATCACCAGGAATGGCGGTTGGAACCTGGATCGCTTGCGCATCGCAGCGGCTGGTTCCCTCGACGGTGAATCTTGCGCGGCATTCTCCTTTGACGATCGGTCTATGCACATGATGGACCACGAAGCGGACAGGATGTCCTTGGATGGTTCGGCGTCGGCCTCCTGCTCAGAGGCACCTGATGACGACGATGATATTGCTATGGATGACGACACGGAAGACGCGACAGATGATGAAGACTGGGCCGCTGTTGGTGCGGCTGCGCTTCGTGCGACTTCATATCAAGCCCCATCAGACCGGTTCCTCAACGCGAACAGTGTCTACGCTACTGGTGGGCTACGGTCATTCTCTTCATCAGTGGGAATGGCACGCTCGCCACAGTTCCGCACCTTCAACTTTTCAACAACAACACCTGCATTGACGACCCCGTCAGATGCGCAAGAAAGGGAGGCCGTCGAGGCTCTCCTTCGACTTGGATCTGTATAATACCACACACATGCATGGCTCGGCGTTCAACAAGGGGCAGGGCATAACATTAGGCACCCAATTGGGCGCTGGCGGTCATTTGAGGGATTTCTGGCATCTCTATCTCGCTGGGCACGAAACTTGGTTTCCGTGCTCAGGATTTGGAGCCACATCTACCAGGTTTCTTTTCTCATACACGACCAAAGACGGCGCCATTTCGCCAACAAAGCATTCATATCGACTTTTGACTTTATCGGCTTTTTATCTTTGCTACGAGGCGTTTGGCGTCTCAACGATCACACTCAACTCAACTTCGCTTCTTATGCTATCCCTGGAGGAAAACATTTTGGCTACCAGACGCTCGGGTTTCCGCCACAGGGAGCTCTAATCCACCTGATCGGCCAGAGATGGAGATTGGCAACTTTTACATAATTGCCTTGCCTCTCGTCACACGGGACGCCGTGGATCTGGGTAGCCTTTCCACGTTTGCTTCGAGAGGCACCTTGCATAAACCACTTGGCCCGCCTTGGAAGTATCGGTTAGGAGCAAGATCATACTAGCCTAGAGCTCTTGGCTTTGTCACCTTGATTGCTCAGGTTTGCTATATTAGGGGCGTTGGTTTCCCTTGTTGGTTGAAAGAAAGTCTTTCACCTACCCCTTGATACCCTTTTTAGTGCGCCGTCGAATTTGGAGTTTACCATGTTTCCTGGCTTGTGATAAGGCAACGGAAACAGGCTAGCGCGACTGCCGGTTCTGAATCAGAGGAGACGACAGAACAGTCACCCAATTCGAGGTTAATGCTCACCTGGGTGCCGGTCACGGGTTATCCTGGGGTTTCGTTGTGTACATGTTTTCCGGTCAACCTTCTGAGGCCGGTAGCCCGTATTTTGATTATTCATTTTTTAAAAAGCAGAACACTGGGGCTAGGACGAGAACGTTGCTTAATTTCTTGGAGAGATATGGACAAGGCAGAAAGGACGGCGCGCAAGCGAACACAAAGACATACAACTCTGACACAATTTCCCTAGAACAGGAAAGGATGAGCAGAACAACGAACAAGTAATGACGAATGAAAGCAGGCATTGCGTGGGCGTGGGAAGCATATGTTTTATTCACTTCATGTTTTCTCTGGAACTATGCTACTATCACGACTAAACTACTATTGACGAATTTGGTGATTGATGATGGATGAGGGATGAACTAGGGCTTAGGGCTTTGCAAGGTCATGTAGACGAAGGCATGGGGGAAACATTTTTCGGGTTTCTGGAAACGACCAAGAACATGATACCGTGGATATCGACGCTTCCATCGAACGAGCGAAGGAGAAGCGAAACGAACGGGCATGGGCCGCTCGCGGATCGATCCCGATCCGTACCTCCTGCAACCGGGGAAGTTCTGGTGCGGTCCGCACCAAGGCAAAAGGCGGTGACAGCGCAAGCTCGTTGACCGACTCCACGGAACCAAACACCCCTCCCCCGGGCCCCCGACTGACTGGCCAACTGATCACCATCCCCCGACACTGAATCGCTCGCAGTTCGCACACCCCTCTGTCTTTATTTCGGGCAGCCATCGATCCTGCGATCCACTATGGGTTAGGTACCTGACCCTATTACGGGAAAGGACAAGCGCGATGTGGGTCGGAAACAGCGAGTTGTCAGTGGAGCGGCGAACGACGTTCGTTCCGGAACCAGCAAGGTGGGCCACGGCGGGGCGGGGCGGAGCGGGGCGGGACGGGAGGGAGACGGATGAGGCTCTGGACCCGGCCGTTCGTTTCGGCGCTTGGGAATTGCTTGAAACAAATTTTGAGCTTTAATGTTTTGAAACCTGAAGACTGGCCACCACTACGGAGTATGGTTGCAACCGTATCTCAACACATTATAGGCATGTGGTGCAGAGCTCTAGTCAGGTTAGTCAGTACCTACCTAGCTGTTAGCGCCAATGCAGATGACGTATTGCCAACACTCGACATGTTTCAGATATTTGAAGCTTCTTTTTTGTTGTAATTTTTGTGTGGTTTGTGTAGATTGTATCTAAGTGGAATGGTGCGGCGGATATTGAAACTGAGGAGAATCTACGTATGGGTAGAAGCCGGCCCGAGCGAGCTGGGTGCGACGACTCCGACGAGCGGCGGAGGCAATGGGGCCGCCGCCGACACCCCGATTGAGATGGGAGATGGATCCACTTTCCCGGGCCCGCAGCCGGCCGGCTCTCAATGCGCAAAAGCACTACGGGAGCCAAAAGAAAAAGAAGAAAAAGATTACGAAAACGGAAATTACTGGAACGCCCCCGTAGGTAGACGTGCAGATTCGTTACGTACAAAACGAACAGCACACAAACCACAGAATACGCACGAGAGAACTCATGTTGTTGAGTTTAATCGGGGAAAGCGTGTTGGAGAGGGGTGACGACGAACATGAGTTCACCTGGCAACACGTCACCGTGTAGTGTCTGGTGACAACGTCAATCCGCATAACGCACCACGCGTATACGCAGGTACAACTCAATCTTGCATGGCGCTGTTCGCATTGCTCACATTATGCAAGTGATAAAGAAATCGAGGATGGGAACGCTGGTTATGCGGGGAAATTTAGGCATTGGGAAATGAAAGAGCAGGATGAAGTACCGATCTATTTAGTGATTGCTAATAATGGTTTTGTAAGTTTTTTCTGTGTTTCTTGAATGAACAGAAACGGCGGCGGTTTTTGCTCCAGTCGGGGGGTGTGTATTCAGTTGCTTGGCTCGGCCGCGGTCCGGTCCGCAACGGAGATATGTAGATGGGACGTCGGGATGACCGATATCGGAGCGGGGTCCGTCCCCCATCCGGGCCCGGTGGACGGGGTGCAATGGGTATCGCTTTCGGTGTTGTTATAGAGCCAGCCATCCGTTGAGAGGAGTTCGGTGTCGGAACTACTGTATACCTACTGTCTGAAATACATCCCGTTGAAAAGATGCACAGATGAACGATTCAAGGAAGAAGGAAAGAGGCAATTCGACACCTCGTTTCAAGAGAACCTACGTCTCTAGTTGAATTTGTAATGATTTTTGCCATGTTTGTTCGAAGAGCTCCTTCCTAATGGTCCCTCCAACCATTGCTTCCAACAAAGATGAGAGAAGAAAAGAAAGCCGGACGGACATACGCGGGAGAATTTTGATGATTTACAAAAGTAAAAAAGGAAAAGAAAAAAAAACAAAATGAATGCCCAATAACAGGATTGAACTGTTGACCTTCGCATGACTTGATATCTCGGGGAGAGGATATTAGTACGACGCTCTAACCAGCTGAGCTAATCGGGCTGTTGGATTGAACTGTAAGCTACTGCAAAAGCTTTATATTTGAATAGTCTCACAAACCTGGGAACATTGGCGTGGAGCTGTTACCCAGATGTTTGATCGTTAGGAAACGTTTGGTAAATTGCTCCAAGTTCGATAGAAGGCGAGAAAATGAAGGAGGGGGTAAGGGCACAAGTGTCCTCTGTTAGTCGCTATGCTGGGCATACTTATGGTGTTGGTGTTCCGTATACATGTGCAATGAACAGCTTGAAGATGGATGCATATCTCACCTTCGTACATTCCCGTGCACGATAGAAGAATAGTACCGCGAAAGATCATACTGACGACTATCTAAGAAGGAGCCTTCACGGAAGCGAGACAAGTGAAAAGCCAAACCGCATCATATTATAACGTCAATGTGTGAGAGATCAGTTGGAAAGCATAAGGAGGACAAGAGCGAGAACATTGTCTATTAGCTTGCCAAGTTGGACAGGCCTTTACCGAGCAGGACTCTCTAACGCCACTATAGATCAAGAACGAAACCACCAAGCCGTAAAGCTGTCTATCTCCATACATGTATATTTAGGATCCTATCCCACACGAAAGAGTTGCAGGTAACCATAAAACATCCATGGTGCCTCCCCCCTGATCTCCTGATCTCGTACTCCTTTCATGCAAGTCGTGAACCGACAAATCATCACCCATCAAATAACCCTCCAAATAGCTGTCGCTCGCTTCCCAACGATCTCCTCTCCCTCCTTCTCATCATCGACCCTATTTAGTCTACGCACCCACTCCATCTCCTCCGCCACGGCCTCCCTTTCAATCTGCGCCATAATTTGTAACTCAGCGAGCATGTTGTCCATCAGACTTCCGAATCTGCTAAGCGTCCTGGCCAGAGGCGACTCATCATCTTCTCCTTCCTCTCCCTTGTGGGCTTCCCTCTCAATAGCTTCAACCCCTTTTATTGGTCGCGATGACCGAAAAGAAGACCCATAGTTGGCCTTCGACGACACTCCGCCCAGCTCCCCCAACATCCTCCGCCACTTCTCCAACCGCCTCCCGAGCGCAACGCACTCATTCTTCCACTCGAGATCCATATTCCCAATCATTTCCACCTCGCCATTCGCATCCAGCATCAACACTCCATCCCGACCATCTTCATTATCCGCTGCGCTTCTTCTCCGTTCCTCCAATATCCTCCCCGCCCTTCCAGCCCACACCTCAAACTCGCGCACCACACGTGTGTACTTCCCAATGGTAACACCCGATGAAGAAGACGGAGAAGAAAGGTCGCTCATAGCCCACACCCCCGAAATGACTTCATCCAACGCCTGTAGTTTTGTCTCGTCCAATGTTCCCCCAAACCCAGCCATAGCAAGCAAGCCCTCCACAACCCCCTCCTCCCCTCCTTCCCCTCCATCTCCCCCACCGTTCTCTCCTCCGCCCTCACCCTCTCCCACATTCCCTGCAACTTCCCCCTAGCATCCTCCTCCCACTCCTCCTTTACCCGCTTCGCCTCCCGATGTAGCAAGTGCGACTGCAACAGTTCCGTCTGTAGTCGAGAAACCTCGGCGGAGAGAGCAATGTTTGCCGGCTGCTTGGAGGGCGTGGGAGGAGCGAGGAAGGTGGATGTCAGTGGCTTGGGCAAGAGCGGGATCTGGGCAGAAGTGTAGTGTTGTTGGTACGTGTCAAAGTTATGACGGGGCTTCTGCTGCTGCTGCTGCTGCTGCTGCTGCTGCTGGGCGGCGTGGGAGGATATCGAAGACGCAAGAGGTTCGGGTATATGGGGTTTGGGCTTTAGTTTGAGAACGTTCCTGATCGTGGCGGCTGAGGGTGCCGTGGTTGGCTGGCGCAAGGGAGGGGATTTGGTGATTGTGGTGGTTGCTGTAGAAAGGGGCCTAGTTGAGGATGATATTTTTGGTGCCAGCTTTACAGTATTTGCTATTGCTGCTTCGGGGGCTTGTAAGGAGAGTGGTCTCCTGGAAGCAGCAAGACGCCGAGTCTGGGTCGTTGTTGTACTCGCCGCTGTCCTTGTCTTTGTTCCCGTGGTGGTCGCGGTACTGGTAGTAGAGACTGAAGATGCCGAGTTTTGCCGTTTGTGTGCTGGTGATGACCTTAGTCCGGTTCCAGTCACTGCTTTGGGCGTCCCTCCTGTCGTTGCTATCTCTGGCTTAGCGGTGGCAGGAGACCGTCTGAGTGCGTTGGCCGATATGAGTGACTGTGGCCTACTTTTACCAGGAGTGCTTGGTGGTGGAACTCCTTTGGAAGCGTTTTTGGGCGGACCACTCCCACTGCCAACTCCAGAAACCCCGATGTCTTTACCTACGGCAGTTTTTGAGAACGCGGTGCCAGAAATTCCTGATACTGCTGTGCTTCTTGGTACCGGTTTCGGCGTTGTTGGCTTCGGCGAGCTTATTGTTGCTGACTGAGTACGCGCATGCCCTCTCCCCCTTTGACCAACGCCTGTATCTATTTTGAAACTAGAACCAGATGCACCTGTTACTCTTGGGCTAGTGATGGTGGCTAATGAACCTGCACTCGACGAAGTAGTTGGACGAGTCATTCCAAACGATCCTGATAATGATGGCGGTGTTGTGGTGGGTGGTGATAGAGGGGTAGTTCTCGCGGTCACATCAGTCGCGGAAATTGTAGGAGCGCGATTACGGAGAGGTTGTCTGAGGCTAGTTGTTGACAATTTTGTCGATTTTGTGGCAGTTGTTGATGTTCTTGATGGTTGCAGTGCCATTGCTGCTCCCGATACAACCCGGTTCCCAGAACCACTGGAGATCCCAGTTCCAACTTCCGCGCCAGTCCTTTCGCCTGCATTTTCAACTTTCCTCCCCTCTTGCTTCAATCTAGCGCTAGCCAGTCGATTAAGCCCTCCAGAGGATGGTGGTTTGATATTGCTGCTGGTGGTGCCGCTTCTAGTACCAGTAACACTAGCCGTCCTTTTGATTCCGCTCCCGCTGATCGCTGTGCCAATGTTGCTGGTGGCGATAGTCCGAGAAACCATTCCTGGCGCAGCTAAAGCTCCTTTTATTGTTGATGGCCCTTGAGTCATCGTGACGGGCCGTTGTTTTGACGCTCTTTCTCCTGCGCCCCTAGCGATATTGTTGCCAGCAGACGTACCAACTGCGGCGGTAATGGTGGTATCCTTCATCAGTCCCGCGGTGCTCATTGGTTTCCGGAGTGATTGAGTGCGATCTAGTGCACTTGGCTTCAAGGAAGGCGTTGGGGAGGACATGGTACCGGAGAGTTTCCTCCTCTTGAAAGGCGGGGATGTGATGGTGTTGTCAAAAGTGTCCGTCATTCATTCGTGAAGCTGTGACCTTTGGGCGCTGGTCTGCTGAATTATCGGGTTGGAAAGATCAGTCTTGAGTGTCCAGAAGATATTGGGATGGATTTTAGACGAAGCCACTGCGAACAACCTAATTGTTCGATGGATGTACATAATGTAGGTTGGTTAGGCTGGCGGTTATGGTCCAAACTCGGACATTTGTTACCATGGAAACGCGTACAGTATTTTACGTGTTCCCGCATGTTCGGATACGTCCCCGTTCCCGCCCCTGCTTTCCATGTTTCCGTCGGTGACCGTCTCCATGGGGTTACAACGTGGTTGCCACAAAGTCTTCAGTGTGCCCGGCCTTCACACCCCTGGAACCCGCTAAAGCTGGGGCCTGTCACTGCGGGCCGTTACTGAACTCCGGGTGGAAGGGTGGACGCCAGGTACAACTGCAGCCGAAGAGGCGGAACCGATCGCCAGGGCAGATCCAGCGGAATGGATGATCTAAACCACCACGGCAGCCCATCCGATACTGTATTCAACTTGCGACTGAGCTCAACCAAACGCCCGTTAGTCTTTTTCACACCGGGCTTCAGAAAGTTACTTCTTCAGGAAAACATTGTCGAGTTCTCATTACAAGTAAAGTGGCTCTAATGTTTTTCAATGGAGTGTGCCTCCATCATCCATATACCACTACAGCCAAGTCAATCCAAAGAGAAGAAGAAAAAAAAAAAAGGGCATCACCATCATGTTTCCCATCCAATCAAATATACCAACGACTTCCTTCAGTATCTTTGCCTCGCAAATCACGTCAAACATATGTAACCCAAATGCCAACCCACTCTACCACTTATTACTGCCAGCCATGCGACAAATAGCATTAAGCAATTCCTACGCCAACGCCTGTTTTCTCTTTGCAGTATGCAGTTCTTTATGCTTCTTCCCAAACTTGTTTCCTAATCTTCACCACTCTACCCTTACGATTACTGTGTCTCCACGGGACAAAGCACCCCGTTCTCTGTTGGTGGCCCGCAGCTAAATCCGTTTTGGTCCGCGTATTGGACTCCTGGGGTTACTTGGCCGTTCTCGTCCTCCTCATTGAATTGTCTGCTCTCTTCCACATGGCGCAAAAGCTGCTTTAAATTGCCCCCAAACACCTTCAAGCCTTTGGTGCAAGGAAGGCAAATGTTGAGGGCGCAGGCACTGCAAATGTAGCAATCCACATGCTGTCTCTCACCACAAGTGCGGCAGGCAATTCGATTATATCTCTGTCGGCTCGGCGTCATGTACCTGTGGCTCGTGAGGCACCGATAGTGTTTGTCCGTAAGAGGGGGCGCATCGAGTACTCCGTCGGCTGGCAATGGTGTGCACCAGTTCTTCTTCTTCTTCAGGAAGAAAGCCACGCCGGCGTTATCGGTCCTTTCGGGCCAGGACTGCTCCTCGGGCTCCTCCTCGTCCGAGATCACGGCAATCTCGTTGTCCACATATCTCTGCTTTGGCGGCCGGAGGGTCTCGACAGATACAGCAGAGCCGGATTCGGATACGGAGCCATGATCTATGGTTCCATTGAAGTATTGATGATATTCGTCCTGGACTTGAATTTGAGGAGTAGGATATGCGGGTCGGTATCCGTTGCCGGTTTTGGATGTGGTTCGAGTGGGGAACGGGGCTGCATTGGGGGCCGGGGGTCGCTCTACAGGGCGGCCCCGGTTGGCCGCAGGAGAAGCGGGGAGTCCAACAGGCGAGCGCACGGAGAGCCCGGCGGCATCATTGTTTTCTTCGCTTGGAGCCAGATTTGAATTGTTTACCGACCGCAACTGGGAGTCGTACCCTCCAACTGCTTTCCGCTGAATCGCGGGTCTGTTTCCACCTTGTACATCTGTCGATGGCACTTGTTGTACCGACGGTGCGTTCGGCTCCCAATGCGGCTGCTTGACTTCGTACTGTCCATAATCGGGTGTGGGATGATGGGCGACGGAAGGAGCGGTAGTGGCGGCAGGCAGCCCATTGCTGGTTTCGAATGGCGGTTGCAACACTGCCTTTTCTGCGGGCGTACCCGCTCTCGGTGTGTCGTCGCGGCTCTTCTTTCTCAAGTGGGATTTGGCTTGGCCCATCGTATCCTGAACCTGGGGGATGGCTTGTTGACGAGAGGCTGAAGGACGGATGTTTCTCCCAGGAAGAGCATTAGCAGTGGTTCTATGCGCTGGGGCACGGTAATTGTTATTGGCTGCAGGTGGGGATGCGTCGACGTGCCCTGGCGACAAAGGCGGTGTTACTGTTGGCTGGGCGTCGGCGGTGCGCGAAGCAGCATAAGATTGAATCTGGCCTGATTCGGCCGTGGATCCGTTGCTGGAATCAAGTTTCAGGTCCGCAACCACCAGGTTCTTTTCACTTTTCACCGATCTCCGTCTCCAGAGCTCTCCGTGCTGGGGAGAAGTGTTTGAGCCGTTGATCGAGATCGGCGCGATTTGCGCCCCTGTCGAAGCTTGTTCTGTTTCTGGTCGGACTATTTTCGGCGGGGTCTCTGGCCTTTGACGGTTGAGATGCGCGTCTTTCTCTTTCACTGGAGGCGCGGGCGGTGCCGGCGGCAATTCTCGCTCTGATTGTGCGAACTTTCGAGACCTGTCTGCTTCCCTGTTTTGTTCATGGCTGTTGGAATATGGGACTTGTCCGACCAGTCTTGAAGACGTTGTGCTTAAGTTGGGCTCCTTGGAATCGGGAAAGCTATGAGTAGAGTTTGTCGAGGATCTCGGGGTTGATCCAGGACTGCCATCCGAATATGCCGACAAGATGCTGGATACGGAGCCGGCTGGTGACTCGGGAACCGAAGGGTCGGGCGACACGGCGGACTTGAGATTTGCTGAGCCCGAGGCCGAAGCCGGGACTGGGGCTGGGTGGGGTGGTGAGGATGGCCGGGAAGCTGCGATGGGCTTTAGGGTGGGCGAGTCTGGGGAAACCGCAACCGACGTGGGAGCATTCACAAGCGAAGGTGAAGTAGGGGAACTTATGCCAGGACGAACAGGCCGTCTGGGTATCGACATGGGCGGTAGGGGCGGCAGCGGAGCATTCCAAGGTTTGGCGTTGGAAGCGGCCGTCGGGGTAGGGGGTGTGGAGGCCGCGTTGACAGTCGTGATCATAGTAGCTGCCTTGTGCCTATCAGCTCCGGGATGCTGCGACCCGGCCGTTCTTTCCCAGCTGGGTGCTTCCACAGCAGATCTAGGCGCTGGCAGCAACTTTGGTTTTGCTTGCTGTGGCGGCGGAGGAGGCGGCGCAGTGGGAGGACCAGTTGGGGGACCAGAGATACCAGTACGAGTCTGGATTGGTGCAACAGGCAGCTTCTTGTCCAATGGGCTCAAAGCTGACGTCGTTGCTGCTATGGGCGTTGTTGTTGTTGTCGTTGGCGGCGCGGATTTGGGCGGTGCTGGACTTCTGGTTGTTGCTCTTCCTGTTGTTGCTTCTGGCGATAGCGACGATTGGTCGGGAGCCTTCGATTGGGCCCCGTCAAAACGAAGCAACTCGGAGAGCTCGAGCTTGGGAAGATCGGGGAGGTCCAAATCCAATCTGTTTGGTCCGGCACTGGACGAGGGGGTTGGGTGTGCTTTTGAGAAAAGCGATCTGCCCTTCTCTCCCCCAGCGGACCGCTTCCTCCTCAAGAAATTTGCAGCTGCCTCCATGATGGAGAGTGACTGTCCGACTCGATGCTCCTTCAAGAAGCCGTCTCTCGGGTGCTAGGTGTGTCTCAGTATCTCCCCTTTCCCCGGAAAGCACAGGATACGAGTTCCAGATTCCCTGTCAATAAGAGGATATCGTGTGACTCGGCTCAGGACTGGGAGACAGAATGGCGAGCAGGATGGTCTGAGGGCAACGATTTGGTCCAACTTCAAAAGTCCGGTTGAGTGCGAGCGATGCGACGGTTCCCTAGGACAAGAAACAAGGCCCGCATGTGGTGTTGCACATGAAGTGGGAGGGTTCGTATGATCTTCGTCGAGGCGACTCCCGGCGGGTTGCCGGCTGGGAAGAGATGGTAATACGACTGCGCCGGAATCCCACTGGCGGCAGTGAGACCTTACTTCGTGCAAGAGATATAGATGGCCACGCGAAAGAGTTGAGACGAGCAACTGTGCGTACGGTAGGTAGGTCAGGTCAGGTATATGCGAAAACGGCAACTCGATAAAATTCGAGACAACACTGCAGACGATGAAATCGCATTTCGACAAGGTTACATAGAGGTAACCTCACCCCCCTGGCTCCCATGAGCCCTATTCCCTGCAAGACTCGAGGCGGCCCATATGGAAATTAGTTGGATCGCCCTAAGGGACCCTTTTCCCTGCAGTCACATTGTCCCATGTTCTTCTGAAACAGCCGCTCACGATGAGCCAAACGGCCAAGTCTGTGATGTTCGATTTGGCACGAACGAAGTCAAAGTCGCTCGTGCAGTTGTTGTTGTTGTTGTTGCCTGTTGCTGTTATATGAGGCTTGCCCTTAATCACAGATGTCTGATGATCTTCACATCTTCACCAAGCAGTAAAAGCCTTCGGGCTGCTGGACGCCTACAAACATCCACAGGCCCATCAGATGCGCAACGATATGTCACACATGTACTGGATATGCAAAGTCTGCACTTAACCCGAGAGCGAATTGCAGCATTTACTCTGCGAAGATAATTTGAAGCCATGTTCGGTGCATCTGTGTGGTTCTGGAATAAATCAGATGGATCATGGGATGCCAGGAAGTGGCGCAAACGGCTTCAGGCATGTTGCGGACATCGGCACTTGTAGATGTATGGTAGTAATCCCGCAGCGTGCAAGGGAATAGCTTCGGAAGAGATACCCCTTTACCCGACGCTGGGACCGAAGACCGAAGACCGGGTGACAGCCTCGATGCGAATCGCCCTGATGCCATCATCAACATCATCTGAACCTTCAGACGAAAGTATGGCCGGATCGGTGACAAACCGAGGTTCAGACGGAGACCAGAAGCATAAAAGTCCACCGAGATGAAGCAAGTTGAAGATTCTCCCGGGATACAGAATTCAGTACAACGGGTCCCGAGATTTGAATTTTTCCTTCAATTTATGCATGACATTCCGTCTGTAGCCAGGATACGCTATTCCGTTCCTGGCAAGCGTAACTATCCTTTTCCCCTGAAGAATTTCACATGACGCAAATGCTAAACCTCAACATGGGAAAGCAAAAGAAGAAAAGCATTCCAGTCATCAATTCAAGCCACACTCACACAGTACCAGAGGCTAACACAAGGACGTAAGACTTGCTGGCAAGACAATTTCATACATCGTGATAGCCAATTGCTATCGTCGCACGACCCTCGGTTTGCGACCTTGAGAAGTCGAATACGGAGGGAGCACGGATGGCCTGCTCTATGCAAACATTGGCGGGGCGGATACGGAGCACCTCTACGGCCAGAAGCGGGCTCCGCATGGATCACACACAGTTCTTTTCGGTACCGATATGCACGGCAAACATGATGCAGGACAAGGGAACATCCGGTTCTCCGCATGTAGTGTACAGTAGTGTAAGTAGTATGTATCTGCTGGCTCTCTTCCCTCGCGTTCCTTCCTTTTTCTCCTTTCCATCCTCTCTCTTCCTGGCATCGAAGGTCTACGCCATCATCCAGCTGGAGTTTAAAGGTACATCGATGCGGTTGTTCCCGCGTCCACTTCCCCGATCCGGTTCTTCAATTCCTGGCACCCTTCTCCTTCTACACACCTAGGCCATACCTACGTTGAAATGATCGACAAAGTAAGTCTGGGGCGCTCTGTGCCTTTCAACGTAACCAGCAATAGCCAGACCAATCATCCTTCGCTTCGAAGAAGCTTCCCGAGCTTCAGGTTGGATGCACACCAATTCGGCTTGATGCAGGTCCCAGAGACACAGAGTAACATTTGGGTCCGGGTCATTACATGAGAAACTGAAGAGGTTTAAATACGATGACCCTCGTCGCCGCAAGAACTCGGCACACAAACACCACTTACTGAGATGGAATGGGACTTCTGGGATTATTCGCGCTCTCGTTCTGGGAGAGCGATGGCCCCCATGGGACAGGGTTGCTCGACAAACTGCAAGCAGCAGCAGCCCCGACGAGATATGCTGCCAACTGGATGACGCTTGTTCACGAGACGACCACTTGGGCCTGTGGCTTTGACGTGTCGCACTTACACCAGTTGTTGCCTCGGGATTGCGAGACTCAAGGCTATTCATGTTCTCGAAAAGAACTTGTATTCTCCAAGCCAAGTCATCCGCGTCCTGTGCCTCAAGACTATACCGATGACCACGTTGTGATGATGGGTCTGGCACGGCACAGATGCATCCGTTGCCCAAGCGGCGGTGTTCCCGGCCTTGGCGGGCCAACTCCCTAGTGGAGGAAGGGGCATTGACTTCGTCCTAAGAGTTGGTGTTGCTGTTGTTGTTTATCCTTTAAGCTGGTTGGTGCCCCCTCCTGCCAAACCAACAACACACAACCATATCTACCCTCGTATCCGGACGGCAGAACAACAATGCGGTGACCCTCAACACCGCCCTGCTGAGAAAATGCTGCGGCGGAGGCGTTGATTTCCTTCGTCCAGACTGGAACTTGCTCATGTCATCTGTATCAGCTCCTCCATGGAGCCTCTAGAATGGCAAACAGGCACGTGGCGCATCAACGTGGTGAAGACTTCGCTGGTAAACACGTCACTGACCTTGAGCCGCCCAAGATCATCTATAAATATCTAGCTGTGTGGTCGTGAGGTTTTCTCCATTTTACCTTCTACGATTAAGCAGAATTAACCGCCAAATTCCCAGACGCGATGAGATCTCTACAGATCCTGGCTGGAGTAGCGGGCCTCGCAAGCATGTTGAGCCCCATCCAAGCTTCTACGGTCATCGACGCGTCAACCGCCGCCAAAGCCGCCATCGACGCCATGAACAACGCCTTCTACAACCCCTCCGAAGGCCGCTGGTCTCCCGATGTCGCCTGGTGGATCTCCGGCACCGCCCTCCAGGCGGTTTTGGACTACATGCACGTTACCGGCTCACGGGACTACCTCTCTCAGGCGCACGAGATCATCGAAAAGCAAAAGGCCCCCCTGCCCTGGTGGCCCCAAGGCGGCGGTAACTTCAGGGCGGACTCGACCGACGATACGGGCTGGTGGGCGCTGGCCATGCTCCGCATGTTTGACCTTACGGGCGACAAGCGATACCTGACGATTGCGATGCAGGACGAGCAGTACATCTGGAACTACTGGACGGACACGGAGTGTGGCGGCGGCATCTATGTGGACATCAAGGCGATGACGTACAAGAATGCCATTGCCAACGCCTTGTATATCAAGCTGGCCGCGGCTTTGCATCTTCGAACGGGTGATGCTCGTTATCTGACCAGGACGCTCAAGGCGCACCAGTGGTTCGTGGAATCGGGCATGATCAACGCAGAGGAATTGGTCAATGACGGGTTGACGCAAGATAAGGCTAATGGAGTGTGCTTCAACAACGAGGGACCGACGTGGTCGTACCTCCAGGGAGTGGTTATAGGCGGTTTAGTTGGTATGGTACCCCCTTTGTTCCAACACCTTTTCTATAATATTATATATAGAACGAAACAGCCAAAGAACTGAAAATAACTGACAACCCAACCCTTGAAACCAGAACTCTTTCGCACAACACTCAACGAAACCTACATCCGCTCCGCCGCAACCCTCGCCAACGCCGTCATCTCCTCGCCCCGACTCACTCCCCCCTCCACAGGTGTTCTAACCGACTACGCCTGCGAGGGCACCGCCGCGGGCTGTAACTACGACCAGCAGAGCTTTAAGGGCATATTTGCTCGCAACCTCGGCGAGCTCGATGTGTTGATTGTGGGACGACCGTATCGCACATACCTGGAGCAGAACGCAAACTCGGCTTATCAGAAGGCACGAAACGCAGATGATACGTATGGTACAAGCTGGTCGGGACCGTTTGATGGAAGCAGTTTGGCGAAACAGCAGTCGGCGGCGAGCTTGTGGGTTGCGCTACTTTAGGAACAGGATGCGGGCTTGATATCTTTCGGCAGCTGTGCTTGTGGGGTTCAGAACTCAGCATAGACCGGGATGGTTTTGAACTCGGTCCTGAGAGACCTGGAATGGTTTATGGATGGGTGTGAGCGGGCACAGGTTATGATCCGCCACTGCTACGGTTCCTGGACATCGAACATATATGAAGGCCAAAGGGGGAGATTAAAGATGGGAAAAAAGGCAGCATAGAATAGAAGTCATTGCTATGGGACATTGCAGCCTTCCTCTTGACCAATTGGTGACGCCGTATAACTTCTGGAGACTTGAGAATGATAGCAGGACATCCTTGATCCATCCAAGGGTCATAGCCTGTATCGTAGCATACATTTTTCATCATGGTGGGAGGTGTTTGAAGATTGGGTGGATGGAAGGAAGTGAGTGTCTGTCAGTAGACCGCGTTTCTCACCACCGCAACAGTCTGTTTTCCTTGTCGAATATCGCAATGAAGATTAACATTGTGCGTATGAAAGCAGTATCATCAACGTCGTTTGCAAAGAGACAAAGCCCCCGCCGCTACCTGTACATACATACGTACGGAATAATGTGAAAAACTCCAATCACTCCGTTCTCGTCCCAGAAATCAACTCCAACCTCCGCGTCCGCCGTCCTAGTCTATTGATGCTTTTGGGGATGTGCTGATCAGGAAGATCGGTTGTTCCGCTTAGGCCCTCAATTCCGCCCATTTGAACCTTCCTCGTGTATTCTTCTATCTTATTTTTGCCCTTATCGGTCGCTTCGTCCTGGCCTGTCGTGTAGGGTGAGACGCAAACCGCTTGTGACTCTCTTCCTCCTCCTTTTCAACCCCGTTTCCTGTTCCTCCTTCTCATACTTGAGTATTTTTCCCTTCACCGTCCTGTCTACCTCTATATCCCCGGGTTTTCCCTGAGCAATACGCCGAATCGCAATCTTCCCTTCCCTTCTTCCTTCCAACCCGCAAAGAAAAACAAAAAAGGAATAATAATCAAGACATCACGTCATGTTCTATAGGCTAAACGGCCTCTTGGGGTAGCTGACTCCCTCAACAGCGGCGTTATCCACGAACCAACTGCACCTCTCACCCGTCGCCTCGTTCACGAGGGCGCACGGCAACCCCTTGCCCTCCTCAAAGATATCCTTCATGATCTCCTTCTTGCCGCTGCCCGTCGCCACGAACGCAACGCGCACCGCGTGTGTCACAACGGGGAGGGTGAGGGTGATGCGGCGCGGGGGCGGCTTGGGCGAGTCCTCGATGGGGCTGACCCAGGCCTCGGTCTCGCGCAGCAGCTCGTGTCCGGGGAAGAGGGAGCAGGTGTGTCCATCGGGCCCGCAGCCCAGCAACAACAAATCGAAGATGGGCAGCTTGACCGAGTCGCGCGAAGCAAAAGAGCGGACGAGCGTCTGCTCGTACCGATCCGCCAGCTCCTGCGTGTCGTCGAGGACGGATTCATCGATGGTGTGTACCGTCGGTTGCGGGGTGCCCTGGGGGAGCTTGTCGAGCAGCTCCTTCTTGAGTAGCGCGTAGTTGGAGTCCTCGTGGTTGAGAGGGACCGCGCGCTCGTCCGCGAAGAAGATTTCCCAACTCTCCCACTTGACCTTGTCCGACTCGTCCTTGGCCGGGGCCAGCAGCGCTTGCGCGAGCGTCTTGGGCAGCGAGCCACCTGAGACGCCGACCTTGAAGACGCCGTGCCGCTCGAGGCCGGCCTCCTGACACGAGATTAGGTAGGAGCGGAGGGCGGTCGCGAGCGTTTCGACGCTGGGGAAGGAGTAGAGGTTGACTTGCTTGCCCATTGCTGTTGCTTGGCTTATCGCGGGAGGTTGCTGTGATGTTGTGGTGGGGGATTTATGGTGGTGCTGCTTCGGGCGGCGAGGTTTTAGGTCTGTTCAATTACGATGACCGGCGATAGGAGGTCTCTACACTTTTCGTGGGTGGTTTTTGTGTGTTTACTCACTTCGTGATTGTTCAAAGTCGTGGAGTGGAGAGGTGGGCGGGAGGGAAAGAGAAACGGGTTGGGTTATGGTCTGTCGGTGTCTTGTCCCCGTGCGATGACTGCGGGGGCCGGGACGATAGCGCAAACTGGACCAACTTTTAGAGGAACTAACACAACAGTCAGTCACTGAAAGCCGTAGCGGTGGCCGTAGCGATAGTATGTAGCTCCGAGCGTTATCGTTTTACAGTGGGGAACTACCAATGGGCGAACTGCAGGGAATGAACCAAAAAAGCTTTTTTTTTTGCGACCAATCAAAATGGACCAAAATTGCACCTCCCCTGCCCGTTGGAAGGCCCTCCAGATACTACTAGGTAGCGACGTACTACAGTAGTAGAGGTACCTAGGGAGGTATACGTCAGGTATGGAGTCTCCCCAACACCACGATAACAGTTCATGGCAGACGAAGCCGCTCAATACTCAAGATATGGTCATGGAAAGCCGCAATTCGAACGAAGTTACCCTAGTTCTCTGTGCTCCGAGAACAATGTTTGCCTCATATGCTTTTGGAGGTTGTCGGTAAAGACAAAGTCCAGGGTCACCCTACGAAGAGCAAGGAGCTGCTTAACACCAGCCAACAACGAGCAAGGTTGGTAGGTCGGTTGTGGGAACAAAAGACACTGTCATGGAATCATGTAGAAAAGTCTGGGAATTTCCTACGGAAAAGACGTAGAGGTACTCGTCCCAACAGTACCTGCGATAACACTTTTCACCCTGTCGATAACCAATGCACGTGGGGGTGATAGAGGTATCTACTTGGTATGGGTGAGACAGCGGGACATAGCATCACCATCCACGCGGGTTTATAACTCAAGGGTCCGTGATGATGGAGGGGTTTGAGGGGTAATTTGCTACATATGTTTCTCAAGATCTCATATCTTTACCCCCATCCTGCTTATTGAAGTGTAATGGTTCGACATCAGTCATTGGAGGCTAGCCAAGTTGTATGTATGTGTTGGCCTGCTCTCAAAGGAAGGTTCACTCTGGCACTACACTACGATAGATCTGGAGCTCTACAAAGCCACGGCATCGTGTCTCACCCTATGATATCATACTGTTGTCTTGTGGATGCTGTGCTTGACTTCGCTATAACACGTTTTTTTTTTTTTTTTTTTTTTTTTTTTTTTTTTTTTTTTTTTTTTGAAGGGACGACATTTGAATAGTTGAAGAACAGATTTGGTAAGCAGTCTTGGCTTGCCCGTTGTTGTGAGGGCTGGGTTTCTTTTGCCTCTGGAGAGTACTATCCGTCATAGTGAGATCAAGACGCCATGTCGCTCCCAGTCTTGCAACATCGTCATGGTCAACCTCTTATTTCTTGCCTCCATTTGATCCTACCCTGCCGACGCCCCAGCACTAGCAGGTCATCATTATGGAATACTTCGATGAAACTGCCGAGCTGACCAAGTGCTGGCTTTAATCTCAAGGTGTTGCTTGTACGCATGTTATCATGATGTTATGCAAGGTAAGAGGAAGGAAGATACGTCGGTAGGTCGGAAAGCAAACGTGCGAGTGACAGCTGGAGAGTTCCGAAGGCCATTCAATGACGGCATAGTACCCGGGCGAAAGTGAAGGGGCAACTCCTTGGTTCCTCTTTTTTTTCTTTCTTTTTTTTCTTTTTTTTTCCTTGATTGAATTACTCTCTACCGAAGCTAGGTGTTTCTCTACCAGTCTGGATGCTGAAATAAAAATTCATAAGTTTGATCACTTCTTGGGTTGTGGTATGAACATTTGGAAATTTTGTGAACGACCCTATCTCCAAGTAGGTTACTGATGATTACACAAAGCTGCATAACCAATTGAGTAAGTCACTTACTAGCTACTAAAGTTTATGCTAGACGAACCCTCACACACACAAAACAGCCTGATTCGATCACAAATCAGTTTATACATAGTTCAGAGTGGAGGTTAACTAGAGGCTACTTTTAGGTTTTATTCAACCTTCTATCTATACTAAGTAGGAGGTTAACACTTCTTATTGTTGTCATCATTACTCTCCCTTGACAAACACCCGAATAAAGAACTTGAATACTCTTCGCGATGAGGTGTTTTGTTTCTTTAATCTTTTTATTCTACTGCGTATGATGCAGATATCATACGATATCCTGCTTAGGTATGTCCCAGCCATGTGCTCTCCGCATATGCACTTGCAGATCGCTCTCAGCCTGCTGACCAATGGCATGAAAACTTCTTTGTTGTCTGAACTTCGATTTTCCCGAGTACCAACCGAACGAGCTTCGAAGGAAGATGTTCCGAGCTTCCGTCCTTGGGAATTCGAAGAGGGTTCCGTCTGGCTGGCCCCGCACCCGTCGTTCAGATTCGCAGGGCGAGACACCCTTCAACCTTTTGAAGGGGCACGATGCGAAGATCTACGACAGCCGCAGTGACAACTAGACCAAAAAGGCAACGGCCGGCAACGTGCTGGACTGTCTCGGTGGTGTAGAATAGGAGGTGGATGGGATACATAGGTACTGGATCTGATACATGCAAGGCTAGGACCTTGGATACTGGCAAGGCGATTGCAAGATTGAATGAAATCCAATGACATACCCCGGAAGTGGAAAGTCTAGGAGATTGACGGGCACGGGAGATCCACTGTTGCTGGTAGCCCGTCTTGATCCTTTCCGCTCAGAAGGAAGGTATCCCACGATGCTCCAGTTTGGCGATGTGGATTGACAACTTAAACACTCGCTAAATCCAAGTTCTAAGCAAAGACCCTCCTATCATCCATTCTTCAAGGAATTGCCTTGCCTTGCCTCATCAATTGACAATATCGCTAGGCAGCCCGGAGGAAAGGGATTTATTCTAGTGCTAGTTTCAAGGCCAGTTATTGCTCGCAAGGCGGGGGCCATGGCGGGGTAATTTTATTTACTTTTGAAGGGTCGCAGAGGTAGCTCGAAAACGCCCTTGTTCGTTGCGTCACTGATAAGGTCGGTAGTTGTCTTTCAGGTGTGGGAATCGATTATTACAATCTCGGCGCTTTCTTGGTTTGCACATTGTCTCGCCAAGTCTTAAGCACCTCAGTTCCAGACGAAACGCAAGTACCATGATCTCGAGCAATCTCAATCAATGCTGCAAGAACGGAAACACCTGACATCTACGAAACGCATTGAGTCTGGTCCCGGACTGGCACGGACCGCTTTGTCCAGAGGGATAAGCGGCATACTTAGGTACCCAACTCCCAGGCAGATGAATGATCTTGAAATGTATTGTAGCGTACAAGTAGTGTAGAGGTTATCGCCAAACAGCCTCGACAATCGTGTGGCTTTGATGAAGCATTCGCTGAGGACTACATGAGTAAGCAGTGGACACTGACAGACTTGATCTCCCGGCACCTTCCATGTGTTCTGGCGATCGTTTGCCTAACCAGGGCCAACGAGCGCCAGCTTGTTCAGTTGTTTGTTGGCGCTTCGTTTTGGCAGCTTTCCACTGGCCCCGAATTACCTAGATCCATTTTGGGCGCCGCAACCATGCCAACGACCAATCATGTCGTGCCTTTGAAAGCGGCAGGCGCAGGAACGGGGCGGCGGCCGGGCTCGGAGATGCTGTGAGAGTCACGATCGCCACGCCTTGGAGACGTGGTCAAGTCCACAGTATCTGATTCAGTGAGCAATCACCACCCCTTCAGAAAGCCTTGAACGAACATCTCCGAAAAGTCACCTAGGTCAATCATTCACTTGGCGCCCATCCTCTTTTTGATTCAAAGCTATCCGTGTTCAGAACATACCTAGCAACCCTACCATGGCGCAGCCGAAATACCTAAGTGGCGACGTTGCCGCCATCAATGAGTTCATTGATAAGTTTGATGTTAGTCTTTTCTCGGATGGAACCATCAGTAATACCATGAATGCCGGATGCAATACTCACTCAAAAAAACAGGTGTTTTTGTTCGACTGCGATGGTGTTCTATGGTCTGGAGACCATGTTTTCGAGGGTGTTGTCGAGACGCTCGAGTTGCTGAGATCAAGAGGTTAAAACAACCCCAGCCTGTCAAGGTTCATATGGGACCCAATCTGACAATATTGACGACAGGCAAGAAGACGGTGTTTGTGACCAACAACTCAACAAAGTCTCGTCCCGAGTATAAAAAGAAGTTCGAGGGCTTGGGAATCCCAGCAGATGAAGATGAGATCTTTGGCTCCGCATATTCTTCTGCCATCTACATCTCAAGGATTCTGAAGCTGGCGCCGCCCAAGAACAAGGTCTTTGTTGTTGGAGAGGCAGGCATTGAGCAGGAGTTGACGACCGAGAACATCCCCTTCATCGGTGGCACCGACCCATCCTTCCGGAGAGACGTCACAGTAGAAGACTTCAATGGCCTTGCGGACGGATCTCTACTCGATCCTGAGGTCGGCTGTGTGCTCGTGGGCTTAGACTGGCACATCAACTACCTGAAGCTGTCGCATGCATACCAATACCTCCGCCGTGGCGCCGTGTTTCTGGCCACGAATGTGGACTCAACCTTCCCCATGAACAACAACTTCTTCCCCGGCGCAGGCTCCATCAGCGTTCCGCTGGTTCACATGACGGGACAGGAACCCGTGGCGCTCGGAAAGCCTAGCCAGGCCATGATGGATGCCATCGAGGGCAAGTTCCACCTGGACCGCGCACGGACGTGCATGGTGGGAGATCGGCTCAACACCGATATCAAGTTCGGCATCGAGGGACGGCTGGGTGGCACGCTTGCAGTCCTGACGGGTGTGAACAAGAAGGAGGACTGGGAGGCGGCGGATGCGGTTGCCGTGCCATCGTTTTACGTCGACAAGCTTAGTGACCTTAGGGCTGCAGCGCAATAAAGGTGGAGAACCAGGAACTGGTGATGTACAGGGTGCGGATATGAGGAGCTACGCATGCCTGGTAAGACCGGGGGCTATAGATGCTAGAATAGACGGCGTGGATTTTTTTGCCATATTTTGCTCTAATAGAGAGCAAGCATAGAAGAAATTGAGGCAGCCAATGGATTAGACTAGAACAAGTGAATGATTCGAGGCCCGGCCACAGGAACACAAAGACGGCCGGGAAGAGGTTAACAAGGTCCTGCTTGTCCGTCTGCCATCACGTCCCCCTATCGCTGGCCTGATCATGATAGTTAATGAGGATGACAACATGGACCATTGGCAAAGGGTCTGGCGGTATTGGATGGCATATTCGCGTGTTGGTATCTGGTATGTTGGGAAGTTTCCTTGATGGCAACTAGTGCAAATAGTGGAGAGAGCAAGAAAGGAAAAAAGCCACATGTGATCATGTTTATTTCAAAAGGAGGACAGTGTGGCCGGTCTGGATCTTCGGGGCTCGGAACACTCAGACTTCGGAGTGGCTTCTTCCCTCTTCCGGCTACGGGAAGCCTCGTTGTTCTGTCTCTCTTCAGATCAAACCTAAGTTCGACTTGGGCCTGGAAGCCCTGGACAGCCCATGACGTAACCGGCTGTATAACCCTGACATTCTGGTGCGCCGACCCTGCTCACAGGTGCTGATGTAACTCTAGCCTAACCCTGGGCCTAGACTGACGGTTAGTGGTGGACAAGGAGGGTGTGCAATATGCAAGCCATCAGTTGGGGAAGGACCCTGAATTTTACCAACCTGAAGCGCTCAACGACAACATCATGTCGAACCTGTCGCTCAACGCCGCTGACCTGCCGGCCAACCCATCCCGGCAGACGTGGGTGTGAACCCTTGCCTTTTCCGCCCTGTTTTTTTTGGTGTCCCCAAAGTCGACGCCAAGGGTCACGTTCATTTTATTGGAGCCGTTCCTAAGGGTTCAGATCGACGGGATTCCAAGGGTCCTCTCATGACCCAGTCCTCGGTAAAGATCCCCCCATGAATACCCTTTCATCAGTACGGCGACCGTAATATTGGCAACATCATAGTTCGGGGTCCATTCAGTTTGTACTTCTCGAGCTCTCAAGGTATTCCGCCTTGAAGAAGCTTCCAGACCTGACCTTTAGTTTACGTACGAAAGGGACAGGAGCTCTGTCGATCAATCTCTTCATCCTCTTTCATTGGAGCCCAACCTCTTACCAGTCAAGGAAACGTCCAAGTCGGCGTGCTGTGACAAATTTGCCCATGCCACAAAACCTGGCGCCAGTGGATGAGGACTGGTGTTTCCCGAATGCCCGACAGACGGACCAAAACCCCCCACAGTTGACCCGGTGATTCAGTAGAAGTGGAAGACGTTGGCAGGCCGGCCGGCGTTATTAGATATTAGATCAAGGTACTTACAGCGATCCTGTCAGCGAGGGGGATGGGCGCAAGCCCGCAGTCAGTTGACCGTTAATTACCTTGACAGTTGTAATTTTGAAACGTTTACTGAAATGCAAACTTTCAGGTCTAGTAGGTAAATTTGTAACTAGAAAAGTCTTTTCTTTCTTGTATTCCTTACAAAGAATCTTGATTACTTGACTAGCGACAGCCATGTACACACCATAGGCATTCCAATATTGTAACTTTTATAATTCTTTCTATCATTTTCGTTTTGATAGTCAATCAAGCGCTGTTCAGTTCTCGACAGTCAATTGACCAGAGGTTGCACCCACCCCCTCGCAGTATGGTTTCCGCTATAAGCGTTCTGAATTTGGCTTAGCTTGGGCGAATCCGGAGCATTTGCGACGGCTGCGAGGACCTGGAAGGGACAGCCCTCACCTGGCATCAACCCTTTCGGTGATGGTACCTTGGAGAGCCTGGGCAGGGTTCAAACTCGTCGACGGGATAGATGGGGGACCAAACGGCGGGGATAACACACAACCCAGCAGCGAGGTAAAAATAAAACTCTGACGCGAGAAATAACGTCGTTTCAGGATCCTTCTAGCGACTCTACTAGTAACACTGGCGTCCTTTTCTGTTCTTTGCAGGCAGGTGCAATTTACCTGGATACAGCCGCTCAAGTGATTTTGTCGTTGTATCTTCCGTTTATTTTTTCTTCTTTCTTTCACCCCAGTACCCTCCTTGACCCGTTTTGCCTCTCCCACCCGTTCTTTTCGGACGCGATACAAGGTAGCTTCCGCTTCGGTTCCCTGTCACATCGATCTTGACTCTCCCCATTCCTCCGTCATCCGCCCACTCGCTACTGCCCACTATTTCCAAGTAGATCTTGTTCAGGGTGTAGAGCTGGGTGCTGGATGTAGTAGTGTCCGGACTGCAGCGGGTGTGATTCTGCTCGGGCTTCTGCGGACCCGGAAAGATATTGGGCGGAATAAGGAAGGGACGATAGGTAGGCACGCCTTCTTTTCCCCTCTTCCGTCTTTCTTGTCGACGGTCCCCAGTAGTTCGCGGGCCGAGATATTCCTCCATTGAGGACAGGGCAAGGTCTTTTGTTCGATATCTTATATATCCTCCAAGGTACCGTCGTTGCTCCTCAACATGGACGTGATATTCCTTCAACGTGCAGTGGGTTTTGGTCGATCTTTGATCTTTCCCGCGCACACCATCAGGTTTATCGTCTGTCGTCCTTGTCACCCTTCACTGTCACACCTTTCACCTGCCGTACCAGGCTGACCAGGCCGAACAGTCCGACCATACAGACGAGCATATCACCACCTCGTTGGCCCTTCTAGACCATCCGGGCCTCTTTCGACCAACTCGCGGCACCAGTAACCGAAGCAGCCAACCGCCTCGTTTCCCACCATGGAAAGCTCATCCCCATCCGCCACATCCGTCCCTGACGAGAGGGAGGTTCAGCGCGCTGCCCTTGTCGATCGCCGTCAGCGCCTAACCGATGCCCTGGCGCTTGCTCCCTATGATCTCATCCTCTACTTGGAACGAGCCGTCGTCTATTCTGACCTAGCGTACCCCGACCTTGCGGCTGGCGATGCGTACCGTGCTCTCCTTTTGACAGACGAAGTTCTTAACGAAGGGTTCGAATATCACGAACAAGCCAAGGCATCTCTTGAGACCCACTCAACCGAGCCTTATCCCAAAGTCTTGGACCATGGCGACCTTCTTGCCAACATCAAAAACACGGCCGATGGCGAAGACGGTGATGGATCCGAGCCGTACCGTCAACTGGCTACCACGGCCTCTGTTCGTTGCTTCCAGATCCTATCACTCAGTCTTCTCCTGTGCGGTTGTCTAGCAAGCGCGTCCGACTTTGTCGGAAAGGGTCTTAAGATTCTTCCCGGAAACAAGGAGCTCCTGGAAATTAAGGGATATATCGAACAGGTTGCCAGGAGGAGATTGCGCTTGAAGCCCGACGAGCCGATCAATTTCCATGATCTTCCCGACACTGGTGCTGTGCGCCGCGAGATCTACCCCTGGAACATGTACGAGCCTGATCGGTTTTCGGAGGAGTCGTTGTCATTTCTGAACGGTCAGCTCGAAACGATGGCGCCCAAATGCGCCGTCAAGGTTTCGTGCCTACCCGTTCTCCTTGAAGGAGAAAGCAACACCGACGAATACGAGATCATCCCGACTTGTAACCAGCTAGGTCTCTTTGCGAAGGAGGATATTGCCCCTGGCGAGGCTGTCTTGAAGGAGTACTCGTTGCTGACGGCGAACAATCGCCACAAGGAATCCACGTGCGATGCCTGCGGAACTGAGCTACCACCGCTCAAAATGCAAACAGAAGCCGTCAATTGTCCAGAATGTTATGATACTGTCTTCTGCGACGAGTTTTGTTTCTCTCAGGCCAATGAACAGTACCACCCGGCGGTTTGCGACAAGGACGTTGACTCAATTGCGAAGGACCCTGAGGCCAAGGATGTTGCCGAATCCCTGTATCTCCTCCTCTTGGCTCGTCTGCTGGCAATGTCAAACCATCAAGAGGTTCATCCTTTGGCGTTGAAGGAGATCAAGTACATCTGGGGAGACTTCGTTCCCACCCAGCTTAACGATATTGACTTGTCGGTCAACGCCGGCCCACCGCCCGAGTGGACTTTGCCGTTCTCCTTCAAGTATAACATCGAGATCCCTCTTCATGTCCTTGAAAAGATGGACATCGACATCTTCGAGACGCTCCCTCAACACGACCTGTGGGTCTTCAACACAGCGTACAGCAAGTTTCGTGGCACTGCGTCTGCCCGCAAGGGCTTGCGTGATGGGCGTCCCGAGGTAGCAGCTGTTCATCCCTTCTGGTGCTTGGCTAACCACGACTGTGACCCAAACGTGACTTGGGAATGGGGTGGTCGGATGACATTGTTCGCTCGGGAGACTCGAGTCGTCGGCAATCGGCCAGGTGGCATCAAGGCAGGCGAGGAAATCCTGAATCACTACTGCGACGTCGATCTGCCAGTCAAGGACCGAAGGGAATGGGCTCAAGGAGCGTTGGGCGGTTGGTGTATGTGCAAGAGGTGTCGTGATGAAGCTGCCGCAGCAAACGGTAGTGATTAGGAAAAAAGGAGAATGTGCTATGGTGGAGAATACATTGGGATAAACACATGGCTGGGGAAAAGATAACGGAACTTGCCCCTTTTTGGTATGATTGGACAGAAGCAGGGAAGAAATTTGATTGTGGATTTCACTTCTTTGTCGAAGGGCTTGTCTAGAGGAAAAGTATGGTGGGAATTTAGGCTACATCAGACATACCATAGTATGCTGCGCGGCGATACCCTCATATGTTTTGGCAGGTTGTGCTTGGATTAATCCCTCCTTCGTCGTTGGAATTTTGTTCTCGGTATGTTTTTTCTAAAACCTTTTATTTCTGGTTTTTGTTCCCTTGCATTTTTTTTTTTAACTTTTTTACTATTCCTTTGTTCTTGTTTTTGTTTTTCTGTTACTTGACCCTCCAGCGCGCACACGGCATGTTGGCTACATCAAGAGATTCGGGTTGTTGTTCACACCGGGAATTCGCATGAACATTGTACAGCTGAAACACTAGTGAACATCGGGCAGTTCCAGTTGCCAAGTATATTTTGTCCTCCCACCCGGGCTTCCAGAGGACCGACCGGCATTTGGGGATCGAGATCAGGGTGAGCATCACAAAATAGCTTTGGGCATTGGTACCTAATCCCTCACCTTGAACATCAATGTGGATCATTATCGGTGCGGCATCACACCTTGATAGCTCACCTTATCCCTGGCACCTCCAATCTGTCGATGTTTGGTCGCCGCGAGTAATTCGCAGCTGTTGATTTGCAAGCAATATCTGTTTCCTTTTCACCGATGATATCAATAAAGTTCCACCGCTAACTATGAGATGAGGAACAATGGCAAGGGTGTAAAGCGGAATAAAGCACTCCGAGACTGAAAGTATCGGAAAATATAAAAGCAGGACTCAAAGGCACTTGACTTAAACAATTTCGTCACAAAAAAGATCATAGCATAACCGACAAAGTACAAACAATCGGGTAATATAGGGATCGGTTTGGTGTACAGCCTTCCATCAGTGGATGCTAATGAGATAACTTCGATTATACGCAATCCGGAGTTCGTACATGGTTAAGCTCTCTCATCGTAGCCGCTTTGCCGCCTTTTCACCATCTCTCTGACGGATACCAAAAGCAACCATGAGGTCAGACACTCCCTCTAAGCCACCTCTCGGTCAGATTCCACACAAACTACACAAAGATGAACAAGTTGGGAAAGAGGGGAAGAGGTATCTTTGAAAGGTTTGCGTAGACCGCAGCAACTGGTAGCAAAGTATAATTACAGTCAAACAAAGCAAGCAGACTTCTTATTTTCCTTCTCCTGATATCCCATCCGTGCATACCCCCCAAAAAGGATGCACCCTTGACAGAGAGAAAACAACTAAACGTACGCGGCTAAAAGCCAAGGCCTTCATTCCTTCTCTTCCTTCCTTCCTTCCTTCGATCAAGGAAAAGTAGCACACGTAACCACGCATCCGAGTAAGAAACAATAGCCTGGCATAGTCAACCATTTGCCCTCCACACACAAGAAAGGAAAACACAGTTCAATTCCAACCATCACGCCTATCAGCCTTTAACGCCCATCCAAGCCCTGATTCTCTTGTGCCTTCCTTACATAGGGAGCTTAGTTAATGCGAGGAAGAACTGGATAAAGAGGCTTCTCCGGTGCCGAAGGACCCGCCGCAGTCGGCTCATTCGGGCTCTTCTGCTGCTGCTGGTTACGCTGCTGCTGGTTCCGATCCGACGACTCGAGCACCATTGGGTCGATCCTGCTAGTGTCGTCCTCATCAAACTCCTGCCTCTCCAAACGGGCGCGGATGCCTTGGCGAAGGTACTCAATGACGCGCATGTGCTGGAGCCAGTCGTCGTAGGTTTCGGGTCCGTTCACATCGCCCGTCTCCGAATCCTCCGATGGCGAGCTAACTGTGGCCTGCTCGCTGGCCTTGGGGGTGGGCGCACGGTCGGCCTCATCGGCAGCGCGGCGCGCGCTTTGCAGGACACCGCCCGAGAGGCGGCGCTCATTGTGGGTGAAGTTGGAGCCCAGACCCGAGGTCGAGGGGTAGGGGAGACCTGGTCGGCTGGGCAGAGTCGGGTAGGAGACCGAGGGGGTAGAGCTGTGGCGAGAGGTGGGAGACAGGCTGGTGGAAGAGGTGCTTGGTGAGTGACCCGAAGTATACGACATGTTGCTAGGAGTGGGCGTAACAGCAGGGGTGCCGGCCGAGTGAGGAGAGGTGGCGCTAAGCGGGGAGGCGAGGGACGCGCCATGATATGGGTCGATGCTCGGGCGCGTTGCATACGTGGGCGAGTGGTGGCGCATATCCACAGCGGTGTTCTCGTAGACAGTCGCTTGCATTTGCTCAAGGAAGTGGTCCATTTGCTGGAGGTCCTCCTTGGTGCGAAGATTGGGCATGGGTGGGAGGTAGTAGTGCTGGGTGAGGGGATGATGGGCGCTGGCCATGCCGAGAGTGTGAGGAGGCTGAGCCATGTACTCAGTAGCCAGACCTCCAGAGTGAAGCCCCAAGGGAGCATGGAGAGGCATCAGAGCGCGGCCAACCGACTCATAGGAGGTCGGGTTGATTTGACGGCGCTTAACACTGCCAAAGAAGTCATTCAGGTCATCAAACTGACGCTTCCGGGCGTCGAAGGGAGCAGCCTGGTGGCCGGTGAAGTCGTTACGCTGGCCGCCCATGGTCTGGGCTGGGTAGTACATGGGGGCGTGGTAGGGCTGGGATGCTGGGTACTGTGCGTGGTAGTAACTAGCCTGACCATTCTGGTGAGGCTGGCCAAAAGGGACTTGGTTAGTACCGCGCATATGGCCATTGTGATCATAGAAACCGGAGGGAGCTAGAGGCGAATTAGCCTCAAAGAGCATACAAGGGTGGCCCAGCACGAGGCCAAACTGAAGAAAACTGGTCTCCTAGATTTCCGGAAGACCAAATCGGAGCGTAGTGGTTATATACATACCCTTGTGAACTGGAGCCTGAGCTCTGTAAGCGCCATTCATGCCACCGTTTTGGTCCTGAGGAGAGCGACCCACCAGAACCGAGTCGTCGGCATGAGTCTTGACATGCTTCTTGAGATCCTGAGGGCGCTTGAAGCACTTGCCGCAGAAATCGCACTTGTGCGGCTTCAGGGGAACGTGAACACGGACATGCGAAGTAATGTGATCGCGCTTCACCGTGGTGGTGCGGCACGAGTTCCACTGGCACGTGAGGTTAAGGTTGTTGGTGCTCTTGCGACCAACGTGCTTCTCGCAAATGTGTTCCTATTCATCATGTTAGGAAATCTCCACGTGGCGAGTCCCCAGAGTGTTGACATACGTAAAGCACCTCGGCGCTAGTGAAACGCTCATTGCACTCAGCCCATCGGCAGACCAGGCTCTCATCTTGAGCAGCAGCAGGGGCTGAAGAGTTGCTGGCGGTGGTGGGAGTGGTAGAGGGAGCGGGGGTGGTGCCGTTGGATGCAGAGTTGGATGAGTTGGATGAAGCCTCAGGCTTCATGGCATTGGCAGCAGTTCCGTTGGCGGAAGCGGCAGGGGCAGTGGTGGGAGTGGCAGCGGTAGCAGGAGCCGGAGTGGGCGTTGTTTGGGCCGGGGCCGCATTGGCGCCGTTGACAGTGCCGTTTTCCTGGGCTGGTGTGGACGACATGGTTGCTGCTGTGTGACCGGATGCGGCGTATAAGTGGTATACCGAGGTACACACAAACCCAAGTACCGAGTACAACGGGGATCAGGTTATCCCGGGTGCCGATATCGCCGAGTGTGTGGTCGACCGTTTTTCAGTGGTCGGTCCGGGTGCGGTTGGGCGACGTTGGACGAAAGCGCGACAATGTGCTACACTGTCGGTTGGCGCGTGATAGTGACAGCCGTCCGAGTCAAGATGCTGGGACAGTGACGGCCAGACGAGGGACTGGGACGTGGGAGGTGTTCAAGACGAGACCCCACCAAGAAAAGCCAAGAAAAAATTGCCGGCGACTCCAATAGGAAGTCAGCTTGGGTGGAAGCTGCTGATACAAATCGGATATCGGTACCTGCAATTGGATGGGGTGCCAGTTGCAGTCGGTTGATGCGCGCGCAGGAAGAATCGCCAAAAAGCTCAGGTCGCCTGTTCGAAGTTGCAAGAGGAAAAAAAGACCCAACAAACACAAAGTCTTGATTGATTTAAGATGTTTGCAGAGGGAAAACACGTTGGATCAACAGGCGGGCCTTCACTGTCTTTATTCTGGCCTTGCTCCTTGGCGGTACTGGCAAAAAGACTTGGCAGCCTCTCTTGGCGGTCGCGGGCTCGGACGCCAAGCCTGCTCAGCCCGTCTAATTGGACCATACCATTAGGCGTGATCCGGCACAGGTACCCTCTGTTTGTGGTTCAATGTGGCGTGCCTTTGGTCGATGCTGAGGGGTCCCGGTGCAGACAAGGCGCAACTGGGGTGGGATCACTGAAAGATGCCACACAGCACGCGCTGTCTAGCTCCGGCCAGCTTGAACCACGAGGATCGCGCCACTTGGGGACACTAACAGCGCGACTTATGTGCCAAGAACTGCCAAGTCCGTGCCAAGGCTTGGCACAACAGAGAATGGCTTGGCGATCCTCCACAGTCTCGTCTCCCCTCATTGCCCCCTTGGTGAAGTGGTCACACTTGTCGTTGACTCTTCACTGGCTCCTACGGCTGTCGCCTGTCTCGATTCGGCGCCATCCTGCTTCTCCTGCTTTGGGGCTTGCTTTGAATGCTCAAGATCGCTTGGCTAGACGGTTTCTCGATGCCGTCTGTCTGTCGACATCTATTCGATCCCATGACCAAATTCAAGTAGGAAGTCCCTTTTGCGTTTTGGGCTGTTTTTGAGCGTGCATGTGCTTGTGGACTCCCACTCTCTTCATCGCGGTGGGTGGGTGGGTGGCTATAGGTGGGGCCGTTGAGCCATCATCCGGCTGCTGGCTCGTGTGATTGGTCAAGCCCGTCTGGTGAATTTTATCCTCTTACCCATTTCCACCCCCTCCCAATCATGGCCAGGAGTAGTGTACGGGGTAAAAGTCACCCGCGCATGAGGGCGGTGGGCACTCTTTGACTGCCAGACTGCAAAGGGAAAGGCCCCGCGGCCTGGTCATGGTCGGTTGACGGCGGATGAGGATGTCCGATTGTAGGTTTTCCGCCTCTGCGGATTGAAAGCCGCCGAGCTGTGTTCCGCATTACACTGCCATCGGACGGGACCAATTGCCCGATAATTGATCAAGCCCAGCAAACTGCTTTCTGGGCATGGCTTTTCACAAGGGGCAGCAGGACAGGAAGGTGAACAAATGTTATTCAATGGCACAACGGCAGACAGTGGCATAGGTATTCCATCAGAAGCCAAAAGATCACGCCGAGTGCTGCCAAGTCAGCCAAGGGCTTGGTCATTCTTGGTGCTCTTGGTCTTCACTTGGCCAACTTGGCGACTTGGTATCTCTCGGCAACCGCAATGTAGGGTGGTATACAATGCATGACGGAAGGCAGGTAGGTACGTACGGTGGAGGTATACACTAGAAATGCATAGTGTAGATGGCATATGCGACATCGACAACGGCCCCGTCTTCAACGTCGAGACAATCCATCTATGGCAAGCTCTAACCTTCCATCGTCGAAGAGCAAGATGGTCCAGTCATAGGTAGACAGTCCAACTGGTGGATGATCCAAGCCATCGATCCAACACAACCACAACACCCAAAAGGGACATCGGCTGTCGACAGGGCCGGAGACCAGGACCATGCCAAGCGCTGCCATCCGCCAAGGTTGCTTTTCAGAACAGCCCCGGAACATCCTACCTATTTCCAGCGCCTAGAACTAATCTCCACGGCCCCGGGCCTCTCTAGCGACGCGACACCGGAGACGGTAGACACGTGCTCACCCCGACTGCAGTTGCAAAGCCGCGCCTGTCAAGCTTGGGACAAAGGTTCGTGGTCTGGATTCTTCGCGAGTGGATTCGATATTTACACTACGCATTATGGGTACAGGCGTCCACCCGGCCATCCACCAGCGGAGCCTCCTCCGGCGCCTCTCCAATCTCTCACGCTCACATATTATTTGCTCTTTGTGGCTTAGGCTGATTCTTCGTTCTCATCGTCATGACCCAAGACTTTCTCGGTTGTGTCAAAATATATTGAGAGCGAGCAGTGCAAGTGACAGATTGCGTGTTCTGAACTCTGAAGGGTTGCGAGCACGCTGCCCACCATTGAAGCCACTCCCGTCCGTCCATCTTTAGCCACACGGTACATAGAAGACATCTTGGCGCCCAGCCTCCCATTGCAACACCAGGAACTTCTGGAAGAAAGGGAAAGCCGGATGACAACAGGAAAAAGAGCTCTTGGCTTGCTTGTGACACTGCTCTATCATCGTTCACTGAGTCCTGCGAGCCGCCCGCCCAGGAAAGCCAAGAACTCCAAGCTTCCCAGAGAGTGTCCAAGGAAACACAAGACAACCAAGAAAACACAAGACAGCCAAGACGACCAAGACAGACGTCCCAAGGCTTTTCCAACACTATTACAAGAATCACCAAGAACACCAAGAGGACCAAGAAGACCAAGAACAAGTTGGTATGAGGCGGAGCCTTGCTTGGCTTGTGTATATATAGTGAAGAGAAACCGAAAGGGGTGCAAGTCGGAGTCCATCGGTGACGGAATCGGTATTCGCAGAACGAAGAGGCCCAATGAACGTATGTTTTTTATTATCACATACACATACACTAGGAAGGCCAGAAACCCCGTGGAGAGGTCTCTACTGTTCAGTTGATTGGCTGTGTATGGTATTTTAGTTCACAGTCATCCGATGTTCAAGAGACCCACAGAAGTTCAAAGGCAACTTGGCTCGTATCAGGAAAGGAGGGTGGGGGAGCGTGAGGGATATGGATGGTAAGTAAAGAAGGAGGGTAGAGTGAAGAAAGTGTCGGCCCATATGGTAAGTGCTACGATACTTATAAGTATGATGCCAACATGACAATCACCCTTACATACCAGAACCCTCACTACAGTGTATCACCCAGCAGTGGAATCCCCTTTGTGTGACCGACCCGTTTTACCTTCTCTCCCTTTAGCCTTCCTTCCTTCCTCCCTCATTCCCTCCCTCCTGCCTCCACCTCCCCACTCATCTACCGATACCTCAACTCCGGATTCGCCCTAAAGTTACACTTACACCTACACTCTGGCACAGGACACTCCTGATGCCTAGCGAACCACTCCCTAGCATGATCTAAATGCAGGACATGCTCACACTGCAAGCAAAATGTCGGAAACCTCGCCGCCATTTTATTCGTCATGTCCACCGCCGACATCTGATGATAAAGATGATCGCCTCCGTGATGAAGACTACCCATTGTCCCACCTGCTTGGATTCCTGCTCCTCCTCCTCCGTAACCACCTCCCACAGCTGTACCTGATCCTCCTGGGCCTCCTCTACCCATCGTCCCCGTCCCTTCCGTACCGCCAGAGCCCGGCAAGTCACTGCGCGGCATGCCGACGATTTCTAGACAGACGACGCACCGCGGCAGGTGACGTTTGCAGTTCGGACAGGAGATGCCCGCTTGCACCATCTTCTCCGTGAAGGGGTTCTTACTGCTTTGCGCCGCCGCAGCCGCCGGCGGGAGCTGCAGGGCGTCGGGCGGAGGAGGCGGGGGAGGAATCGGGATGTTGGACGTGGTTACGCCTCCGCCACCACTACCCGAGGTTCCAGATGTTGGTTGTTGCTGCGCTGCAGCCGCTGCGGCCGCGGTGGCTTGGGCCTGGGCTTGGGCTTGGGCTTGTTGGGCGGCAGCGTGTTGGACCATAAAGCTTGGTATAGACGGGGAGGCGTTTCCAGGTAAGTGGCCGTTAGTGTTGGAGCTGGTGGAGGAGCTATTGTTGTGAGTGTGGAGACTCGTCGAGGCATCGCAGTAGACGCAGCGCAGGGCGATCTGACGACCTGGAGGCCTGAGAGTCGGGCGACCTTGGTGCTTGCTCCGCTTGGTTGACTCGACGTCAAACTTGGCGCGGAGGAAAAAGGCGTGGTGCCGCTGAAGGTAGGCGCGGTAGGCGGTGCGGAAGGCTGCGGCGCGCACATCGTCGATGAAGCACGGTGAGCAGATGGATAGCGCGAGCGTAGCGGTCTGGAAGTCACCGAACTTGGATACGTAGCGGGCGAGGATGTCGACGAGGGGGTCCGTGATGCCGGTCAATACGATTCCTTCGATGTTGCCGGCCTCCATGGCTGCTTCGGTTTCGGCGCGGAGCCAAACTGTCAGGGCGTCGTCGGGGAGATAGCGCACGGCGACGTACACGCGATCTCGGAGAGGGAGAGAGCGTTGGTTGGCAATGGTCAGCCAGTCACCCGTGGCGATAATGGATGAGATTGCGCGCAGATAGGGGTCGGTTTTGGAGGCCACGCGTTCGTCAAAGTCGAGCGCTTCCTTGACAGCGTTGTTCTTGTTCATTCTGTCTCCCTCTTGCGTGACGTTTCCTACGAGCTGCAGTGCGAGAGAGACAAAGAGGAGTTCAGGATGATCGGTGCTGGCTTGCTTGAGCACTTGCACAGCGCCCCTAGTATCGCCTCTGAAGAGGGCTTGAGCAGCCGCCATTGTGTGCCATACTGAGGCGTCTTTGCTCAGGCTGGAGGTAGATTGTCCATCGATCAAATCTGCATCATAGTTTCGACCCCATTTGCACATCTCGAGACACATTTCGCGATGGTGGGGACGCTTCGTATCGACGCCGTCAAACTTTGGGAGCCCCAATTTCTTGTTGATGGCGTTCAAGCAACGCTCCCAACCAGCTTGGTCAGGAGCATGTGAGTGGTCTGATAGCCTTGCTTGAGGTTTGCTCCCTATTTCCGTGTCAAAGTAGTGATAAGCAGAGAAAAGTATAAATTAGGACTTACCAAGATCGTTTGTCCACAATGCGTACACTCCCATATAGCTCAAATCAAGAGGATGAGACATCATCCCGCCATCTGAAGCTGCTTCGTCGGCTCCTGTCGCAGACACGACTCCGTTAGAAACCCAGCAGCGTTAGCTTGGGGCTGAAAATGAATTTACCTGTAATCCAAGCCCACATGTCTTGAAGCCATGGGTCATCGGCTACGATCTGCTGATTTCTTCTATAGTTGAATAGATACCCTTCCTTTGCACGGAAGATCATGGTATGGTCGAGAATCACTTGTGCCTCTCTAGGAAAGTTGCTTCGATCCATGAGTTTCATTAGCAAGTCCTCATGGCGCTCCAATTGTCCTAACGGTTCACCTCGCGTGTTCAAGCCGTTTGGTGACCTTCCTCCGACCGTCATCCTCAGGGCCGCCAACTTCTCGGCAATCGGCGCGGTCGTAGAATACCCCTCGGGGAACTTCAAATCGCTAATCCTGTTAAACCCGTCCGGGCCTATCAGGTCAGTGTACACGTCCGACTGCATGGCGTCTTCAACAACCGCAGTAAGGTTTGCCTTGTCTGGCCCGAATAGCTGCTTATTTGCCAACGCCTTCTCGGTCAAGAAGGGTCCCAGGATTTCCTGCGTTTGAGGAATCTCGAAGTCCATGGTTTGATGATAAGATATCCTTTCTAGAACATTGTGAGTTTTTTGTTCGCCCGGGAGCCAAGGGTAAGACGAATCTTCAGGTGGTTCTTTACCTTCCAGTCCTCGGTGGGGTGCTTGCCACGGGATAAGCTTAAACGGGTACTCGGACGTAAAGGACGGTTTCTCCAATACATCGAAATTGCCATTTTTCCTCAAGACAAGCATTCTGGCTTGGGCAATGGGTGAAGGCATTGTGATCCAGTCAAAGGAGACGATTTTCTCGTGCTTGTGGCGGGTGTTGTCCAGATAGAAAGGGTCCATCTCGTACGATCTGGCTACCTCGAGTAGCTCCGGGCTGTTCTCAAACTGGTCACTAGGCTCCACATATTCATGTCTCGTGTCCAAGATTCGGAGCTGGCCGGCCCGTGATAGCACGCCTAGCATACCGGGCTTGTCTCGACAAAAACGAATGGAACGGATGTAGGAGGTGTTGGTGTCCTGGGCCGGATCCTGAGTAAGGACGCGCACCGCTTTTTCCAGACGCAAGGCTCCGCCCCAGGGTAAGTCGTCGTCCTTAACGGCCTCGTTGTACGAGGGCCTTGCAACCTGGCGGTGGGTTGCACGTCGGTCCCAAACCATGACACCTGGCTGGTCCAAGGCCGAGGAGGCAAAGTAATTCTGGTCTGCGTAGTCAATAGCAAGGTTGTTGCAACATTTGGTGGGGAAATGAACGACCGAGCTGTGGCTTTGTTCTGGAAGACAGGTCAGCTCGCATTTTGTGAAAAGAGGGCTTGAATGTGAACTCAGACGCTACCTCTTAGATCATGTATCCGGAGACCCTGGCCCTTGATACCGGCCACGAGGACATTGGGGTTGTCCTCGAAGAACCTAACGCTGGATACTGACACACTGGGCTCAAGACGATCTATGGGATCGGTAAAGGGTACTACACTGCTGAACCCATGGGCGTTGGTATCCATGGTCGATAGCCGGTTGACGTCCCAGATGTAAAGGCAGTTATCACTTCTCACTCTGTCCAGGGCAACAGCAAGCTTTCCAGCGGTACTAAAGGCGACAGCTTGACAGGTACGGGACATTTTGAGATTGAGATCCAAGACTGCGTTTGAGTTGTCATCGACGCGCAAGATATTGACAACGCCGGTCGAGGTGCCCACGGCGACCAGGCCGGGCACGGAGGGGGACCAGTCAAAGGTGGTAAGAGGGGGTAGTTCGTCATATTTGCCGAGCGTCCTCGACTCGAATTTGCCTTTCCGGGCGAAGCCTGTCGGCTCATGGAGCTGCACGACGTGGTGCTGGAGGTTGATGTGAAGAAAAAGGTCGCGCCCCGCGTTCGGGGACCACCTGATGAGACCCGGCTCTGGGCGATCCATCCTGGCGAGTTGCCGTGATGTCGTTGTGCCCTGGTTTGTATAAAGTTATGTGATGGAGTAAGATGATGTAGAAGGGCCCTTCATTCGCTACCGCGGCTTCAAGTGAGAGCTTGAGTACTTTAGGTATGATGAGAAGATGAATTTGTTGAGCAGGTACTTAGTACTGTAGGTTAGGAGATCACCCAAACGCTCCTCAGCGCTCCTTCTCGGCCAGATGACCTTTGATCGCCCGTGCTTCATGAATCCCGCTCCGAAGAGGTAAAGATATCGACTATCAAAACCATGCTCATGGAAGTCCATCCAAAGTAAAGAAATCGATCAAACTACCGTCTTGACTACAGCTTCATGCTGTGGTTGTTGAAGGCGGACGTAGGGAAGGGAGACGAGACTAGGTTTTCATGATAGAGGAAACCTGAAGCCGCGCTGTTGGGTGCCCGGGAGACTTGAGAAAGTCCGTTTATTGATGGGTGCTACCTAACCCTAACCCAAATAACAAACAGCACTCTGTCACCTATGTGTGTACATTGCAGTGAGCCAGCGCCCCCTGCAGGCCGATAGCAGGGGCTGCAGGGGTTTCACTGGCAGCTCTTTGCTCCCGTCCATTCTTTCGGCGAGTCTCCACTTAATTTTCTCGAATTGAAAGAAACACAAGACGAACCATCGCGACAACGACCCATTGCCCGTTCCAGATTGCACCTACCGCCACCACCATCACCAAAGAAACCATTCTATCTTCTGAACATATCATCCCAGCGCGCCGCAGAAATGGGCAAGCGATCGTATGAAGAGGCCGAGGGGTCGACCGCCGATGGCCAGGAGCAACACCAGCCCCAGAAAAGAAACAGAAACCCGCACAACAGGTTCAACCCCAAGAACATTGCAAAGCGCCAGAAGACCACCCAGAAGATCAACGATGGCAACCTTAGTCAGATCAAGAAGCGTGTCAGAGCAATTGAGCGCCTTCTCGAACACAAGAACGAAAAGCTGCCTGCCAATGTCAGGAACGACCTTGAGCGCGAACTGCAAGCCCACAAGCAGAGGATTGCCGACGAGAGTGACAGGAAATTGAGAAGCAAGATGATCAGCAAGTATCATATGGTCAGGTTCTTTGGTATGTGGTCTAAGTTTTGGAGGTCTGCACGTATCGCATCACTGACCCAGACCTTCACGAAACAGAGCGCAAGAAGGCCATGCGCCTCGCAAAGCAGCTGATGAAGCAACTCGACGAAACCAAAGACGAAGCCGAGATCGCCAGGCTAAAAGCCGACCTCCACATTGCCGAGGTCGACCTCGACTATGCTCTCTACCACCCTCACATGGAGACCTACATCAGTTTGTACCCCAAGCCCAAGGACGAAGCCGCAGAGAAGGACGAGAAGAGTTCAGCCGCACACCACCTTCACTCCTCAAGACCCCCAATGTGGACCACCATCGAAAAGGCCCGCCAAGAGGGTAAGAGTGCTCTGGAGAAGATTCGCGACAGACGACCGGAACGCGACTTTTCGAAACCCACTTCCAAAAAGACAGCCAAGAAGTCTTCGTCACAGAGCGAGGAGCGCCCAGCCAAGGGCAAATACGGCAAGACGGAGGAGGAAAGCGCGAGCGAGAGCGACGACGGAGGCTTCTTCGAGGAGGACTAGGATACATTCAATACCTGGCCTGTGGAGGCTGGGCTAACTTATGATACCCATTTACGATTACCACAAACATGCATTCAGCTCAACAGGTCCCTGCACGAGTTCGTTCCGATCAGTTACACAACCCAGGATTAGCTTCAAGTGGCTGACAACCCTTGCTTCTCTCCAACCCCGAACTTTAGCACCATATCAAGTATTGTGTCGGTCTCCGAGAAACTCGCCGATAGAAAGCCCGACAACTTGCCGCGCCACTGTTGTGTTCTGCAGAGGGTATATACTAGTGTTTGATGTAAAGAATTCTTGAGCCTCCCGAGTTTCCCCCCTTTCTGTTCCCTATAAGACTGAATCAGCCCGTGTGCTCTACTGTCTTGTCTGTAGAAGAGCTGTCTAAGCCAGCCTTGTCGTCTACGTTGGACATCAAACATCATGAAGCAAGCCTTGGCCATGCTTTGGGCCCTCGCGGCTTTGTCTCTTGCTGACCATGCCACCACGACTTCGACTATCGAAGACGTACATAATCATCAGAACTGCACAACAACGGTCTTCACTACCCTTACTCCAAATCCAAGGCAATTAACCCTTTGCTGATGCCCCTCCCCCCCCCCCCCCGCCCCCTTTTTTTTTTTTTTTTCCTCTCTCTCTCTCTTCCCAACCACCTTTATGCTTTATGGCCATACTTTAGTTCATGGGGCTAACTTGTTCTAATGCATCCAGTAACCAGACATCCTACACCACGTCCACAATAACAATCACTATCACGGTCATGCTGTCCATCACTGGAATGTCAACAAGCGCCGAATCATCTGCCCAAAACCAGCCTCGATGGGCACATAACCACTCGGATCTCCCAAGCCATCCGTCCACGTCAACCGAAATCCCATACCCAACCACCAACAACACCATTTCAATATCCTCCAACACAACTCATCCCTATCTCACCTCGTTAATCTGCCACACGATGATCATCAAAACCACCCTTCCCCCATCCACAATAACCACAACTTCAACCCTCACAGTCACCACAACTTCCATCACCACCCCAACCCCTTCCGCCTCCTGCACTCCGGGCACCTGCGGCACCTACACATTCACCCCCTGCCCTTCCGCCCCCTTGGGTGATTGTCTCTGCGGCCTCGACCCGGACGGCCAAGCCTTCTGCTCGTTAGATGACTGGTGCCAGAACGAGATCGGCTGCGATACCAACGCCGAGTGCCTGACGCCAGCATCAGGGCAGACCGGGGAAGGTTTCAGGTGCCTGGTGGGCAGTTGTTGTGACAACGAGGTGGCGGATGATGGCCAGGGAGGAGGGAGTGTGGCGAAAAGGAAGGGGAAGTGTGTCAAAGAGAGGGGAGCGGTTTGTTTGAATGAGGTCGTCGAGGCGGGGTTGAGGTTGAGGGGGTTAGGGGTCTATGGGATGTCGAGGATGGGGAGATTGAGGAGGATGGCGGACAAGGTTGGAGGAGTGAGAGGGTTGAGTAATGGTGGGAGGTGGTGAGGAGTTGTTGTGCCCATAGAAGGCGTGGGAGGCTAGGTGAGTTCTCAAGAGGCAAAAGCTACAATTTTGGTGCAAGGTATCACCAGGGCAAGATTATAAGTCAAGTGATAGAGAGGGTGACCTAAACCCCCAAAGCCATTCTCATTAACAACGAAGTCCAGAATGCGTAGAGGCTTCGTACAGTACCAGGTATCTGCCACCGCTCCTGCCTTCGCTGGCGCCCAGCCGACCCTCTTTCTTCCAAACGTCGAAACGACTTGAACTCTCCACCCCGCGCCGCCGCCGAAGAATCTGAACCTGGCCCAAATATATCAACGGGTATACAAGGCCCGGTACATAGCCCTCTACCACAACGGGCCGGCATTGTGGTCTGATATCGTGGCTTAGTGGTTCCCGTTGATCGAAATATTGCCGGTGTGCGTGGCGCCCCGAACACCAGTTTCCGTAGGTTGACAGTTGGTGTATGGTGGTCCGTTCTCCTAGGCCTCCTGGGCGACTGAACTTTTTAGTCCTTCTCTCTTCGATTGGAGAAATAAATGATGATGAATTCGGGTATCAGTGATACGGGTTTACGTTCTTGATGTTGAGGGGTGGGAAAGGGTGTGTGGTTTTGCGCGACGCGGGAGGTAAATCGATGAAAATTTTCTATGATGCTTTTGGCTATGCCTTCTACTCGTGATAAGCATTGATCCTTTTCCAACCTCATATACCTCCTCTATCATGGTATACCTTCTAACCCTTCTTCCTTGCCCGAACCACTACAAAGCCGCTTTACAACTTCCATTCCATCACTCTACCCCGTATGTTCCGAAAAACCTCCCTCCTTCATCGCAGAGTCCTCCCACTCCACAACTCTCCTTCGAATCTGAATTTCGACTCCAGTGACTCTCAGCTCAAAGAACACCACAGCCACCTGCATCACAATGGGAACAGAGCGTTTTGCCATCTTCGACAGAGTTCGTGCAGAGGCATGACCTGTTGGCGTGAGCGCACAGCTTCATTTTGATGGCGTTGGGAGGAGTCTGTGGTGTGTAACTTTTTGAGAAGAAGATGGCGGCAGGTTGTTTTCTGATTTCTGCTTCTCTCTTTGTGATCGTGAGTGCAACTGTATGACTTGTTCGTTCTGGAAATGTGGTTGATGAAGGACGATCTGAATGGTTTGGACTGGACTGGACTGGAAAACGATGGGAGACTGCGGGTAGCCCTTGGCTTTATATCTTTCTTCATGTCTCCGACAAGGAGTGTCGGCTATTACTGTTATTTCAATGGGTAACCATATTCTCTCATGGTCTTTTACTTTTGAGTTTGTTCATTATCTTACTCGTTGGGCGACGGGCGGAGCGCCGAAAGATGAGTTGGCTGGATTGGTTAGCTGATTGGTCTGCGTTGATGAGCGTGTATTATTGCTGTTGATTCTCCATTGCCAACATTTTCTATCTCATATGTCGACAAAACGCGATTTTCTCTTTCGGTGCCGAACTGCGATTTGGCGATGATTGTGGTTTTCTTCATCTTCTCTAGCCTGTGTGAGGGTTGGCATTCACTTTGCGGGCATCAAAGAATTAGCACAGTCGCCCGTCTAGGAGGCACATCAATTGGAGCAAGTTTGTGGAAGTTTGTCAAACAAACGGTGGAACTTGCAAATCCTACCCATTGAAGACCGGCAAACGACCTGGTCCTGCTGCGTGGCATGATAATACACATTCAGCCTTACGCGGCCCGGGCCGACTACTAGTAGAGGTGATATGCCACCCGGTAAAAGTAGAACGCATACTCACCATTAGAACACGCATAATAGCTCTCTTTTCATTCCGTTTCCGTCGTCCACAAGAATATCTGGTATTCTTCTCCCCCTTTCTCAGATTGCCCAAACTTTCAAATCTTCTCCTACCTCTTCATATCCATCTGTCCATCCATCTACTACTGCGCCTCCTTGAGTTCTCTCCTGCATCTATGTATTTGAAATTCGCTTGGTCGTGTACGTATGTAGCCCCCCCCCCCCCTCTCTCTCCCTCAATGCAGGTGAGGTTATTCAGGGGTTTCTTATTGGCGGAGAGGTTTGTCTTGGCGGAGGTTGTTTGTTCTCAGCTTTGACCAGCCAATCAAAGTCGTTAACCAGGGGCAAAAGAGTGGGCGTACACGGGTTCCCTGTCGTTCGGAATAGTGTGTGTATTCACTTGTACACTAGTCTTCAGCCTCCTCGAATTTGGCTGTGCGCTCGTTCATCAGTCTCGGTGGCCAGACTGGTTGTGATGTTTAGAGGCGTTAAACAAACAAACTGGTGCTCGCAATTGTCACTTGACAGACTCACTCGTGATAGTGGTGCTGACACTGGATACTTCGTTGCACAGAAAGAAAAGGTCATCATCGGTGGGGCAAGCTACATAGCCTGCCGCGACGGTACGGGGTGGGTCTCTCTGCCGGGACCTGGACGCATCCTGATCAGCGGGATCCGGTTCTCGACTTGGTTCCACATCCAGCGACACAAACGCGACGTGCACCGGGCTCTTCCTGAGTGCCATCCTCTCAGCTCCCATCAACCATTACCTCTCCAAGGCGAACCATTCCGACACATCGACTTACGGGAATTCACTGAATTACGAGCCCAGCACACACGGCATTCCCCCCATTGATACAAGCGCTCAGCTACGAAACTTTTGTTACCTTGCCTTCAGTTTTTTTTACTTCCGCCTCGGCTGCTTTCGCCAACTCGCCGCCTGCACAGAAGCGCAATGCACCGTGGCCCCTCCTAAACCATTGCTAACAGTCCTCACATTTCGAGCATACAATTATATCTGCGACTTTACCCGTTCAACTCCCAAGGCTACCAATTACCAAGCTCGGGCACGGCTGCGAGCGGGATCACTTCGGCGACTCGTCACCCTCTCCCGCGCCCCTGTCCGTTCATAATATCCCCAAGCTGCGCGGCACCAACAATCCCCACCAGTGATTCACAATGGCCTCAGCTGCCCTTAATGGCGCTGCCGCCAACGGCCGTGGTGTCTCTCCTGCCTCGTCCGTGGGAGGCTCTAATAGCTTTCCCAAGAGCAAGCGCTTCACCGACATCCCCTCTACCATCGACATTCCCGTCCAAGACCAAGATGACGAAGCTGTCGAAATCGACCTTGAAGTCCTCGCCGATGACCCGACCGAGCTCTGCACCCTTTTCGAGATGGAAGGCGCCGCCCGGACATATTGGATGACAGTGTCCCTTGCCTACGCCAAGCAGAAAAAGATCGACTTCGCCATCGAGATGCTCATTAAAGGAGCCAACGCCATGCAAGCCAACAACCCCAGGGAGAAGCTCAGTATCGTCTCCGCTCTCTGCTGGATGTATTTGTGGAAGAGCAGGGAAGCACCCAGGGTAGCCCCCGAGGGCGCCCTTGTCTCCGAAGCAAAGACCAAGGAATACTACCTCCAGCTCGCTACCCAGAGCCTCAACGAAGCTTCACGCATCAACCCAGCTTTCCCTCCGCTCTTCCTGGCTCGTGGTGTCCTCCAGCTTCTGAGGGCATCCCTCCAGCCACCATCAAAGGCTCCCGGAGCAGTCGACCCCGAAAAGACCGAAACCCTGCGCGCCGCCCTTAAATCTTTCGACGATGCCCTCCGAGTTTCCAGCGGCAAGAACATGCTTGCCGTTATTGGCAAGGCCCGCGCACTCTTCTCGCTTGGCAGATATGCCGACGCCTTGGTCGCCTATCAGGACGCCCTAGCCAGAGCCCCAGATCTCGTCGACCCCGACCCGCGAATTGGCATTGGCTGCTGCTTCTGGCAATTAGGATACAAGGATGACGCCAGGATTGCCTGGGAACGAGCTCTCGAGATCAATGCTGAGTCCAAGGTCGGCAACATTCTGCTAGGTCTTTACTACCTCGACGCGAGCGGACACGTCCCCATCAACAGCCCGGAATTCATCAAGCTGTACAAGAAGGCTATGACCGAGTACACGCAAAAGTCCTACAAGCTTGACAAAGATCTTCCCCTCACATGTGCCACATTTGCCAGCTATTTCCTTTCGCGGAAGCAATTCGATCATGTGGAAGCTCTTGCCCACAAGGCCATACAGTTTACTGACGTCAACGCCATTGCGAGCGATGGTTGGTACCTGCTCGCGCGCAAAGAACATTACGCCAATAACCTCGAGCGTGCCGCCGATTACTACCGTCGTGCGGATGACGCCCGAGGTGGCACTGAACGCGGCTACCTGCCGGCCAAGTTCGGTGCGGCGCAGCTGTCCGTCATCAAGAACGACCTGGGTGAAGCCAAACTTCGCCTCGAGAAGATGATTCAACAGTCCAAGAACTATGAAGCCATGATCCTGCTCGGCAACTTGTATGCCGAGGAGGTTTTCGCCAACCAGTTTGCCCCGGTCAAGGAGGATAAGTCCGCCGAGGCAAAGAAGGCCATCAGCCTGCTGGAGAGCGTGCGGACGGCGTGGAAGGATCCTAAGAAAAGCCTCGCGCCAGATGCCGCTGTGCTTCTTAACCTAGCCCGTCTCTATGAGACCGAGAACCCCGACAAGGCCCTCCAGTGCCTTCAGCAAGTCGAGCAGCTGGAGCTTGACCAGGTTCCCCAATCAGAGCGCCCGGATGAAGTTGAGGGCGAAGCCGCTATCAAGGCTGCGCTCCGGAGGTTTCTCCCGCCGCAGCTGTTGAATAACATCGGCTGCTTCTACTATCAGGAAGAAAAGCACGAGCTTGCGAGCGAACTGTTTGAGGCTGCACTCAGCTCTTGCATGAGAATTGGTGAGAAGGACGATGACACTGACACCGACGCCTTGGTTACCACCATCAGCTTCAATCTTGGCCGTAGTTACGAGGCTCGTGGCATGTCTGAGAAGGCCGTTGAGGTGTATGAGGGCTTGCTGAAACGCCACGATGACTACACTGATGCTCGTACCAGGTTGGCCTACATCAAGCTTCGGAACAACCCCGGCACCAAGGAAGGCCCGGATGCAGTCGCCAAGTTGTATCAAGAGAACTCTTCCGACCTTGAGGTGC